ATAAAACACTAACTTTAAAAAATATATATATGGCCGAAACCGGTTTGGCTCAGTGGTAGAGCGTCGGTCTGCGGACTAAAAGGTCCCAGGTTCGATTCCGGTCAAGGGCATGTACATTGGTTGCGGGCACATCCCTGGCGGGGGATGTGCAGGAGGCAGCTGGTCGATGTTTCTCTCTCATCAATGTTTCTAGCTCTCTATTCCTCTTCCTTCCTCTCTGTAAAAAAATCAATAAAATATATTAATATATATATATATGTTTTTATTGATATCAGAGAGAAGAAGGGAAAGTGAGAGATAGAAACATCACTGATGAGAGAATCATTGATCAGCTGCCTCCTGCACAACACCTATTGAGGATAGAGCCCAAAACCAGGGCATAGGCTCTGACCAGGAATCCAACAGTGATCTTCTGATTCATAGGTTGACATTCAACTACTGAGCCATCTTTAAACTTTGATATGGTTTATATTCTAGGAAAATATGCTTTTGGATTTTCTTGGAATTTTTCTACCTTATGGATGTCTACACTGCTTTGCTTCTTGTGAAGCCTTGTATGTTTTGTATGAGGCACAAAGTCCATGGAGGCAGGCATCTTTTTGTTACTTCTAAAAGCATTTAAGACAATCTTCTTATACAGTGAACACTTGTAAATGGAGATCAAAGAAAAGAACAAGTTTAATAGAAAAAATAGGGACTTCATGTGGGCCCATAAGCATATGAGTCTGAGAGGAAGAATACACATGCTCACTCTGGACTGCATGGCTCACGGTCTCACTATGACACTTAGTACTTTGAGCAAATTCTTAGTATCTCTTTGCCTTGGTGTCCTTGTCTCTAAAGTAAAGATTAAATGAATTAATAAATGTGAACTATTTAGAATAGTGCTTGGAGCAGAGGGCTCAGGAAATGTCATTTGTTATTGTTGGTATAATTGTGATTATTTCTAAAAATGATGCCCTGCTTCACTCATCATAAGAGGAATTCAAGTTTAAGTAAAACTGAGACATGATGATAGCACACTGTGTAGCAGGGTGCAGGTAAACAGTTGCTGTCACACATTGATGGTTATCTTACACTAGGGGCCCGGTGATGAAATCTGTGCAGCTTAGCCTGCCCTCACAGTCTGGGAGCCCTCGGGGGATGTCTTACTGATGGCTTAGGGGAGAGGGGAGCGGGCCTGAGCCACAGACTGGCCTTCCTATGTGGGAGGTGACCGGTGGGCTGATCGGGATGGCATGGGCAGCTAGTGGCTGGCCCCACCCCCAGTTGCTCCATGGCCAGTGGTGGCCTCCCTCTGCAGAAGGAAACCCCGGCAGGCCTATTTGGGGATGGTGCTGGAGGCCCTGCCCAAGTCACCCCACTGCTGCTGCCGCCTGTGGCCTGCCTCTGTGGGAGGCAACCAGGTAGGCGATCAGGGGATGGTGTCAGCACCCATCACCCCGCCGCCACTGGTTGCCGCCCTCCCCCACCCATCACTGTCCCCTCCCTCTGCCTGCTGGCATGTGCCCTGGCTGGCTGGGCGAAACCTGCTCACCAGCCCCACCCCCCACTGACCAGTTGTTCCATCTTTCGGTCGACTTGCATATTGCACTTTTATTATATAGGATTGCTTTACTTGGAGGGAGATTTGTCCACCAAAATGAGCTCTAGAAGGAGTGTCTTTCAAGCTGTGGTCCTACATTTAACAGGCAACCCAGGTGAGTGTTATGCACTGTATTATTTGAGAGGATCTCTTTTGAAGTGTGACACTTCAGTAAAGAGACATTGTCTCATTAAAATTATACCTCTGGCATAGCCACATTCAGTATCTGATTTTTATTGTTAAAAATTGAGCACCCAAAATCTCTTTATCAATCTATATAGGCTCATAATGTTTCCACATCTTGAAAGTACTCATACTCACAGGCCATTGAATGATTTTGATAAGAGTTTTTAAGAGATCATGCAGGAAAGTTAATTTAGGTGATAGGAATATGTAGTAGATAGATAATATCCTAGATTAGGAGAAAAGATGGCACATTAGCTTTATATGGTGGTGACTAAAGGCAGAAAAACAAATACTGCAGCAAAGAAAGAGCACTAAGCCTGTCTTCTGTCCTAATTGTTTGGCTGTTGCTGAACTAAGCAAGCTCCCTTCTACTGTTCCTTTTCCTTGATACCTTCCCCCAATTATTGGAATCATCTATTCAACAAAGTTGCCCAAACTGGAAAACCTGAACTAATTCCATTTGCTTTGTTTGCTTTCATCCTGTGTAATCAGCCAAATAGTTCCATCAAGTTTCCTCATAAGTATGTCTCTGATCCACTGCCTCTGTCTAGTCCTCGTTCCCAACATCAGTCTCTCTTTTTCTTGGGCCCCCAAACACTGCAGCTGTCTAAATAGAGCCTTCCCACGGCCACTGGAATGGTTTACTTAACCTAAAAGCAAGACCAGGATGCTCCCATGCTTGACATTCTTCACTTTTCCTCCTCCTGTGGAATAAAAGCTAAGCTCCCTGCCATGGTATTTAAGCCCCTCAATGGTCTGCCTTCTGCTTACTCAGGCCTCTGTGGACCCAGGCCTGTGCCGCTGCGGCAGCCGGGACCCGGGCCTGACTTCCACAGTGCCGGCCATGGCAGGCCCAGGCCTGATGCTGCCCCAGCTCCCCTTCCCTCTGCCTGGCTGCACTCTGGGGCTGCCCACACTGCCACCGTGGCTGCCCACACTGCCACCGTGGCTGCCCCCTCCACCTCTCCACCCCCCCTCCCCGTCTCTGTCTCCGCTCTGGGCCTCACCTGCGCGTGCAGCTTCCTCCTGACTGGTCATAATTGTTACAGCATTGTGGCCTAATTTGCATATTACCTCTTTATATAAATAGATATTGGTACTACTTCAGTAGAGGACCATTTGAAATAGCTATTAAAGGCAAACTGACTATTGAATTTGGAACTGGCAAGTACATTTTTAGGAGACTGTTAGGAATTTATGTACAAAAAGACATGTATATTCAATACTATGCAAACAATAATTGCAGTATTGTTCATGTTAGCAAAGAGTGCAAGTGACTTAAATGTCTCAGTGGAAACGGGTAAATTGTTATGCTCTATAGTACCATCGAAAAGTGAAGTAACTCTACAGAATGATCTGCAAAATGTGCTGTTAAGTAGGGTGGGAAAGCTTCCACACATACTTACATATGGTGCTCATGTAAGTATACTCTATCTCTGGAGTGAATTAAAACAGCTACTAACAGTGGCTGCCTTTGAGGAGAGGGTCTAGAAAGGGAGGATAGGGAGATTTACTTTCCTATACCGTTTTGTACAATTTGACACAAACCATTTTTAACATGTTTATATTAGTTTTTACTCTTTCCCAAACCCTTTACCTCTTCCCACCAACATACACACATATGCAAGTGTGTGTGTGTGCGCGCGCGCACACACACACACACACACACACACACCCTTGGGTGTACAATTTTCAGAACATTCAGATGTCATTCCAGGAATCTGGCTGTGCAGTGGCAGGTAATAATGGTATTTAAAGTTTATTGACTGTGTGATGTGATACTTGGGGCATCACTGGAACCCAATCCTTGTCATCCAAATTGGTGCTGATGGAAAAAATCCCTCCGGGTGGTGGAAACAGGCCTTGGCTGAGCATGCTCAAGCTCTGAGGCTCGCTTCATAGGTGCTGGAGCCAGAAAAAGACCTTGGTCTTGGGCCTGCCTCTCTTGGCTATATTTAGAGGTCTCAGAACAGAGTGAGTAGGAAACTGTGGGTGTATTTATCAACTGTTTGCTTCTATTTCAGTGTCCAGAGGTGAGAGCCAAAATGGAAATTCACTTGGTATGATAGGTTTTGTGCTCATGCAGCCCCCTGCAATTTGTAGAATTACTTTTTAACCTTAAAAGAATTGGAGCCATGACCAGGATTCTTTGTGTAAAATTCCTTAAACAGATTAATTTTAGTTTTAGGGGAATTTATACATCTCTCTACTTTATTGGGATTGGGTATTTTTAAGCTAATTGCTACTTGTATAAAGGTTATAGTTATCACCTCTAGCACCCAAATTAGGGCAAATTGCCTTATCTGTGTTCAAATAATGTTTCTCAATGCGAAATGAAATACGGTCTGTATATAATGTAGGAAATGTGGTCATAATAAATTAGGACCAGAACATACTGCTTTATTTTATGGTTTATCCACTAAATTTTAAGCTAGTGCTTCTTAATATTTTTGCCACTCTAAACCCTATGAGGGGTGTCCCATTCCCACTATTAATAGTGGCTCAGTGTGGCAGTGATAGTCTACAAGGAGTGGGTTTTTTTAAAAATCTTTATTGCTCAGATTGTTACAATTGTTTCTCCTTTCCCCCCCACAGTTCCCTTCCACCCGGTTCCCACTCTCCCCTCTCCCCTTACACCCCCCTCCCCCCCATTGTCCTCAGGAGTGGGGTCTTTTAGTGCATTCTGGCAGAGACAGTGGCAGAGTGGGGAGGTAGAGATAATGATTCTCATTCTCTCTCTCTCTCTCTCTCTCTCTCTCTCTCTCTCTCTCTCTCTCACACACACACACACACACACACACACACACACACACACACACACACATCACTATGACCCTCATTCTCCTGGAGAAAATATACCTGATAAGAAACCCTGGTTTCATCCAGTTTACATGTCTTCCCTCTATTATATGAGCATGTACTAGTATGTAACAGATTAGCATTGACTTGTATAAGTCAACTGGTTCTAGCAAGTTTCCCTCCCCTTATAGGAAAAGGCCCAGGTCTGAAGGTAGAGGAAGGGTTACACATGTTGCTGTGGTGAGCGAGCAATCTGTTTAACCAAAGGTTGGGGAGCAGTTTATTCTGGAAGTAGCTTTTGTTTTTTTCCGTTAACAGTGTCTTTTAAAAATTAGTGTAGTGGTTGTTTAACTTTTTTTTTTTTTAATCCTTTTTGTTTGTTACAGCAGAGATGTCAGCATATTTGTAGGAATTGCTTGAAGCCAGAGTCATGGTGGATGTAGGAAAGTGGCCAATCTTTACTCTGCTCTCATCTCAGGAAATTGCATCTATTCGGAAGGCCTGTGTCTTTGGCACCTCAGCCAATGAAGCACTGTATGTTACTGAAGATGATGAGGTAAGAAAGCATCCCTTAATATCCAGAGTTTAATTTTAGGGCTTATTTTGGGATTGGGCTTTATTTTTTTATTTTATTTTTTTAAATACATTTTATTGATTTTTTACAGAGAGGAAGAGAGAGAGATAGAGAGCCAGAAACATTGATGAGAGAGAATCATCCATCAGCTGCCTCCTGCACACCCCCTACTGGGGATGTGCCCGCAACCAAGGTACATGCTCTTGACCAGAATCGAACCTGGGACCCTTCAGTCCGCAGGCTGACGCTCTATCCACTGAGCCACACTGGTTTTGGCTGGAATTGAGCTTTAAAGATGAGCAGTTTAAAGATGGAGAAAGGTTGAGGATAAGAGAAGCTGAAATTCAAGAAGGCTATCTTGGATGTGATTTGCCTTTTTTCCAGTTTCTTGATTTAATACCACTCCACCCCTGCTACTCTTTGAGTTCCTTAGTGTGGCCAATATCCTAGGCATCAGCAGAAGTTGACTTTTTCTTAACAACTTTTTCAGTATCTTCCCACCCACCGAGCTGTCAACCTAAACTTGAGTGTCTCACTTTCAGGGTGAAGAAGGGAGTCTTTGTGTAACTTCAGGCCAAACGTCTCAAACAGAACCATTTGTTTTCCAGGTCTTTGTATTTGGACTGAACTATAGTAACTGTCTAGGAACTGGCGATAACCAGAGCACACTTACGCCCAAAAAGCTAGAAGCCTTATGTGGAAAGAAGATTAAAAGCCTTAGTTATGGCAGTGGACCCCATGTTCTTCTCAGCACTGAAGGTAAGAGGGAATAAGTCTAGCTTTTCAGTTTGTGGAAAATGGAGCAATTAATTTTAAGCTAAAACTAGGTAGGGCTGGATCAAATAATTTCTCATGGTTTGTTTATTACTTTCTGAGTGGTAAAAATTAAACACTTCAGGCTAACTGCAACAGCCACCGGATGACTTGCAAATTAGGCAAACTTCTGAGGTTTTAGGCTACTTATATGCAGTTGTGGAAGATTAGCTATAGCAACGAAGTGGTCCTTGTAGCCTAATTTTTCAGTGGATTTGTGGTAAGAAGGCGACTTTAAGGTTTTACTTGGTATATTTTTGTAAATAAAGATAAACTTGGTTTTCCTTTCTTTGTGTAATTCCTGAACCTTGAATTCAATAAATATTAATTTATTCCCTGGTATTACTATGGATGCCTTATGGGAAAAATGTGAGACAGAGTACTTTCCCTTTCTCTCTGCCTCTCCAAGCTCACTAAAGAAGGAGACTATTCATTAGTCTTTGGTCATTTATCTCTACTGTGGGCAAACAGACTCGCTGAAAATCTGTTATTTATCATTTAAGTTCTTCCTTTTATATTTTAGGCACACTAGCATGAGTTCTCTCCCTCCCCCTCTCCCTCTCTCCCTCTCTCCCCTTCTCCCTCTCTCCCCTTCTCCCTCTCCCCCTCTCCCTCTCCCTCTCTCCCTGTCTCCCTCCCCCCTCTCTGTCCCTCTCTCCCCCTCCGTCCCCCCCCTCCCCTTCTCCCTCTCCCCCTCTCTCCCCTTCTCCCTCTTCCCCTCTCCCTCTCCCCCTCTCCCTCTCCCTCTCTCCCTGTCTCCCCCCCCCCTGTCCCTCTCTCCCCCTCCGTCCCCCCCTCTCCCCTTCTCCCTCTCCCCCTCTCTCCCCTTCTCCCTCTTCCCCTCTCCCTCTCCCCCTCTCCCTCTCCCTCTCTCCCTGTCCCTCTATCCCCCTCTGTCCCCCCCTCTCCCTCTCTCCCTCTCTCTCAGAGGACCTCAGGTTTTTGTTGGGTGATCCTATTGCGTGGCATTTGGGAGACGGTTTGCTCCGTGCCTTTGTCTCCAGACTAGGAGCTTCCGTGGATGTTGCCAAAAGTCGTCTTGGTATTGAGGTTTTTAATTGCTTTTAACTTATATCTGAGTCCACTCCAGCTTGTCTGTATCTTTCTCAAGCTGTGAGATCCAGATCTGAACATGATGGTGTAGTAAGAGTATAATGTGTTGAGCATAATGAGGGGATTGTCTCATTTCTGTGTTATGTAATCCTGCCTTTCTAGCATTACACTGGCTCTTTCAAGCAGCTACAACTTTGCTGACTGGCTCAGCCTGTCATCCATTGTGATCTAATGATTTAATTTTTTCCGAATGCATATCAGTTTTAACTAGTGGTTGATTTTTTACCGTAAATTCCTGAGGCAATTATTTAGAGAAAATATACTAAGACATGTACATTCAAATTTTTGGTTTTTATCAAAGTGGTGACCGTAGGAAATTATAACTCTTCTTTTGAATTATTTTCAGTATCCAGATCATACAGTTTTAACTATCTTTAATGTTACAGTTGAGATGTAAATGTAAAAAAACAATAAACAGGCCTGGCTGGCATGGCTCAGTGATTGAACATTGGCCTAGGAGAAGGAGGTCATGGGTTTAATTCCCAGTCAGGCCATATTCCTGGGTTGTGGGCTCAATCCCAGTGTGGGGCATAGAGGAGGCAGCTGATCAATGATTCTCTGTCATCATTGATGTTTCTATCTCTCTCCCTCTTCCTTCCTCTCTGAAATAAAAATAAAGCTGAAACCGTTTTTGGCTCAACAGATAGAGCGCCGGCTTGGGGACTGAAAGGTCCCGGGTTCAATTCCGGTCAAGGGCATGTACCTTGGTTGCAGGCACATCCCCAGTAGGGGGTGTGCAAGAGGCAGCTGACCGATGACTCTCATCGATGTTTCTAACTCTCTGTCTCTCTCCCTTCCTCTCTGTACAAAATCAATAAAATATATATATTTAAAAATGCTATAAAAAATAAAAGATAAACAATAAACATATAAATATCTGATTTTCTTATGGGCCTGTTTTTCATTTTGTTTTTAATTCCGTTTTGATCATTATAATTCATTTTACTCAATATACAGTAAACATGTAGTATATATGTGTGTACTGTATGTTGACAATCATATAGTTTTAAAAGAATGTAACAAAAACAATAAAATAATTTAACACTTGAAATCATCAAATAGTCTATGGCTTTTCGTAAAAAGCAGGTACCTATGTCCTATCCCTCTTCACTCTTAGAAACTGCTTTTCAGAAGGAACCACTTTTAACTCTCAGATGTTTCTTTTGATATTTAACTCATATTTTTAAATTATGCTGCTATTTCCAAACTTCTCATTTTAGACATTATCCTTTGATGTTTATAATGGCAGGTAGAATTTAACTCTCTTTCCCCTCCTTCTCCTCCCTCCGCTTATTGTTTCAATATAGTGATATCACCATTTTGGGAAATCGGTGTTCAGTGTTTACTTAGAACTCTGTAAGCATTATTTATACCTGAGCCCACCTCCTTTCTTATACAACTGTGTTTCTGGGGTTCTTTTATACTTACCATTAACATATGCCCAGACTCTTCTCCAGAGCAGCGTGGCTTCACAGTACATCTGAGCATATCAGGTCATCTCTGGAGCCCTCTGTCCCCTGCTGCAGACTGCCCGCAGCACAGCGTTCACTAGTCTCTGCCATGTGCTGCAGTCCTTCAGGATTCTGGTGGGCCTCTTTTCCTAGGGAAAAGAGGAAAAAGATCTTTCCTGAGATACATTATAGCCTCTGCACTGCAGCTAGTCTCTGAGCCACAACTGATTCTCATTGCCTCTTCCCTCTAGAACCTCTTCTGGATTTTCTTTACACTTGGCTACACCTGGCTTGGGTGGCTCACCTGATTGTGAGACCCAGACTCTCATCTCTAAGGAGTATTAGCCCCTGACCATGCTGTATTCTGGCCATTGCGGCTGCACGTTTCTGCTGTCACTCTGGGGCAGGTGAACACCAAAGGACTGCCCTGTGTCACCTGGGTGCCAAGCCAGCCTGTCAGTGCTGTCTCCACAGACAGCTCTCGGATGCTGCAGTGCATGATGGGACCAGTGAGCCCTGCTGCACCTCTTTTGCTACAAAGTGAGTCCTTTGGTCTGATCAGATGTTTTGTGGGATCCCGTATCAGTGCATTACTCTGTAAGCCCTCAAACAGTGATGCTGGCTGGGGTCCTATGTGCAGGAATCCCAACTCTGGGTTAGGTGTTGATTCCTGACAATGTAAATGGCTGCTCTTTGCAGGAGGGAATGGGTCCATTTGGAGGAATCTTGCTGCCAAATAGCTAGTTGGTCTCCTGCGGGATGGTGCTGTCTCAGGAGCTCTGCAGTGGCTCTGTTACTGGCGTAGTGGGCATTCAGCCATGGTAGTGGGTAGGTCAGTCGTGGTTAGTGGAGTCTGTCTTCTGTTATTTGTATTTTTTACCTTGTGAGTGGGGTTGAGCATCTTTTCATACAGTTAAGGTCCATTTACATTTCTTTCATTGTGAAACTTTAATGAAGTATACACACACACACACTATAGTATAGTATATATGTATACAAAAAGTACACTTCTTAATTTATACATTGTCCTTGGATATTGTTGTTGCCAGTCAGATTGTCCTTAAAAAGCCAGGACATTTTTATTACCATGGGAATCACATGAGAAAAGTGTGTAACTCTGTGATATCTGCTCCTGATACTCATCATTTTTCCATAGGGTTCTTGGTTATTTTCTTTTGTATTTTTTGAAGCTCTTTTTATATTAGAGATTATCACTTAGTAATAGAAATCGCAAATATTTTTCCAAATATTAACATTTTTCTTTGCTCATAGTATTTATTTTCTTGGAAAGTTTTTTTCAAAAATATAACTAGATTTATCACTTTTTTTTTTTTATTGTGTCTGGATTTTGTATTACAGGAAAGTTTTCCATATTCTCTGGTTATGGAGGAATTTACTAATTTTTTCCTTCTAGTTCTTTTATGGTTTTATTTTTGTACATTTAAAAGTGATTTATTGGGAGGTTATAGTACATGATGTGAGGAATGAGTTTAAGTTTTCAGTATGACTGCCCAATTACCACTTATCAGTCCAACTTGTAAAAGGTCCATTTCCCCCATTGACATAGCTTTTATTTCCATATACAATTGGTTTATTTCTAGACTTTGAATTCCATTTCATTGGTTGGTCTGTTTTTTCATGTCCTAGTATTAATTTTAATTTTAGACACTTCTTATAGCTTAATAATAAATGGAGCTAGCTATCCTGTAGGTTCTTTCTTTCTTTTTTTTTTTTTTTTAAAGAATTGCACTTTATATATGTATATATTTTTTATTGATTTTTTACAGAGAGGAAGAGAGAGAGATAGAGAGTTAGAAACATCAATGAGAGAGAATCATCGATCAGCTGCCTCCTGCACACACCCTACTGGGGATGTGCCCGCAACCAATGTACATGCCCCCGACCGGAATCGAACCTGGGACCCTCCAGTCCGCAGCCAAACCGGTTTCGGCTTGTAGGTTCTTTTTAAAACAGGTTTTTCTTGTTTGTTCTTTCCATTGAACTTTAAAATCAATTTGTCTCAGTTTAGAAAGTAACTTGAAGCATTTTATTACCATTATGTTACATTTTTAAACAAAGGAAAAATTTGTGAGACGTACTGTCAGATGTTCTCTAGATCTGACTTGTACTGGAATAGAACCCTGACTTTGTTGAGTTATAGTGCCTCTAGAGTAGATAATCAGAAACCTACTTGAGTATGAGTGCCGGTCCTTGCTTGCTTGGGGACTGTTGTCAGTGAGTCAGCAGCCTGACAATGATACTTGGATTTCTGCTGTTTCTCTTGGATTTTGTTGTTGCCAGACATAGATTGTCCTTAAAAAGTCAGGATGCTTTATTACCACGGGAAGATATGAGGAAAGTGTGTAACTCTGGGATGTCTGCTCTTGATACTGGTCATGCTGTGGGAGGAAATGCATGGAACAGTGATACTTGCAGAGAGGGACGCGTAACAGAAACGTGACCTCTATCAGAATCCCAAAAAGATAAAATCATAAAAAAAATTCAGTCAGATTTTACGCCACTAGTCTGCTTGAGAGAAGCCTGTGATTTTTATATACAGTTTATACAAAAAGTATACCTCTTAACTCTTGTAAATAGTACACCTCTTTCCTCTGTACTTTGTGAGTGACACACACACATACCCCCAACAGTTCCATGAAACTTGGTATTTGGAAAAATGATGGTAAAGATTAATATTGAACTTTTTTTCCTGTGTTTTCTTTTTTGCTTGGAACCTGACACAGAAACTATTGAGATGATTCAGTGTGTTAGAAGGTCAAATGTTTTTACATATAAGCTGACTCCTGACCACAAAGCTGATCTTTCTATTTTAGTCATTTCTTTAACAGTTTTGTGTATGTCTATCCTGTTTTCTCTTTCCCCCACCCCTTATCAGTGGTTACTTTGGAAAAAGGAAGGGCAATGTGAAAAAATTGAGGTTGGAGAATGAGTTGTGCAAAATCTGGGGGAAAGTAAAGGGAGGCCATTTCTTCTTGGGCTGATTGTTTGTGTGTGGCCACCTTACATAGATGGAGTTGTTTACGCCTGGGGCCACAATGGATACAGCCAGCTCGGAAATGGGACAACCAACCAAGGCATTGCTCCCATCCAAGTCTGTACCAATCTCTTGATCAAACAAGTGGTTGAAGTAGCTTGTGGCTCCCATCATTCAATGGCCTTGGCAGCTGATGGAGAGGTAAGTACATTGCTTTTATTCTTTATTTTTTAAATTATGGTAAAATAATACACATGATATAAAATTTGATATCTTAACCATGTTAAGTGTAGAGTTCAATGCCATAAACTACACTTAACATTGTTGTGTAACCATCACCACCGTTCATCCACAGAACTCTTTTTATCTCGCAAAACTGAAATTTTGTACCTATTAATCATTAACTCTCCATTTCCTCTTTCCTGAGCCCCTGGCAATCACTTTCTGTATCTATGAATTTGACTACTCTAGGTGCCTCCTATGAATGGCATCTACAGTATTTATCCTTTTGCAACTACCTTATTTGACATAGCAAAATGTTTTTAAGATTTACCCATGTGGTAGCATGTGTCAGAATTTCCTTCCTTCTTAAGGAGAAATAATATTCTATTTATATGCCACATTTTGTTTGTTTATCTGTTGATGGATATTTGGGTTATTCCTACCTTTTAACTATTGTGAAAATGCCAAAAATATAATGGCCATATTGTACTTGAACATAGTAGCCCTATGTGTGTAGCTACACACATTGTAGGAATATACTCTCTTTCTAACATCCTGTATTGTGTGATCAGGAACATTCATTGATGATGGTAGATTTCAACCTTAAAGCAGTTGAGTCTCATACTGTTTACCAAGACTACAAATTAGAGGTGTATGACAGTGTTCTGTACTTTTCTTTTTAATTACCCTGTCCCTTAAGGTGTATTTTGTTTTTCAGTAAATGTAATAATGTCATAGAAAATAACTTTACCAACATTCCAGTAGGAACTGTACTATTTGTTTACCCCACAAATTCCATGCTTATCTTAAAGTTTACACATCCTGTTATTCTACTTTCTAATCTCATATCCTTTTATTCCTCTACATATCCATAACCTTAGGTCAAGCCTTGTTACCATGATCTCTTATTCCACAGCTTTTTCATTGGTTTATCTATCCAGTATTATTTCTCCACCTCCCATGACTTCTAAATCAGGTCATTTTGTTCCCTGTTTAAAGTTCTTCAATGGTGTTACAGTTTACTATGTAGGATGGGTTATGCATGAAGAAACCAAAGAAGCTCAGGGAGATTTAAGTTTTCATAGCTGGGATGGGCTGGAGCCAGGCTAGCATATAGGCATTAAGCCCTGGAATCCACTGTTTCCTAGTCTGCTTCTTGGTTAGTAGAACTACAGTTCCCATCTATATGTATAAAAGCCTAAGCAACTGAACGACTGTTTGACTGGTCACTATGATGCACACTGACCACCAGGGGGCAGATGCTCAATACAGGAGCTGCCCCCTGTTGGTCAGTGTGCTCCCACAGCAGAAGCGCTGCTCAGCTGACTGAGGGGCGCCAGATGCTGGGCTCACGGCTGGTGAGTGCAGGTGCTGCGGTGCGAGCTTCTCCTGCCTGCATGGCAGCCCAGAGGCAGGTGCAGCAGGGCAGGGATGAGCGGGAGTGGCATGGCTCCCAGTCTCCTCCCAGCCGCCTGCTGCTTCGCACACTGCTGCACCCCCTGAGGGGTCCCGATTAGTGAAAGGGCACAGGCCAGGCTGAGGGACCCCACTGGTGCACGAATCTAAGCATCAGGCCTCTAGTTTTTTGATTTTTAAAAAAATATATTTTATTGATTTTTACAGAGAGGAAGGGAGAGAGATAGAGAGCTAGAAACGTCGATGAGAGAGAAACATCGACCAGCTGCCTCCTGCACACCCCCCACCGGGGATGTGCCCGCAACCTATGTACATACCCTTGACCGGAATTGAACCCGGGACCTTTCAGTCCACAGACCGACGCTCTACCACTGAGCCAAACCGGTTTTGGCTGGGCCTCTAGTTTTTAAAATAAAAGCTGCATTGCAAGGGAACTAGGATATTTGAGAAGTGCCAGAAGAATGTTGAAATTGGAACTTACTAATTTGTACAGTTTAGATTCCTAGTAATTTTTACCTAAAGCATATGGTAGTTTGGATAATTGTGCGAAATATTTGCATGATTATATTAGATATTCCTGTGAATCTATTTTCAGGACATGTTGCCCTAGTTTAGAAGTTTATTGTCTCTACTGCCAAAATTCCCCTTTCCCTAATTTTCCTCTTTGATCACACTCCTGTTTGATAGAATGTTTTGATAATTAACCTGAAGTGATGTGGTTTGTTTTGTTTTTTCATATTAGTTACTAGATTTTAACTAGCTTAAAGATCTATTTATGTTTCTCTTTCTTAGAAAGCTGGTTTCAGGCCAAAAGTAATAAGCAGGATGCAGAGGAACTATTACCAAGAACAAACTAACAGCTTGTTATCATTTCTGTAGGGATAAATGTCTCCATAGTACTTCTGGTCATTACTATGTTAGGATGTGGAACTATGATTGATAATTATAATAATGATGGTCCTGATTCATTGGAAAAGGTTATGAATGTCCAGTATTGGACAGGGAAAAAAGCATAGTGTGGCTTGAAAGTTTCCATGGGGAAAAAAAACATTATGGCCAAAGAGTTAAGCAGATTTTTTTTTTCATGTCACGATTCTTATGTAGCATATACTTCATTTTTAATTGATGCCAGATTAAAAAACATATATGGCTGCCATAATTGTAGAGGCAATGCAGCTTAGTGGTGAAGACCACAGCTGGACTGTGTTGGGTTCAACTTCCACTTCTACTTGCTAACTCTGGAACCTTGAGCAAATCACCTAACCTCTCTGCATTTCCATTTCCATGTGAAAAATGGGGATGGTAATAGTGTCTACCCCAGGGTCATAGTACAGGTTACTGTAATGATTGAATAGGTTAATGCAGTAAAGCACACAGAGTCAGTTAGCACATTGTAAGTACTCTGTTAAGTGGATATATTTATGTTTGTAGGATTTTTACCCTTACCATTATCTTTCCTTCCCTTCTTTTTGTAGGTATTTGCTTGGGGCTACAACAACTGTGGCCAGGTGGGATCAGGATCTACAGCAAATCAACCTACTCCTCGAAAAGTTACACATTGTTTACATATTAAGAGGGTGGTGGGCATTGCCTGTGGTCAGACCTCATCCATGGCTGTTCTTGACACCGGTGAGGTGAGCTATCTTTGCAATCCCCTCCCCCCCCCCCTTCTTTTAGTGAAATATCTTTTTCATAAGGTGCATGTATTAGATTGTAGAAGCAATAGTGCTTTGTTTTGATACCCCATTGATAGCTAACTGATTACTGACTGAGGAGTAACCAGAGAATGCTCCTCAGTGTGAATTTTGGTTTTAATTGATTTTAGAGAGAGAAAAGGAGAAGGGAGGAAGAGGGAGGGCAGGAGGAAGAAAGAAAGAGAGGGAAGGAAGGAGTGAGGGGGGAGAGAAAGAGAGAGAGAGAAAGAGAGAGAGAGGGGGGGGAGGGAGAGGGAGGGAGAGAGAGGGGGAGAGAAGGGGAGAGAGAAAGAGGGAGAGAGAGAGAAACATCAGTGTGAGAGAGAGAAATATTGTTGGTTATCTTCCCCACACACCCCAACCAGGGATCAAACCCACAGCCTGAGTATATTCCCTGACCAGGAATCGAACCCACCACCTTTTGGTGTACGGGACTATGCTCCAACCAACTGAACCACATTGGCCAGGGCCTCAGTATGAACTTTTAAATTTATCTGTAAGTAAAGATTCTAATGTGACTATATTTTATTTTTGTGGAAGATCCAAATAGCTTAATGTTTATAGATATTTGTTAGCGATTTAATCAACGAATTAAAATTTTACAAACCTCATTCTTCTAATGAAAAATCAACTGTGCACTTTTTGAAGTTAGCTGATATGTTTATAGGCAGTTGATGACTCCAATGGGCATGCTTTCTCTGTAGAACTACCTGCCTATATCTGGAATGTTTGTTCACAGGAAGAAGCAACTTGCAAAAGCAGAATTTTTTTTTGTCATGATTATTGTTAACTACTTTTAAAAACCCATCTTTTAGTGACCCTTTCTCATGGTCATCTTTGAATGAATGGTTATTTTTTTAAAAATTATTCTGGTTGCAACTAATACTTAAATGGACCTGTCATTACCTCTGCATGTCTTAGTACACAAAAAATATCCAAAAATACGTCTTTGGCACACACATGTGGAATCATACCTTGGGTGATAAGAGTGTGTTAATTTATTTTTGGAATCAACCCTGATTACTTGGTCGACTTTGAAATTTCTTGGGATAGTCATATGACATCTTCCATTCCAGTATTCTTCACTTACTTTTTAAAAATAAATTTAAGATTATTATTATGAGATTATTTTAACAAATGAAATGAAACATATAAAGTAAAATGTGAATATCTTTAATCTTGTTAATAGCTTGATGTATATCCTTTTGGACTTTCTTCTATAAATAATTATATATAGGTAAATATAATTACTTTTTAAAGAATGGAATTATTATACCTACTACTTTGCTCTGCTGTTCTGTAACTTCCCTGTTTAACAACATGTGTTTTACCTGCATCTATTTTCGACCATTTGTAGCTGCTCTTTATACAGTAACTAGAGGCCTAGTGCACAAATTCATGCATGGGTGGGGTCTGGCCAGCCAGCCCCAAAGGGGGCTGATCGGGCCTGGCTGGCCCCACCCCTGATCAGGGTTGGGGGTGCTGATCGGGGCAGGGCAGGCTGGGGGAGGGGCCTGGAGGAGGCCCACTGAGCGGGAGCTGAGTATGGGCCCCAGGCTTCTCAGGAAGGAAACAAACTACCAGAAGGCTCTACACAGGGCCCGGGCCCTGAGCTCTCTTTAGCCGGGGGACTCAGCTGGGGTCTCTGTGCGTACCATAGACACAGCCGGCATTCACCTTTGTCTGTTGATCAAATCCATCGTATATAAAAAATGTGTTCCCCTTCACTGTGGGCTCTTATGACAAATACAGGCCAGTTGGAAGATGTGAGCCTCATAGCAGAGCCAGGTCCCACAATCTCCTGGAATTTAGGCCTAAGACAGCCAGGTAACAATCTCCCCAGAACAGAACACTGTTTTAGAGTTTTGTTTTTTTTTTTTCTAAATATATTTTATTGATTTTTCACAGAGAGGAAGGGAGAGGGACAAAGAGTTAGAAACATCGATCAGCTGCCTCCTGCACACTCCGTACTGGTTATGTGCCCTGGCTACATGCCCTTAATCGGAATTGATCCTAGGACCCTTGAGTCCGCAGACCAATGCTCTATCCACTGAGCCAAACTGGTTAGGGCTGTTTTAAAGTCTTAATTTTCCCCTAAAATGTGCCCAGCCACTCCTCTTTAGCCGGCATAGACTGAACTAGGGAACCAAAGACAGAGTTTCCTTTGAGGTGGGATCCACCGGGAGCTGGCTGGTGGCGAGGACCCTCGCAGGGGCTGCCTCACCCCCAAGCTCGGTGTGCTCTGAGCCAGTCCATTTCTGGCAGTGCCGGTCCTGGGCTGCTGGTCGGGCGGCAGATCCACAGGGTTTCTTTCCACCACCTTCCTGGCCTTCCAAGCAGTACCCTCTGGCCCGGCGTGCCAGGATGCTGTCACTAGAGCTGGGACTTGGAGAGCTAAGGAGCTGAACCTGCAGGTGGCCAGGTAGTGCCCAACATCCTCCCCATACCCCCCCCCCCCACACACACACACACCCACTTCTCTCTCACTCGTGGATCAAGCCAAAGCCCACTGCCTGATACTGGCGCCATGTGAGGAGGGTCGCAGTGAGGAGAGGGGCGCCCTCGCCTGCCAGCCTCAATGACGATCATCTCGGTGCCCAGTTTATTGAATTCGTCCGACAGAACCTTCGTCTCATGCTGGCCACCGTCATGGCCACGCATCTGGCCCTGGGGCCCTGGGGCTCGGCAGCAGCCATGGTGGCGCCCCTGCGGCAGGTGCATCATAGTGACCCGTCAAACCGGGCGTTCGCTGTATTGGTCACTGGGCTTTTATTATACAAATGACTGCTTAGTGTTTCTTGTATGGGTGACCAGAGCTCTATGATAGACATTTCAATTGTTTCTAATATTTTGTTGCTATAAACAGTGTTGCACTGACTTTCTGTGTAAATCTTTGTGTGTATCTTTGTACACTTAGGCAAGGATTTCTATAGAATAAGTTCTCAGAAATAAGATTTCTGGGTAAGTCATTAAAATTTTTAATGTCTATTGCCACATTTATCTTCAGGAAGTTCAAACCTGTTGCACTTCTGATATTGAAAGTGCTTTTTAACCATATGTTGCTAGTATCCAAAAGTCCACATCCCTTTTTCCCCTCTGTCACTTCGCCCTGAAAAGCCCTACCTGCCGTGGCTGGTGTGGCTCAGTTGATTAGTGTATCTTCCCATACACTGAAAGTGTGCAGGTTCGATTCCCGGTCAGGGCATATGCCTCGGTTACGGGTTTGGTCCCTGGTCAGGGTGCCTATAGGGAGGCAGTCAATCAATGTTTATCTCTCACATTGATGTTTTCCCCTTTTCCTCTCTCTAATATCAATAAGCATGTCCTTGGGAGAAAACTGAAAAAAAAAAAAAAAAAGCCCCAACCAATTCTTATTTGCCCTGCATTGCCATGGAGCGTGGTGCCACCACACATCCTGGGTGGTTTCTAATTTGAGCTAGACCCTTTATTGTTCCTGGTCAATAGTACTTCCTGTGTCCCACACTGGCTATTCTAAACTTCTAACAATTCTTTCACACCTATGTCCAGTCCTGCTACTTTCAGCGGATGACTCCCCTTTCACTCCAGATCTCTGAGGCAGTGGTTCTCAACCTTTCTAATGCCGCAACCCTTTCATACAGCTCCTCATGTCATCATGACCCCCAACCATCAAGTTATTTTCGTTGCTACTTCATAACGGTAATTTTGCTACTGTTATGAATCATTATGTAAAAATCGTGACCCACAGGTTGAGAACCGCTAGCAGGATCGCCTAAGACCATCGGAAAACACAGATATTTACATTATGATTCATAACAGTAGCAAAATTACAGTTATGAAGTAGCAACGAAAATAATTTTATGGTTGGGGGTCACCACAACATGAGGAACTGTATTAAAGGGTCGCGGCATCAGAAAAGTTGAGAACCACTGTTCTAAGGGATCACCACGTTCTGTCACATCTCTCTCTTTAACTTAGTTCCTATCCATTCCCGCTCTCTTGATCCCACTGCCACTGTATTGGTTTGGAATGCCATCAGAGCTCACCTGTTTGCCAAAAAGAGGGAGGTTGGCCAGCCGGCAGGCCCTGCCCCTCAATGGGGTTGGGGGTTGATTGGGGGCAGGGATGGCCAGGGGAAGGGGTTGCAGGCATTTGGCAGGCCCACCCCTGGTTGAACTCCTGGTAGAGGGGACAATTTGCATATTACCCTTTTATTATATAGGATTGATCTTCCTGCCTCTCATACACACTCCAGTTCCCCTTCATGTTGCAGTGAGCATGATCTTTCCAAAATGAAAATTTAAGCATATTAATTTCTGTTTTTAAAATATTTCAGTGAAAGATCCAAAGAAGCATTCTACTTTCCCTGGTATGTTTTTAACACTTTATCCCCTTGGCCTTACCTACTTCTCCTTCTATCCCATATGTGTTCAGCCAGGCCTCCAGCACATTCTGTGTCCTCTACCTGGAGTGCCTTCCCCCTTCTCCATCATTCAGCCCTTCCCAAATCTCCACTTTCTCAAAAGTCTTTCCTTCACTTTGTGTAGCCAAATCCTTTCTCCTCTCTGCTCCTACAGTGCCTAGGTTATAGCTCTCTTATAGCAATTACCACTTGGTCCCAGAAATTTGCATAGTTCATCCCCTCTGTTAAAGATGCGTTCCTCATACCTTTCACAAGGTCCTGACAGGTAGGTGCTTAATAATTGTTAATGAAACTTAGTTTCCTCGTGTGTAAAACAAAAATTAAAGACTTGCCCAAGATTATCTAGCTAGTAAGTTATGGAGTAGGAACTGATGCAAAATTCTGTTCATCCCCCCCCCCACTCCCCCGCAAAAAACAACAACAACAACAACAAAAACCCCATCTATTTGGAGATCAGTGTAGGATCACACAGAGTACAGTATAGATGTTGGAAGTGAAAAAAGTGTAACTGATTTATCTGTTCCCTTTAACTATCACATTTAAAAGCCCATTCTCTCCCTTTCTCTCCCCAAGGTGTATGGCTGGGGTTACAATGGCAATGGTCAACTGGGCTTGGGAAACAATGTCAATCAGCTGACCCCTTTGCGAGTGGCAGCTTTGCACAGCGTGTGCGTGAACCAGGTATGTGTGGTGGACTCTTAGATGCTGGTCTCCCTCTGGCTTCCCTTCTCGGACTTGGAGGAATATTGGAAACTTACTCTTCAATAAATATTTTAGGATAATACTCTGTGCCTGAATCTTTCACATTTACTCCCTAAATTCTGGTGATGAAAAGGAACACCATGGTGGTAGCACATTAGTATCGACAAATACAAAAAAGGATTGAAAGATTCGGTAGTCTCGGGTGTAGGCTTTCCTTGATGCTGTTTCAGTGTTTCAGAAAATGTTGCTCCACACCTGATGATGAACTGGCATTCTGTAGAAGCTGGCTGTAATCTTTTTTTTTAAATATATTTTACTGATTTTTTTTTTTTTTTTTTTTTTTTTTTTTTTTTTTTTTTTACAGAGAGGAAGAGAGAGGGATAGAGAGTTAAAAACATCAATGAGAGAGAATCATCGATCAGCTGCCTCTTGCACACCCCCAACTGGGGATGTGCCCGCAAACAAGGTACATGCCCTTGACTGGAATCGAACCTGGGACCTTTCAATCCGCAGGCTGATGCTCTATCCATTGAGCCAAACCGGTTTCGGCTGGCTGTAATCTTTAAGTAGATGTTTTCTCTGTCCTTCCTGTTTTTCTGTCTATGGTAATCATTTAAATTTACTTGCAGATTGTCTGCGGCTATGCACATACGCTAGCACTAACAGATGAGGGCTTGCTCTATGCCTGGGGAGCTAACACGTATGGGCAGCTTGGAACTGGCAATAAAAATAACCTGCTAAACCCAACACACATCATGGTGGAGAAGGAAAGGTAACTTGGCTGTAGTATGTCTTGAGGTTGTGTGTGCATTGTGGACTTAGGACTGTGTGTGCTGGAACTGTGGTGTTTGGCTTTGTAACTCTTGTTTATTAACATTCTCATTTTGAACAGAGTTTTAGTACCAACTAGAATAAGCATAAAGTTGATATGATTCTTATGAGCTTTCTAAAATAACCTCCTGATTTGACAGCCATTAATACATCCTAGTATAATTCCTAAGACTTCTTGTTGCCCATTTGGTAAGGAAGTAAAATAGGGTCTGTCACCTATTTTGAAGTTGAAGTACAGACTTTTTTGTTGAGCCAACTAAAACAAATCTAAATAAATAAAATCTGCTCTTGAAAGGTCATTATTATCTGTTTAAATATTGATTTGATGTAATGTGTGTTACTGGAATAGATGCTTAATACTTATTCAGCCAAATTGTGAGGTTTCCCTTGCTAAGTTTTAGAATGTCGATTTCTGATTCTGGGCCCCTGCCTAAGAGCCTCGCTGAGAAATGTGGTAACTTTGGCTTGATGTCCGTTTGGCTTGGTGTGTTCAGAGTTCATGACCCCTAGATCAGTGCTTATCAGCCTAGTGAGTGCTGTCAACTCTGGTAGGGATGAGAGAAAAAGTTGTATTTGAAAGGAAATGGTATATCGAAGACAGTATTTTTTATTTTTTGCTACAGTTTAAGCCCCCACAACTGTCAGCACATTTTGTCAGAGTCCACTTCACTCATTTATTCTGGTTTTGTTAGGTCTGATCAAATAACTGAATCAATACCCAGTGGAAGCTGATCTTAGGTCACTTCACAATGGTCATTGGTAAGGGATTATAAATTCACTAGAGGCCCAGCATGTAAGGAGGTGCCCTGCTCCCCCATGTGAGGAGGCACCCCGAGGGGGACTGAGACTCACACCTGACCCGAGTAGCACCGGCCGCCATTGTGTCCGCTGGGTAGGGGCAGGTGCTCCTGGGTGTTGTATCTCCTCTCTGGCCCGCGCCCAGCCCCAGCCTCCCCGGGGCTGCAGAGGCTGGGGGCAGCATGCAGTACTCCCCCCTCCCCCATCTCCGCACGCTGCTCCTGAGCGGTTGTGATGTCCGGCTAATTAGCATATTCCCTGTTTATATATATAGATTAGGTCATCTGATATCCATATATAAATCTATATATATAAAAGCCTAAGTGACTCTTGGGACCAAAAAACTGGAACAACCAATCCACTAGTTGCTATGACGCACATTGTCCACCGGGGACAGATGCTCAATCCAGGAGCTGCCCCTGGTGGTCAGTGCACTCCCATAGCCAACTTCACGCAGCTCCATCCCCTCCTGTGGCCCCTTCCCCATCCTGGCTGGCCAACTTCTCCCCCCCCACCCCTTGTCAGTCAACCTCCTATGGCTGCCCCTCCCCCCACGCCGGCCAACCTCCCGCAACCCCTCCCTCCACCTGCCATCCCCCTGATAGACCTCAATTGCTGGCCAGGCTGAGGGACCCACTGTGCATGAATTTGTGCACTGGGTCTCTAGTGAATTTATACCCCTTACCGCTTCGGCCTCCTGCATTCCTCTTCGGTGACACTAACAGGCTTCTAGTCCCTTTTTCCAAGTTTTTTTCAATAGTTAGGCATTATTCATCTTAGAAAGAGGTTAGGATGAGAAGTTAGGGGCACTCAGAAGAGGAGAAATACTATACTCTTGCTCTGATCTTTTGGTTTTGTCTATAGGACATGATAGCTAACGTTTCTCAATCTTGAGCTGTTTTTTGAGGTGTTCTAAGCATGAACTTTTCATTTACTTTGTGTGATATGTAAGTGACACATCCATTTTTCTTAAAAATTTTTTCAGGGTGGTAGAAATCGCAGCCTGCCACTCCGCCCACACGTCTGCCGCCAAGACCCAGGGCGGGCACGTGTACATGTGGGGCCAGTGCCGGGGCCAGTCGGTGGTGCTGCCTCACCTCACCCACCTCTCCTGCACCGACGACGTATTTGCCTGCTTTGCCTCTCCCGCCGTCTCCTGGCGCCTCCTGTCTGTGGGTAAGAAAGTTCAGGGCTATTTCCACCCGGGAAAAATAGTCCTATAAGCTGAACAGTTTGCTTGCATATTTCCTGGTTGTGGACTTTTTTAGGTTCTAGAATATTTTATTTTCTAATTAAATTTAATATCTTTCCCCTAATTATATTTGCATAATAAAATTTATTAATATGTTATGGAACATTTTATGGATTACTTTCTCCCCGTAAGTACTTTCATTTTAATTGAGGTGAAACTCATATACATAAAATTAGCCATTTTAATTCAGAGTCATTTAATACATTCACAGTGTTGTGCAACCACCATCAATATCAAGTTCTGAAACAGTTTTATCACCCTAAAAGAAAACCCTGTACCTAGGAGGCAGCCACTCTCTATTTTCCCTTCTCCTCCCAGCCACTGGCCAATTTGATTTTTGTTTTATGCATTTTTCTGTTTTGGATATTTTATAATAGCATAATACAACATGCAACATTTTATGTCTGGCTTCTTTTACTTAATGCTTTTGAGGCTTATCATGTTGTAGCCCTTATCAGTACTTCATTCCTTTTTATAGCTGAATAATATTCCATTGGATGTATATACCACACATTTCATTGATTCATTTATTGATGTATATTTGGATCGTTTCCATCTTTTAAATATTGTGAATAATGCTGTTTAAACATTCATGTACAAATACTTGTTTGAGTAACCTGTTCCTAAGTGCTTTTGTTGTTATACTAGTACTTGATTTATTATATAATTCAATTTAATATGATACAAAAATGAACTTTTAAAAAAACTGAACAACTTGTGGTTTTTTTAAGATGGTGTTTTAATCTTTCTTTCTCCATTTTTCTTTGAACCAATCTCAAATACTTTTATTTTAGAAGTGCATTACAACTGTGGTATTTGAAAGGGTAGTTGAATTCAGAGTGTTTTTGGTTACATAATCTGTTCATATTTTGAATACTGTTTCCTTCAAGAGTTCATTATTGGTCGAAAGTATTAAGGTGTCATAAAGATGAGTAGCTTTAAAATATTTTAATTTTATTTCATGTTCATTTCTACCTTTTTGCCAATGTATTTCTTCTCAGTTATTCTGTTGTTAATAAGGAGAGAAAATAAATAGGTTATGATGTCTCGTGTTTGAACATTAGCATAGCTCTTGACCACCCAGGGGTTTGAGTTACTCAGCAATTGCTATTGAAGACTAATCTTTAACACATGTCATGTTGAGCTGTGTCAGACAGCAGGAGCTGTCCCTTTATCAGGTGACCAGTTTTTAGGTCACCTGGATACCAGATGGACTGAGCCCCAAAATTGCGCCATGCACTAGTATGTTTAAAAAGAGTTAAGCTGCTGCTCAACTTAAAGCGAAATAAATTGAACATCTTCATATACTTTGTAATAAAGCAAGTTTTACAGTGAATATTGTGATTAGAAAAATTAAGTTCACCATAAAAAATCATAGAAGAAAGCAAGCAGTAAAATCTTGAACATTTCTTGAAGCGATATTTTTTTCTGATATACAGTATAGCTTCAGGCAAGGGAAACAAAATAAAAATAAACAAATGAGACATCAAAATAAAAAGATTTTGCACAGCAAAGGAAACTATCAACAAGATGAAAAGATAATATACTGAATGGAAAAGCATATTTGCCAAGATATATCTGATAAGCGATATTCAAAATTTATAAAGAACTTATACAACTGAACACCAGGAATACAAACAACCCAGTTAAGAAGTGGGCAAAGGACCTAAATAGACAATTCTCCAAAGAGGACTTACAGATGGCCAGTTGACATATGAAAAAATAATCAATGTTACTAATCATTAGAGAGATGAAAATTACAATGACAATGAGATATCACCTTACATTTGCCAGAATTGTTGTCATTTATAAATCAACAAATAAGGACTGGCAAGGATGTGGAGAAAAGAGAACCCTGCTGCACTCCTGGTGGGAATGCAGACTGGTGCAGCCAATATGGAAAACAGTATGGAGGTTCTCAAAAAATTAAAAATGGACTCCCATTTGACCTAGTAATCCCACTTCCAGGAATATATCCTAAGAATCCTCAAACACCAATCATGAAACATATATGTTCAAAATCTGTGTTCATGGCAGTATTATTTACATTAACTAAGATCTGGAAACAGCCCAAGTGTTCATCAGTAGATAAGTGGATAAAAAATCAGTGATAATTGGTGGAACCAATTTACAGTACTTGCTGCCTCTCACAACCACATCAGTATTACAACTCAAACACAGAACAACCATCATTCAGAACTGCCTGAAATCTGGATAAATGGAAATGCTACAGCTGGAGAATTAAAGAACATAGCACATTGAAACTGATAGGAGGGGTGGAGTTGTGGAATGGGCTAGTCTGACACCCATGTGTGGCGTTTTTTTTTAATCAGGAGTGATTTCTCAATTGTGGAGGCCTCCTGTGAGGAGCAACAAGTTCCAGCCTCACACCAGACGCCTCATCCCAGGGTTTCAGGGCCAGGAAGAGAAGTCCCCCTGACTTTGGGCTGTAAAGACCAGTGGGGGACTTATTTATTTACTTATTTATTTATTTATTTATTTATTTATTTATTTATTTATTTTTGTGACTGAGTGATGAGACTGCTGGAATCCCAGCAGTCTCTTAAAGGGCTGGTGCATGGACTTACTTGGACTAACTCTCTCAGCACCAGCGTGGAGGCAGTGGCTTGGGGAATCCAAGGATATAAGGGGAAGAACTGGATTGTCTGACATCAGGGGTACTCATGGGATTCATTGTTCCTAGGTCGAGACATCCCCAGTCATAGGGCTGATTTGCAGGTGCCCTATCTAAGGCTCTACCAACCTGGCTTACACTTCACTCCACCCTGGTGATTCCTTGAGACTCCATCCCATTTGCAGCCCCACCCAAGCTGTTAGCAATGACTTTTCCTTATGAATGGACTGTCCTGGCTCAGGCTTTAGACTTTCCAAAAACCTCTCAAACAAGTAGTAGCTGGGGTCAGTGTGCCCCAAACCTATCAATAGGAGGCCCAATCCTGGCACTAGCAGCAGCCTACCTTGCTTCACAGGTTGGCCTCAACTGGGCACTTCCAAGCCCAACACAAGCATAGCCATCTGCAGATTGCTCTGTAGCTCCTGCTGGGTGGCCCAAGGCAGTGGCTGACTTTGTTCCTCCTGGGAGGCACCAGAGCCAGTGCACCCAGTGGACAGCTTCAGATCATACCAGATTACAACCCTACACGTCCACAAGTGATACATTCAAGAGGCAGACTCAGTGAGCCCCAAAGCTCCATTGAAACAAGTTCTGCTTCATGGGGTTTTTCCTGCACAGCAGCTCTTCCATTGTAGTTGCAACTGTACTTCACAGCCAGTTGTCCTAGAGGTTATTTCCTCCCTGTGCAGCCAAAGCAGTCAAGGCTCAACTACAGTAAGACTGTATACACAGCCCACACAGGGTGCACTTGGCGTGTCTCACTCAGGTGACCGGGGAAGCTGAACCACTAGGGCCTACATGGCACTTACTACACAAGGACACTCTGCCAATTTCAGGAGTCATAGCAACTCTATCTGATACACAGAAACAAACACAGGAAAGCAGCCAAAATGCAGAGACAAATAAACATGTCACGAATGAGAGAACAGAAGAAATCTCCAGAAAAAGAACTAAATGAAATGGAAGCAAGCAAACAGCTAGATCCACAGTTTAAAACAATAGTTATAAGGATGCTGAAGGTCTTAATGAGAGCTTTAAGGAGCATAGAAAGAACTTCAGAGACATGAGAAAGGACCAGTCAGAAATAAAGCATACACTTAACTGTAATAAAGAATAATTTACATGAATTTAACAGAGGGGAAGATTCCAGAAATCAAATAAATGATTTGGAATACGAGGAAACAAAAAACACCCAATCAGAAGAGCTAAAAGAAAAAAAGAATCCAAAAATATGAAGATAGTGTAAGGAGCCTCTGGGACAACTTCAAGCATTAGGGGTGCCAGAAGAAGAACAGAGATAGCAAGTTATTAGAAACCTATTTGAAGAATTAATGACAGAAAATTTCCCCTGCTGGTGAAAGAAACAGACTTACAAGTCTAGGAAGCACAGAGAAGCACACCAATAAATATCATAATGCCGAAGATTAAAAACAAAGAGAGAATCAGAAGCAGCAAGAGAAGAGCAGTTAGTTATATACAAGGGAGGGCCCATATGACTGTCAGCTGATTTGTCAACAGAAGCTTTGCAGGCCAGAAAGGAGTGGCAAGAAATACTCAAAGTGATGAAAAGCAAGGACCTATAACCAAGAGTACTCTACCCAGCAAAGCTATCATTTAGAATTGAAGGTCATATAAAGAGCTTCACACACAAGAAAAAGCTAAAGGAGTTCATCACCACATGAGTACCCCTGATGCCAGACAAAAGATGGGGTCTGAAATGTTGAAGGGTATTCCTTTTTATTTTCTTTCCTTTTTAAAAAATATATTTCTATTGATTTCAGAAAGGAAGGGAGAAGAAGAGAGAGAGGGAAACATTAGTGATGAGAGAGAATCATTGATCAACTGCCTCTTGCAGGCCCCACATTGGGGATCAAGCCTGCAACCCAAGCATATGCCCTGACTGAGAATCGAACCATGATCTCCTGGTTCATAGATCGACTCTCAACCACTGAGCCATGCAGCTGGACTTGAAGGTATTCTTTTAGAAGAGGAAGAAGAAACGAAGAAGGAATCTAATAAACAAAATAAACTGGTGAAGAAAATAAAGTCAGAGGCGTGGAAACACAGAATAGATTGACAAATCTCAGAGGGAAGAGGACTGGAAGAAATCAACCCAATAATTTAATATGCATATATGCATTACCTAAGGACACAGACTATAGGGTGGTGAAGGCCTGGGGTGGGGCAGGAACCAGGTTGAGGGGACAATGGAGGGAGAAATGGGAGACATCTGTAATACTCTCAACAATAAAAACTTTTTAAAAATCGATGGTACATTTACACAATGGAATACTACTCAGCCATGAAAAAGAAGAAAATCTTACCCTTTGCAACAGCAGGGATGAACCTGGAAAGCATTGTGTTAAGTGAAATAAGTTCACTTATGGGCAGAATTGAATGAACAAAATTAACTAACAAAATAGAAACAGACTCAGAGATAAGAGGACAGCCTAAAGCTGTCAGAGGGGAGGGGGTTTGCTGGGATGAGTGAAAGAGTTGAAGGGATTAAGCAACAAACAAAATGCCGAGATCAGTTTGGCTCAGAGGTGGAGCGTCAGTCTGCGGACTGGGGGATCCCGGGTTCGATTCTGGTCAAGGGCATGTAAGTTGGTTGCGGGCACATCCCTGTCGGTCTGTGGACTGGGGGGTGTGCAGGAGGCGGTTGGTCGATGTTTCTCTCTCATCGACGTTTCTGGCTCGCTCGCTCTCTCTCTCCCTTCCTCTTTGTAAAAAATCAATAAAATATGTTAAAAAAACAAACAAAACAAAACAAACAAACAAAAAAAAACTACAGCCCTGCCCAGTGTGGCTCTGTTGGCTTCATCCCATCACTAGGAGGTCTCAGTTTGGTAAGGGCACCTGGGCTCCGCCCCCCAGTAGGGGGCATACAGGAGTCAGCTGATCGATGTTGTGTTCTTACATCGATGTTTTTCTCTCTTTCTCTCCCTTCCCCTCTCTCTTAAAAAGAACAACAAAACAATAAAAACTTGAAGATAAGGTTATTGATTACCAGAGTGATAGGGCTTCAGAGGAGGTGGAAGAGGATAAAAGGGAGATAAATGTTGATGGAAGGGGATTTGATTTGTGGTGGTGAGCACAATACAGTATACAGATGATGTATTATAGAATTATACACTTGAGCCGAAACCGGTTTGGCTCAGTGGATAGAGCGTCAGCCTGTGGGCTGAAGGGTCCCAAGTTCGATTCCGGTCAAGGGCATGTGCCTTGGTTGCGAGCACATCCCCTGCAAGAGGCAGCTGATTGATGATTCTCTCTCATTGATGTTTCTAACTCTATCCCTCTCTCTTCCTCTCTGTAAAAAAATCAATAATATATATATATATTTTTTTAAAACAATTACACACTTGAAACCTATATAATTTGTTAACTAATGTTACCCCAATAAATTAAATAAAAAAGCAAAGAAAAATTTAGTTCACAGAATGGGACTATTTGGCCATAATCACATATATGTGTCACACCAAAGCACTCTGTACATATCTTCAGATTCTCATATACTACTTAACCTGGACCTGTTATAAAAAGTTTCCTCAGATTTTTGTCTTATAATCCCGATCCTGAAAAGGCATTCTTTTTAGAACATCCTAACATTTTTAATATTAAGCTTAGAAAAAAAAATATGGTCATTGAATATATTACTTTGATGACTTCTTTCCCTCTACCCACTAAGTCTGGTGTGTTTTTTTCTTCTCAATTTATTATTTCAGCTGAGTGATAGGAAGAAAGTCAGTTGGTGAATTCACATCTCAAGAATATTTCCCTTTTATTTCAGGGGTGAGGGGCCTGAAGAGGGGCAAATGGTGATGAAGGGGGCTGAGGGCTTGGTGATTTTGAAGGGAGGGGGAAGGTCTCTGCCCTTTACTTATTTATTTTAATTTATTTTAGAAAGAGGAAGGGAGAGAGATGGAAACATCAATGAGAGAGAAAAATAGATTGCTCCCTCAAGCACACCCCCTATTGGGGATCGAGCCTGCAACCCAGGTATGTGCCCTGATCAAGAATTGAACCAGTTGCCGAAACTGGTTTGGCTCAGTGGTAGAGCATCGGTCTGCGGACTGAAAGGTCCCAGGTTCGATTCCGGTCAAGGGCATGTACCTGGGTTGCGGGCACATCCCCGGTAGGAGGAGTGCAAGAGGCAGCTGGTCGATGTTTCTCTCATCGACGTTTCTAACTCTCGTATCTCTCTCCCTTCCTCTCTGTAAAATATCAATAAAATGTATTAAAAAAAAAAAAAAAAAGAATTGAACCAGCGACCTTGTGTGCATGAGTCAACACTCAACCATTGAGCTACTCTGGCTAGGACAAGTGCCTTTACTTTTTTTTCTTCATAATAATAGATCTACTTGTAATCATAACAGCAGTCTTCTCATCAGGCAGTGAGATCACATTTTTGTAAAACTGTTCTCTTTGAGTATGCATTGTTATTAAGTAAATTTACTCTGTTTTTAGATAGTGTGTACATTAATTCTTATATTTTGTACATTAATTCTTATGATTAAGAGGGATGTTGAGATTTCAAATATTGAAGAAAAGGGTTTTCTCTATGTAAGAACATGACTGCTTAGTATTACCATGTAATAGTGAATTTGTTTCTTGGGATTCTTTGATTAGAATATAGTAACTCCTTGAAATGATCCCAAAACAGGGCAAAGGGGTTCTTAGTATTCCCGTCAAGGAAAATTGGTAAGTTTTTATTCCCAGAAGAGAGTCACTCAAGTTTTGACCAAGTAGTCATGTAATCATGGACTACCAATAGCTTTTTCTTTTTTCAAAAAAAGTATACATTTCTGATGACTAATAGTATGTAAGACTAATACTATTTAATCTTACCAAATAGTATTTTTTGTAGTTTATACACTTGGACACTTATTTTCATGCTGTGAAATTGATTTGTCAAGTAAGGCATGATCTCTTTTGAAAAAAATCAAGTGGAATTATCCCTCGTGTTAATGATTATCTTTTGAAGTCTATTAAATGTTGAGTATGTTTCCTGAGTTTTTTTGTATTTATAATGTGTTTGTTGCCTTCAGAGCATGAAGATTTTTTAACAGTTGCAGAGTCCCTGAAGAAAGAATTTGACAGTCCAGAAACTGCTGACCTAAAGTTCAGAATTGATGGGAAATATATCCATGTCCATAAAGCTGTTTTGAAAATCAGGTATTTTTGCATGAGCTTGAGACATCAATAACCTTATTTTCTTTTTATAATACCTATTCCCTTGTTATTCCATAAAATGGGGACTATTAAAAACAGCTTTGGCAATAGAGGGAAATGACACAACTTAATCTTTTTGCTGATAGTATCAATCCACTCATTATTGAAGACTTTTGCATGCACGTGTGTGTATGTGCACACATGGCCTTTTTAAAAAGCATAATGTAGGAGTATAAGTATTTGTTTATATATCTTTTAATAAATATATTTTAATTGATTTTTTTTAGAGAGAGAGGAAAGGAGAGGGATAGAGAGATAGAAATATCAATAAGAGAGAAACATCAATCAGCTGCCCCGTGGATTGAGCCCACAACCCGGGCATGTGCCCTGACCTGGAATCGAACTGTTGACATCTTGGTTTATGGGCCTATGCTCAACCACTGAGCAACACTGGCCACGCTGTCTAAATTGTTTTTAAATGAAGGATTTTGTGAATATTTATTTCCAACAAAACCTTATTTTCATGGTCAAAAGCCCTCATAAAAGATTGCCAAGGAAAGTGTATACCTCCTTTTGCTCTTAATTAAAAATTTATTTTTATCATGCAGAAAACTGGAATGGTGGTCTTCTGGCTCAAGGGACGTCTAATTCTCAATTAAGGAAATGTGGTTTCGCTATATGTCAGGAGTTCTTGATATAAATGTGAAGGAACTTTATATTTATTAGTGATTGTTTGGACTGTTGCTCACTAAGGCTGCCTCTACAGAAAAAGGCACAAGCAAAGTCAGTCTACTGAGAATAAAACTGGCCACTTACATGTCTTTTTGTAAAGTTAGTCAAAAACCTATTTACAAAACAACATGTTAAAAGGAATTGAAAAGTCCACATATTATTCATTACTTAAGAGGTAAATATCTGCACCAAAGTATTAATTGAAAGATGAACTGGAAATGTTTATGTCTGTGAACCTGTGGACAGCCAGTCTATTCCTTTCATGTATAGATTTCTGACGCATTTCATCTATTATTCATGCTTATATATCCATTTCTTTTTACTTCTCAGATGAAATAATTTTTTAAGGTAAATGGCCATTCTTTTAGTATTCTGAGTGGATTTTGAAAGTATTTTGTGTTTATAATGTATCTCATTTTAAAAGGATTTAAAAAGATGGTTTTTGAAACCTATAAAGTAAGTCATACTTTTAAGAAAATCTATATTCAAAAATAAGTTTCTGAATTTATAGGTAGATTTATACATGTTAATACAATACAAAAAGAAGCCCTTAGGTTTTCTTGAAATATGTGACTATAAGTAAGTTAGTGTCCCAGTGCACGGAATTATGCACACTGAAGGAAATTAATTAGAAGAAATATTTTTATTTTTATTTTTTAATTAAGGTATTATATGTGTACATATCTTACCATTATAGAAGAAATATTTTATTTTATTTTATTTTTTTCATTTTTTAATTAAATTATTATCTGTGTACATATTTTAACATTGCCCCCCCTCCCATACATACCCTCCCTCCCCAGAGTTTTGTGACCATTGGTTGTACTTATATGAATGTATATAAGTCTTTCGGTCGATCTATTATCTCCCCCAGATCTCCCTACCCTACCTGCTGTAATTTGACAGTCTGCTTGTTGCTTTACTGTCTCTATATCTATCTTTTGGTTCATCAGTTTATAATGTTCTTTATTATCCATAAATGAGTGAGGTCATGTGGTGTTTCTCTTTCATTGATTAGCTTATTTCACTCAGCATGATTTCCATCCAGGTTGCTGCAAATGATGAGAATTCCTTTTTTTTTATGGCAGCATAGTATTCTGTTGTGTAGATGTACCATAGTTTTTGGATCCAATCATCTGCTGACGGGCACCTAGGCTATTTCCAGATTCTAGCTATTGTAGATTGTGCTGCTATGAACATAGAGGTGCATATATCCTTTCTGATTGGTGTTTCTAGTTTCTTGGGATATATTCCTAGAAGTGGGATTACTGGGTCACATGGGAGTTCCATTTTCAGTTTTTTGAGGAAACTCCACACTGTTCTCCACAGTGGTTGCACCAGTCTGCATTCCCACCAGCAGTGCACGAGGGTTTCTTTTTCTTCGCAACCTCGCCAACACTTGTCGTTTGTTGATTTGTTGATGTTGGCCATTCTGACAGGTGTGAGATGGTACCGCATTGTTATTTTGATTTGTATCTCTTGGATAATTAGTGACTTTAAGCATGTTTTCATGTGCCTTTTGTCCTTCCTTCTGTCTTCTTTTGAAAATATTCTATTTAGGTCCATTGCCCATTTTTTAATTGGATCATTCATCTTCCTTTTATTTAGTTGTATAAGCTGTCTGTAAATGTTGGAGATTAAACCTTTATCAGTGGTAACATTTGCAAATATGTTCTCCCACACAGTGGGCTTTCTTGTTGTTTTGTAGAAGAAATATTTTAATATCACTATTCACGTCTTGCTAATGAAAAGAAAATACGATTCTACCAAGTTTCCTATCTACCTACTCCAGAACTTCTGTGAGGATCAAATGAGATGAGGCACGGGAAAACACTTCACAAACATTTGGTTAAACTGTAAAATGTTTGCATTGCATCTGGCTATAAAGCAAGTCGGTTCCTGGGCTGAAGAAACTCCAAGGAGGCTAGTCGCTAGGGAAAGGAAGCCAAGCATTAATGTGACGTCATTACCTGGCGCCCACAGTGACTGTTTCCAGGCTGAGCCACATGGGGTCTTGGCAGCATTGGGCCAACACTCAGCTTCTCCCAAGTGGAACATAGGCCCTGCCACCACCCCGAAGCAACACCCACCAAACCGCAGCCAATGCTGCCAAGACCCCATGTGGCCCAATTCCAGTTCCAGTGGGCCACATGGGGTCTTGGCAGCATTGGCTGCGGTTTGGTGGGTGTTGCTTCGGGGTGGTGGCAGGGCCTATGTTCCACTTGGGAGAAGCTGAGTGTTGGTGCTAGGTCTGTGGTGTCATTTATTTTTAAATGGCCAGGGCACATCATGGCAGTTCCTGCATTGAGCATCTGCCCCCTGGTGGTCAGTGCACATCATAGCTACCGGTTGGATAGATGGACACAGCCTTTTACACTGAGGGGCCAGATTATTATGGTCTCTGAACACATAATAATCTGGCCACTCACTGTGTGTGTGTGTGTGTGTGTGTGTGTGTGTGTGTGTGTGTGTAGATTGGTAACAGCTTGGAAAGAGAGGAAAGGGGCAAGGCAAAGCAAAGAAACAAAATAGGAGAAGTAGCCTCCCATTTTGAAGACGAGTCAGAAAGAGAAGGAAATGAAAGGTAATGAAACAATAATTAGTTTAAATGCAACCCAGTTAACATTTAAAACAGTTTTAAGAATATTCTGATTAGCATTGTTCTCGGTGGCCAAGACATGGAGATAGCCAAGGTGTCTTACAATAGAGGATTGGATAAAGAAGATGTGGTACATAGATGTTATAGAATGCTACTCAGCCATAAGAAAAGATGAAATACTGCCATTTGTAACCACATGGATGTACCTTGAGAATACTAGTATTGTGCTAAGTGAAATAAGTCAGGCAGAAAAAGCTAAGAACTATATTATTTCACTCATATTTGGATATAAAACTGAAATTCATAGACACAGATCATGGTGGTTGCCAAAGGGAAGTGGGGAGGGTAATACATGGTAACAGAAGATGATTTGACTTTGATGGTGGGCACACAGTGCGGTATACAGACCCTGTAACAAAGAAATGCACACCTGAAGCCTGTATGATCCTATTAACCAATGTCACCCCAATAAATTTGACTTAAATTTTTTTAAATGAATATGATAATAATATTTTTTAAAAAAAACACAAATAAACAGCCTAGCCAGATTGGCTCAGTGGATAGAGCATCAACCTGCAGACCGAAGGGTCCCAGTTTCGGTTTCAGTCAAGGGCACATAACCTCTTTTACATGCTCCTTGCCAGCTCAGACCCTGGTCAGGACTTGTGCAGGAGGCAGCCACTCAGTGTGCTTCTCTCACATCAATATTTCTTTCTCTCTCTCTCCCACTCTCTCTAAAAATCAATGGAAAAAATATCTTCTGGTGAAGATTAAAAAAAAACAAACCACAAATGAATCATTTAAATGTGTTACTTTATAATGGTATGTTTGAAATCTCATTTTTAATTTTTCTTTAATTTCATTATTTAAAATGCATTTGTATACATTTAAAAATATTTTTATTGATTTCAGGCAGGAAGGGAGAGATAGAAACATCAATGATGAGAGAGACTCATTGATTGGCTTCCTCCTGTACACCCCATACTGGGGATCAAGCCCACAACCCAGGCATGTGCCCTTGACTGGAATCAAACCTGGAACCTTTCAGTCCCCTGGCCAATGCTCTATCCACTGAGCCAAACAAGCTAGAGTTCATATACATTTAAAAAAAAACACAAGTGAGCAAGATGTCTTGATATGAATGGGGACTGTCAAATGGAAACAGCAGTAATGCACAAGTGCTAGGCAGTCCTAGGCTCTACATAGAATTATTTTTAAAAATATATTTTTATTGAATTTGGAGAGAAAGAGGGAGAGAGATAGAAACATCAATAATGAGAATCATTGATTGGGTTGCCTCCTGCATGCTTCCTACTGGGGATCAAGCCCGAAACCCTGGCGTGTGTCCTGACCAAAGTTGAAATGTGACCTCCTGGTTCATGGGTCGATGCTCAATCACTGAGCCACACCAGCCGGGCTACATATAATTCTTAATAGTTCACAGGAAGCATTCATCAAAAATGAGTCATACCCTGGCCAGGTGGCTCAGTTGGTTGGAGTATCGTCCCAGACACCAAAAGGTTGTGAGTTTGATTCCTTGTCAGGGCACATACCTAGGTTGTGGGTTCAATCCCTGGTCAGGGCGTGTGCCGGAGGCAACCAGTTGATGTTTCACTCTCCCTCTCTCCAAATTTCAATGAAAACATATCCTTGATTGAAGAATTTAAAAAATGAAAATAAGTGTACATAAAGGGCAAATATAAAAGTTCTTGCACATTGAATATTTTTTAGAGTGCTAGCTAGATTCATGATCCTGGTGTGTGTAATCCCAAATATACTAGTAGTAGTTAAAGATACCTCTAATATTTGATTATCTGATTCCATCAACTGAAATGACTTTTTCTCTCCCGTTTTAGGTGTGAACACTTTCGATCCATGTTTCAGTCTTATTGGAATGAGGACATGAAGGAAGTGATAGAAATAGACCAGTTTTCTTACCCAGTGTATCGTGCCTTTCTTCAGTTCCTCTACACAGACACTGTGGACCTGCCGCCTGAAGATGCTATAGGTACTCAGCCACATTGGGACTGGCCACATCACATGGTCAGAAATATAGCTCCTCATCTTCTTATGGTATTGAAAAATGAAGGTTTCAGCTTTATTGGCTTTTAAAAAATATTTGAAGTAAATATCTTTAAAAATAGAGATATTATATAGTTATCCTAATATATAAAAACCCTGTAATGACCCAAGGCTCAACTGAATGCCAGGATGCATGCGTAGCAGGCTCTGGTGGGCGGGGAATGGTGAGCGGGCTGAACTGCTGACCTCTCGGGGAGAGAGAGAAGTGGGGCTGATCAGTGGCTATCACTGCCGCTGGTGAGGCCCCAAGAGAGAGAGCGAGAAGCTGTGGATCAGACCCTGCTGCGCTCTCTTGTGGTCTTGCCAGCAGTTGGGCTTCTCTCTCTCCGAGAGATCAGCAGTTCAGCTTGCTTACCAGCAGCCAGAGATGGCTGTGGTTCAGGCCTGTCTCTCTGATCAGGCCCGGATATAGGCCCAGAGACACTGACTGGTATAGAAACTGACCAAATCAGAACCACATCTGGGTGAACTGCGAGGAGCCAATTGCTGCATAGGAGGCAGAGCTTTTGACACTGACTGGCATGGAAACCGACCAATCAGAACCAAATATGAGTAAACTGCATGGAACCAATGGCTGCCTAGGAGGCTTTTGATGCTGACTGGCATAGAAACCAACCAATCAGAACCTAATCTGGGTGAACTGTGAAGGCAGAACCTAAGGTGAGGGCTGAGAAGTGGTTTTAAGGGCCACAGCTGTTTGGTGTAAGGTAAGGTGACCAGACGTCCTGCTTTTGGCGGGACACATTGTTAAAAATCGGGACTGTCCCGCCAAAAGCGAGACATCTGGTCACCTAAATGTAAGGCCATGGAAGGCAAACTTTTGCCCCTTGAGTGTGGCTCTTCCACAAAATACCACGGCCTGGGTGAATCTATTTTGAAGAAGTGGCATTAGAAGAAGTTTAAGTTTAAAAAATTTGGTTCTCAAAAGAAATTTCAATCATTGTAATGTTGATATTTGGCTCTGTTGACTAATGAGTTTGCTTACCAACTGGTGTAAGGTGTAAGAAAGCGATTCAGTTTTTTAATGACCAATTTGGCGGTATAGTGCATATGGCTGACTGATAGTCCAAATATAGGGATTATGTAGTTTTATCTGCCAAGATCATCTCCTCCTGAAGAAAAAGGCTTTTCCTCCCATTTAAGCAATTCTATATAATCTGTATTAATAAAAGGGTAATATGATAATTAGACTGGGTCAAGCAGCCATCTTCCGGACGTCCGACTTCCTTTCAGACAGTGCCATGGTTGTGGGGGCCAAGGCAGAGGCAGTTAGGGGCAATCATGCCAGCAGTGTAGGGCATTTGGGGGCGAGATCAGGCCAGCAGGTGGTTAGGGGCAATCAGACTGGCAGGAGAGGGCAGTTAGGAGCAATTTTGCAGGCAGTTAGGGGCTATCAGGCAGGCAGGCAGGCAGGTGAGCAGTTAGGAGCCAGTGGTCCCAGATTGCAAGAGGGACGTCTGATTGCTTAGAATTGGGCCTAAACCTGCAATCGGACATCCCCCAAGGGGTCCCTGATTGGAAAGGGTGCAGGCTGCACCGGGGACTGCCCCCCACCCCCATGCATGAATTTCATGCACTGGGCCACTAGTGGTTAATAATTTTGGACATTAAATTAGTCCAAAATTATTTTGTGGGATTATTTTAATTTTTTAATACTGAAGTATAACTTGATAATGGATTTAACATGTTGTTTTGGGGAAAATGAATGGAAAATTTCCTTTTTTGCCTTTCTCTGCACTATGGGAGAAATTGTATAAAGTGAGTAGAAGCGAGGTTTGTTTGGGGAGTTGGGGAGGTAAGGAGTAACAAAGAGAACTTAATAAAATTCAAGTATTGACTAAGAAACTTCTGACTTACCTACATTACTTTGTGTACCAGAAACAAAAGAAAGTACATATATCGATACATATATGTGTGCATGTATATATGTTTAAATTATGGCACATTATTGTAAACTTCATTAAAACAGCTGTATTTTTAACTTTTAGGTCTTTTGGATTTGGCGACATCTTACTGTGAAAACAGACTGAAAAAACTTTGTCAGCACATTATCAAGCAAGGAATCACTGTGGAGAATGCCTTCTCATTATTCTCTGCTGCAGTCAGATACGACGCAGAGGTAATGTAAACCCACAAACAGAAACTCGAACCGCCCCTAAGTCCCTGTGTGCCCCTTTCTGTCATTTTCTCACTTTGACAAGGACCATGATGAGTAACCTCCTTTCTACTTAGGAATCAATGAAGTGACTGATCCCTGAACAATGAAATCCGGCCTTGCTTCTTTCTTTTCTGTTCTTAGTTTCAAAATTGTTATTCTCTTTTTCTTTCTAACTAAGATAAGAAATTGAGGTCCCAGCAGCTGTACTGCTGGGTGGACTATGAAGTGCACACCTAATTGGACTAACAAACCACATATTTTTGTTCAAGTATTCCTCAAGGTCAGCATATATATTTCTTTCAAGGCCACTTCGTTGTTCCCTCTCTATCCTGTCGTAAGCCATGGATGCCGTATGATTTATATCTGCATATGTTCTGAAATTCTCCCATTGTCTAACGATAACACAGTTATTCATGTGTTAAGAGCTTGCTCTGGAATCCTTTTTGCCTATTTTTTTTTTTACACTGGATTGAATTCTTAATTTTAGGATTCATGGGTCCCTTAAGACTGTGATTGAAAGGGCTTTGGGAGTCTGACGTCTGTATTTATGTGCATTTTCTGGAAGGGAAGAACCGTAGCTCCTCACAAGCAGAAATGGGTCTTATTCATCTGTGCCCCGTGGTGCCTGGCACAGAGGCTCTGGGTGATGAATGTTTGTTGAACCACCCAAAGGGAGCTTAAGGGACGCTTAATGAACTAAAGGGTGGTATGGTTGGTGTTACAAATTCACAGGGAATATAGAGATCAGTAGCTTTGAAGTTCATGATATCTAGTTAAGATCTCCACCCTAAAGGGCGCAATTTGTTTAGGATTATAAATAATCTGTTATCATATTCGGAGCCAGAATACCGGTACCAGGGAATTGACCAAACACCTGCAAGGATCTGCAGCTGTGGCGGTGGAGAGATGGAGGACAGGCTTCCTCCCTATCACACTTAGGGATTAGAGTACACCATTGTGTCTTATGCTTTCAAAATGTGTCCTATTTTTATTTGAGATTATGTTACTATTATAAATATTTGATAAGGTCAAATATAGCTGACTTTCTCTCTAGCCTTTTCAACAGATGGAATAATCAAAAGGGATTTTTAAGAGAAAGTGGAAGTATAGTTTTTTTCCTACCCTTTCTCTGATAGTATGAGCTTCCTTATTAGACATGCTATAATAAATTTTCTTAGATTTAATTTCCACCCGATGGTATAATTTTAAATTGCCAGTGTCTTTCCTCTCCATTTTGTGATTGATTTTAGAATCTTGTTTGTGTCTCTCCATACTCCTCCCCATTGCTAATGAGTTCCACATTTTGGGGGTGTGATCTTGCTGATTAAAACCATCTGGACAGAGGCAAACATTTCATCTCTAGTTGCTGAAACTTTCTTTCTCACTTCTAGCTAACATGTACCCCAGAAAGTTTATAGAAAAGTCTTAAGTTAGCTGATCATTTCCCTGACTAGTTTTTTCCTCAATTAATTATAAACACATTAAAAATAAAACCCATTATTTGAGACCACAAATGCATGGGATCTCCCAGAGTCTGCCACAATATGGGCATGTAGTTAGTATTAAAAAATATACATTGAGTTAAATTCATGAATGAATGTATTTGAAACTTGTAATCATGTAGATGTGCTTATTAAAAAACTTTATAACACATTCAATATGGAAAATATGTTCCTTCGTATACCCTTTGACAAAATAATCTTTAAGCAAATGTGCACACATAAAAGCAACAAAAATGTATTGACTCACTACTTATGAAGAGTTTTTAAAATTAACTATTGTGGAGTCCTTTCATTGTGAATGAAACTTTCTCTGTAGTAAAGGACTTGGAGAAGGAGCACTTGTACTCCCCATCATAAATCTGAATAAAATATTGACATTAAGGGAGAAAATGTGAGAAGTCTTGGGGTACTTCTGTGTCACATTATAAAAAATTTGAAATGTTTATACTATTTCAGGATTTTTTTTTTGCATTTTAATTTATTGATTAAGGTATTATTTATGTATCCTCATCCCCATTACCTTCCTCTCACTCACTCATGCCTCTGCTCCCCTGGTGTCATTTGGTTAAGCTTATATGCATGCATACAGGTCCTTTGATTGATCTCTTCCCCTTCCCCTTCCCCTCCCTTACCTTCCCTCTGAGGTTTGATTGTCTGATCATTGCTTCTCTGTCTCTGGATCTGTTTTTGTTCATCACTTTATGTTGTTCATCATGTTTTAGGAAATTTTTGTTTTCTATTATATTTGAACTTTAGGAGGAACAGTTGAGAAGTATTATTTGTTTAATAAGATTAGAGAATTTTCCAGAAAATCCTACTTGTTGAGTAACTTATATCTTAGAATTTTGTTTTTGTTGGGAAGCCATATAAATACGAGCCGAGAAATGTAATTCCAAAAGTGGTTTGGGATGTGAGTATTGGAAAACTTTATGCTAAAATCAGATGGTCAGCATTTTTTTTTCTTCTTTCTGAGAGCCAAATTATAAGCTTTCTATGACCAGTAGCCTGTAAAATATGTTTGGGATAATGAGAGAAAGTACCTTTCTCTATTTTTTTCCATATGACACGATATTTAAATACATTCTTAAAAAAAAACAAACTTCAATCTGAAATATTTTGTATTTGATATAGTATAAAATGAATTCTAGATACGGGTTAGAGGCTTTGTTTGACAATTATTTTAACGTTTGGACAGTTAGTTATGGTTCGCCATCTCTTGTCATCTGCGTGTGTGCAAGGTCGGCTTGTGACAGGAAGGCAGCCTTTCTGACCGTGGCCGTGCCCTTCCCCAGGAGGCCTGAGCATCCAGCTGTTCTAGCGTGGGTCTGTTAGGACTGGATAACTCCATCAAATACATTTGCATTTTTAAGATGTTGATATTAAGCCCTGGCTAGGTAGCTCAGTTAGTTGGTTGGAGCGTCATGCCGATATGCCATGATTGTAGGTTTGATTCCCAGTCAGGGCATATACAAGAATCAACTAGTGAATGTATAAATAGGTGGAACAACAAATTGTTGTTTCTCTCTGTCCATCTCTTTAAAATCATAAATAAAACATTTTTAAGATGATATTAAGACCATCATTCTCTTTTTGTTACTAAAGAAAATCTGTGGGAAGGAAGGAAAAACAACTTGTTTGATATGTACTAATATAGTGACAAAAATAATTAAATCAAATATTTAAAATTTGGAATGAAATTATAAATTATTTCAGTATAGCAGTTTTTAATTTTGATTTTCCTTGCTAATTACAACGAAATCGATGTTTTACGTTATTTGCCTTTATAATAATCTCACCACAAGATGTCATAACATGGACTTAAGTTCTGAAACATTAATAATAATACATGTTAGATTTGCATATCCCACTTCCCTACTCAATGGGCTTTGAGAAAACTCGTTCATTCTGTCCTTCTTGTCCTTCTTGGAAAGCTTTTATTTAGAGCCCAGCAATCCTGTTATAGTTGACCAGTGACCTAGTGCACGAAATCTGTGCACATTAAAAGGGAATTAGAGCCGAAACTGGTTTGGCTCAATGGATAGAGCGTCGGCTTGGGGACTGAAAGGTCCCGGGTTCGATTCCGGTCAAGGGCATGTACCTTGGTTGCGGGCATATCCCCAGTAGGGGGTGTGCAAGAGGCAGCTGATCGATGACTCTCTCTCATCGATGTTTCTAACTCTCTATCTCTCTCCCTTCCTCTCTGTACAAAATCAATAAAATATATTTTTTTTAAAAAAAGGGAATTAGAGGAAATAATTTAATACTGCTATTTGCCCTTTCTCTATAATAGAAGTGTCAGAGATGAAAGAAAATTAGTAAAATGTATATGAAAACTTTCCTCCTGTCAGAGTCTGGGGTGTGCCACGGGAACTAGAGTCAAGTCCCCGCCCACCCATGCACCTTTAAATTTTGGGAGACCCAGCCCCAGCCGGCCCCACCCCCATTGAGCTAGATCAATACCCAGCCGGCCACCCTCATCAAACCCCACTGGGTGGGGTGCGTGTCCTCAGGTCGCCTGGCTCCCCCATCAAGTCCCGCTCGGGGTGGGGGGGCAGCCTCTGGTCCCCCAGCCCAGTGCCAGGGCAGGGGGCATGCCTTGAGGGCGGGGGATGCGGCCTCAGGTTTTCCAGCCTAGCACCGGGTTAGGGGGGAGTGGCCTGAGGCTCTCCAGCCTGGCACCAGGGCAGCGGGGTGTGTGTGTGTGTGTGTGTGTGTGTGTGTGTGTGTGTGTGCCCTGAGGTTCCCCCGTCAAGCCCTGCTGGGCAGGGAGCATGTCCTAAGGTCCCCTGTCTAGCCCCACCAGGCGGGAGTGTGCCCTGAGGTTCCCCCGTCAAGCCCTGCTGGGCAGGGGGCATGGCCTGAGGTCCCCTGTCTAGCCCCACCAGGCAGGGGGGTGTGGCCCGAGGTCCCCCGTCAAGCCCTGCCAGGTGGGGGACACAGCCTGAAGTTCCTGTCAAGCCGCACCAGGCAGGGGCACAGCCTCAGGCCCCCTGCCCCGGCCCAGTGCCACGCAGCCTCAGGTCCCTGCTGATTGCTCGTTAAGGTACGTTAGGGGAACTCCACTTCCACTGTGGGAACAGCCGTCTTGTGTTCCGGGATCCCCCTGCTGTGGGTGCATCCATCTTGCTATGGCGTGACGGTCAATTAGCATATTCCCTCTATTAGATAGGATGTCTTGATTATATATGAATCACATTTTTTTCTAAGCAATTGGAGATCTGATTATTTGCAAATTGCGCTGAACAGATCGTGTAGATTCTTACAGTATTTAAGAATTATCAGAAAGATGTTTATCTAATTCACACATCTAAGGCAAACTGGTTCCGGGCATTGGTTTTTTCAATTAATTTGCTTGGCTATGCCACTCTGATTCATGCAAATGAATTTGCATATTCCAGTTTCTCTTTCCAAGTGCTTTCAATGCTTCCTTTTCCATAGATCTTCCTTCACCAAGGTTCAATTAGTTTCTTAAACAATGGATATTTAGATTATTTTCAGTATTCTCTAGCTAGAATTTTCTTTTTAAGTCTCACCTGAGGATATTTTTCCATTGCTTTTAGGTAGAGGGGAGGGAGGTAGGTAGAGGGGAGGGAGGAAGACAAGGGGGGAGTGGGGAGGGGGAAAGGAGGGAGATGTGTCTGCAGGCTGCCTCCCGCTCGCCTGGACTGGGGCTGGATATGAACCTGCCGCACAGGTACTGGTACTAGTATGTGTTCTTAATCTGGACTGAACCTGCCACCCTTCCGTGCGTGGTACCAGTGCACTAACCACGGAGCCCTACCAACCAGGGCCCTGGTTAGACTTTTGTTTGAAACGGTTAAACATTTGTTGAATATTGAGAAATCTCACCAATTCAAAGGCAGTTTGATATAACTATTTTTATTGATATATGAATGGATTTGTAATTAGAAGCACAGCTTGCATTTTTTTTTTTAAGTTTCTATTGATGAAAGAGAGAGAGAGAAATATCCATCTGCTGCCTCCTGCATGTCCCCTCCTGGGGATTGACCCCACAACCGGGGCATGTGCTCTGACAGGGAACCAAATGTGACCTCCTGGTTCACAGGTCAGTACTCACCCACTGAGTAACACTGAGTAGCACTGGCCTGGCTTCTTTTCCTTTGAATTTGAAGTTATATAATTAAAACTTAATATTTAAACATCCTTATCTGATATATTACATGGTTTTGGACAACTTTCTTGCTCATGACTGGCTACTTCTTCCTAAGTTATGGATAAACTAGTTTTCTACTTTTGATAAATAAAATCAAAGTATAACTTACCTTCCTGTGGAATAATATAGTCCCTAGAGCTATTTATTAACCTCTGGGTTATAAAATACTAGGAGTAGTGCTTTTTCTTTAATATTAACGTGAGAATGTTTTATATAATTTAGCATTTTATTTTAATATAATACACAGAGCATTCAGTTGCAAGTTTATTCAACCTATTCAGTATCTCTTATTAAAAATATGGATTCAGAGATTGTGCTAACATTTTAAATGCATTTTGAATTATCTAGAAAACTCTACCAGTGACTGGCTAGTCCACATTAGATGGCGTTTATCTCCTACTGGTTATATTCCTGGAGGGGAGACAAAGGGCCTTTGTTTGCAGAGGTCTGCACTGATAGAGCAAAAGAGGTGTGTGTCCATGTTTGTGTGAGTCCTTCCCCATTTTGCCTAAAATTCTCATTTCATGATTACTGGAAACGTGAAGTCAAGACTGTACCATTTAAATGTTGAGTCCCTGAGTATCTTCACAGTATCCAGACAAGTGATAAAAATCAAGCTATTTGTGATGAGTTATTAGTAGGATTGCTTTTATATACTTAGTCTTGGTATATATTCCCGGTACCTCATTGATTTAATATATGTTCCAACATACAAAGGAACAAACAAGCGTCTTGCTGGGGATGAGGCAGAAATCGATTTTTAAATTGTTCTGGTTTACCTTCCTGAATGGTGGTGGTTGGTGACTTCCGTTTGTCTGACTGAAAACCCAGTCTCTGAATACTCTTTCTGTTAACCATCTAAGAAATTGGTGTGATGGAAGTTGTATATTATTCTTGAAGGCATTTTATTTAGGAGAGCATGAAAGCGAATTTAAGGTCCCTGGAAATTTTTTCAATGTGTCACTTTAGGTTGACTACACCTCTTTCTTCAACACTAATGTAATTCTTATAGTCTCTCATTAAATAACCCATATCTTAATTCTTTTCTCTGACTTCTTGAGTGTGGTGAAACATATGACAGGGACTAAAGTTGCATTAGCTTTTTAAAATCATATCGTCTAGTAAGACTAGACTGTGTGATAGCCGTGAGGAAACTTCCCTCACGGACTGTGTGTGTGCATGTGGGTATGTTTTGAAGACTCAGACGAGATAGGGAGTCATTGCTGTCACTGAGTTGTGAGTAAGCAGTGGTGCTTTTCTGACACCTACCTGTGGTCACTTGTTGCCTAATTTGAGGTTTCTGGACTCAGCTGTCTTTTCTGGGGGAGGGGGAGGTACTTGGAGGGGAATGGTTTGGAGAGAAGTTATTTAATCAAGGTTAATTTAAAAAGGCCTCTTCTTGTTTTTATTTTTGTTGTGTGTGTCCAGGATTTAGAAGAATTCTGCTTTAAGTTTTGCATCAATCATTTGACAGAAGTTACACAGACTGCAGCATTTTGGCAAATGGATGGCCCTCTGCTAAAGGAATTCATTGCTAAAGCCAGTAAATGTGGAGCCTTTAAGAACTGAAGCCAAGGCTGCCGGGTTATGTGTGAGTGCCCTGGGCACTGGGATGGTGTATCTTTTGTGCTCTCCTGGTGATGTGCTGCAGGTAAAACCCATCAGGCTGTCTCTTTTCATATCTGAGACACAGTTCTCCGGGTAGGAATATATGAAGGATATATAGCTTTTCCTGAACTTTAAACAACTCTTGTTTCCAGACAGGTATATTTTAAATGTGACTGTCGGTTTGTCTGGAACACTAGACAAGGGTGAAAGTTTAGCTGGTTGTTTAGAGGAATTTATGAACTTGGAAAGAGGAAGTTTGTGGCAACTCTCCTGGCTAAGGTATCAACAATCTGTTTGACCCTTGGGGTGGGGGTAGTTTGTGAATTGTGAGTGAGGCATACAGGCCCCACTATGAATTAAAGATGCTGACTTTGGGGCTTATTAAATTGCTGCGTTGTTAGTTTAACTGCCTTACTGTGAAGGATTAGCGGAGATATTTTCAGGCTTTTATTTTTGTGTTTGCACTATTGATGGACTTTTCTTAACTTCATGGTGTATGAAAATAATACTGAATTTAATATGAGTTAAATCTATTGAAATGATAATTATGTAAAGATAAATTTATAGATTATTCAAGCTTTCTCTTAAGGCTTAAGCACATAAAGATTAGTAATTTAGAACTGTCTGTGAAAAGTTGATAATGAAAGAAACTTGGACAAAGGTGAATCTTTTATAAATTAGGATCTCCACTACTATTTAACGATGTTTTATTTTATTAAGAAAATATTTGAGAACTTGAGTTTAAATTGCCCCCTCTTCCATATACACTTTTTCCTCTACAAAAGTGATATACTCAGTATACTCTTGCCTTCCTAAATTGTGGCTTGCTAAGTCATCAGTTCTGCTGCCTATGACTCAAAGGTTCTTAAAAGCACCTCACAGGGTTTAATGGAATTGGTCTTCTCTCTCACCTAAGCCAAATCCATCACCAGTTTGCTTATTTGAAACTTCGCCAGCTTTTACCTTTGGTTTCCTTTCCTTTTAATTGTGTCAGGTCTAATATTTAGCACAATTGGGCCTTAAAAAAGGATCAAACTTATGCGATTTTTTTTTGTTTTGTTTTTGGGGGTCTGGTTATGAAGTGTGATTTGTTATGAAGTGAGTTTTGTCATATTAGTTGAATTTGCTTTAAGAACAAACCTCTGCTCTGCCTCCAATCCACAGATTCATTTTTATTTGTGGGAGTTCTCTTAGGAAATTCTGTTTCCTGCCTAGAAGGTCCTCCCTTCTGAACTTGGAGCCTAAATACATTTTCAGATCCAAATTAGCAAGAGGGTGAGGAGATGCGGCAGCTATTATTTTTAGCGTGTTTGTAAGTGCTTGTGCAGCAGGGAGGACCCGACACTAGACATTCATTGGCAGGTAAATATATACAAATCTGGACGTCCCTTTTCTTGACCATGTCGCTAGTGAGTGAAGTCCAGTGATTAGGTTAGAATTAGTTTTGTATCATGATAGAACTTTTCTTATATTAATTAGGATGGATAGTGTTTGTAACAATCACTATTCTCTAGGCTTATTTTGATCTGGACAAAACATGAACTTCAGTATGTTTACTATCGCTCTTACTTGAAAAAGGACTAGAAAAGCACAAATTAAAGTAGGTCCATTTCCATCCATGGCTCATAAATTGAACAAATATTTATGAAGAACCACTTCTCATATTATTAATTTGTGTGAGTTTGTATGTAGTGAAGAGAACAGGACTAAGTTCCTCAAAATTGTTTGAGTATCTTTTTTAAAAATATACTTATTTTTCTACTTGGTTTTGTTGTTAATCATAGAGATAAAAACTATTCTTTGAATTGCTTTTTTTCATCTGATGTAATAATGAAAGCCAAAGTATTCATATTTCCTAAAATAGTCCTAAATGTTCTATTGATCTTTTTACTGGAACAATGTTTGATATTCTAATGTGTAGGTTGTATTTATGTAATGTGTAGAATGACATATTAATAAAGTTGTCTGTTAAGAGGCATGTAGTTGCTCCACCGCTCCCCTCAAAAATCAGAACTATGCAGCCGTAAAAAGAAAGGGAATTCTGACACATGCCGCAACTTGGATGGACCTTGAAGACATTATGCTAGTTTCAACAAGCCAGTCACCAGCGACAAAGACTGTGATTCCACTTATGAGACGTACCTGGTCACTGTCAGAGACTGAGAGTAGTTTGTGTTGCTAGGGGCTCCGGGCGGAGGAAATGGGGAGTCAGTCACAGAGTGCAGTTGTGCTACATGAGGAGTCCTGTGGATGGACCGTGGGGGCAGCAGAACAGTGTGGATGTACTTGATGCTACAGAACTGTGCACTCACACATAGTTAACATGGTAAGTTTTACACTTAATTTGCAACAACTTAAAAAAAGTACCAGGCTAAAAACAGATACCATCATGAACATGTGTCAGCTGCTTTACTGTACACAAACCCTATAGAAAGCCTTTGATTTTATTCCTGCTGAAAGATAATACAGTTGAGCTGTCACAGCAGAAAAGTATATCTGAATCCTTTGGGGTACTTATGAGCGAAAGAAAAGACATAAATAGTCCCTGCCCTCTAGGAAAGTATACATTATAGGAAAGGCTTAGGAGTGAACACAATAACATATCTGTAAACAGCTTTTCGTGATAGAGAAAACCTAAGAGACTTAATGTCAAATGGCACAATAAAGGCTTACAGGTGGGAGCGGAGGAGCCTTCCAGGGCCTGACATAAGCAAGTCTGGTTGAGTAGATGGAGAAAAGCCAGGGCTGATGGGTGGAAATGCCGGCAAGGGGAGGGCGTGTGTGTGAGAACATGTATTTCCCGTGGTGCCAAGCAGCATGCCCTGTGCTGCACATACATTTTTTTTCGTGCCCACATTTTGTACCATACGGTAGGCGGGATTGGGCTTAGATAGATTAAACAATTTGGTTAAAGCTTTTCAGTACTAAATGACACAGCTGAAGTACAAAACCAGGTCTAGGTTTGCCTGACATTTGCTTGCTTTATGTCTGCAAAACACAAGCTGCGTTGTGCCAAAGTAGTATTGTGTATGACAGATTAAATTGGAAAATGAAGGTGGGAGAACAGAGGTTTTCTTTAAAATAAAGACCATGAAGTCAAAACGATTACTCCGATAAGCTTTGCTGTAGGATGCAGTGTTTTTGCATCGCAAAGCCGCGAGCTGGACCAGAGCCTTAAGGAGGCAGTTCGGTAGGTGTCATCCTTACTGCGCGCAGGCGCAGGCTCAGAGCAGTTCCCTCTGGCAAATTCTGAACATGGAAGGGAGTATTTCTTTTTGATAGCCTTCTAGTTCTTTGTGTAAGTTTTTTTTTTTTAATTGAAAATAGGAGGCCTATTTTCTTTCCTTTTTTAAAAAAAATATATATATTTTATTGATTTTTTTACAGAGAGGAAGGGAGAGAGATAGAGAGCTAGAAACGTCGATGAGAGGGAAATACAAACCAGCTGCCTCTTGCACACCCCCTACCGGGGATGTGCCCGCAACCAACGTACATGCCCCTGACTGGAATCGAACCTGGGACCCTTCAGTCCGCAGACTGATGCTCTATCACTGAGCCAGACGGGTTTCGGCTGTGTAAGTTATTTTTGTAGACAGCTTATAACCTTGAGTACATATCATATATAGCAGACCTGTCTATCTATACAGACACCTGTAACCTTGAGTATCACATCTATACAGGCACCTGGCTTCAATACCAGCGTATCAGTTCCTCATGTTAGATGGCTAGCTTGCAAGGTCAGACACTTAAGTTTATCTTTTCTATTCAAGCAAAAAAAAACAAAGTTATTTTACAGTCTGAAAATAACAGAGGGACTAGCAAAAATAGCAGAATTCTAAAACAGCAGTTTCCAAGAGCAGTTTTTCCAAAAGAGGGATTGTTAGTGTGCTGCTTTATCAGGGGCAGAAGCGGAGTTGGTTGCCATGTAGACCAGGGGAAATTTGATGCAATGGGTCTGGCATGGAGTCTTGGCTATTAGTTTAAGTCCCCCAGGAGATTCCGCTGTGCAGGTGTGAACGCCGCTGGCTTTGATTTTGCCCCCCCCCGTTAAGAATGACATGGACGAGGTTTGTCCATACAACAGTATGGACCCATTCTCTTTCGCCTACATCATATTCTTCTCTGAACAGATAGTTTTTGAGTACTTATTTCATTCCAGGCATCATGCTGAGTCTTAGATCAAACTCATTTTGAAATGTAGCATTAATGCCCTGGCCAGTCTGGCTCAGTGGATATAGCCTCCTGGGTTCAATTCCGGTCATGGGCATACCTCATTTGCAGGCTCGATCCTTGCTCTGATCAGGGTGCATGTGGGAGGCAACCAATTAATGTCTCTCTCTCACATGGATGTTTCTGTTTCTCTCCCTCCCTTCCACTCTAAGAAATCAATGGAAAAATACTTGGGATGAGAATTAACAACAATAAGAAAAGTAGCATTATTGCGAATTAGGATACTATAGTAAAAAATTAGAAATGTGAATGTAAGGTTGAGAAAAATCATAACTATCATTTTTTTCATCCTTACATATTCTCACTGATATTCTTATTCAGAGTCCAATGTTAAATTTCAGTATTTATTTTGAAGATGATGTATGTCCATGTGATGACCGTTGCTGAAAATAAATTTAAAAAGCAGACTTTGTGACAAGACGACAGGCAAATTTGGTACGATAAGATAAAATATTCAAATTTATTATGGGCTAAAAGGCATTATGGGCTAAAAATAGTCTCAAAAGATAAACACAGTTTATGTATTCATTGAACATTTATGGAGCATGCTGGGTGTCTGGGATGTGATAGGAAGCAAACAGAATAGCGAGTTCTTGCCCTCCAACAGGGCGGTGTGAGATGCAGTGGGTTATACTGGGAGGAGGATGAAGGAAAAGCTCTCAGGTGGAGTGAGTGGGAGAACCTGTGTGATAAGATCTGCAGAGGGAGCAGTCAAAAGGAGGCAAAAGAGCAGCTAAGACTTCACAACAGGATGTGCACAAGGCCCTGGGGTTAGGGGCACCTTGTGTGTTACTGGAACAACCTAGATCAGTGGTCACCAACTGGTGGTCTGCGGACACTGGTGGCCCCTGAGGTCCAAAAGGTTGGTGACCGCTGACCTCGATCACTGGAGTGTGCGGGGTGGAGGCCGTGTCAGCAGGAAGCCAGGGAAGGGTTTTGGTTCACAGGTTGGGAGATATGGGAGGCTTGATCCAATTTACTGAAGTAGAACCTGAGAAACATTTTGTCAGAGAGAGTAGGTAGAAGTGAGATAATAAGAGGGAGGCAGTAAATACCCAGTTGGGCATGCACCGGTTTGAGCTGGTGAGGATCAAAGCGTGCAGACCAGAGAGACACGAGACCTGGTGCTAGAGATGTGTGGCTTTCACAGGCCTGTCTCTAGTTCTCAGCCTGCTTGCAACTATGCCCAATTTTTGGCTTAGGAAAAGGTAACTCTTAAAGGAGACGAAGATCCTGAAGCACAATTTGACCTTGGTCTGTTTTCTTGAACAGAGTTCAAAGTTTGTTTTAAGTCCTGAAGTAGCTCAATCTCTTGCTTTGTCTGCTGCCATTTGTCTTCAAATTGCTGAATGGTAGTCTCTAATTCTGTGTATGATAAGGAGAAATAAAATTATTTCAGGTTCTTCAGTAGTTGTATAAAAAATGTATATCTAGCCCCTTCTATTTGCAAGCAGAGCATGGTACATGATGCTGTGCCCCAAGGAAAGATTTTAGGATCCTGAGAGGAGGAACTGGTTCTTTTAGGTCTTTGCTTCCTCTTCTAATTCAGGATAGAACTCTAGTATTTTATTGCACATAAAGCTGGTCAGTAAATCTTTTAAGTTTTTGTACAATTTATAGCATTAAAAGGCCCTCTGTGTATCTTTGAAAACTCTAAAGCAGCCACTGTATAACCTACATGTAACACTGTTACAATATCAAGGATGAGGGCAAGTCTTTCATAAACATGCATCCAGTTTTTAATGTTAAAAGCTTTTGATTTTATTTAGAAATAGAAAGGCTTTTAATGTGGAAATTTAAGAAGATTACTCAGTGGCAATGTCATTTTTTTTTTTTAAACCACCTCAAAACTGAAGAATATTAATCTCAAAACACCTATATACTTGTAGTTAACTTTCTGGGACATTAGAAAGGCTAAGTTAAGCCAAAGAGTCTTTATTAGTTGGGTGTCAAAAGTTAAAGCCTTTTGCCCTGGTCAGGTAGCAGCTCAGTTGGGTATAGTGTTATCCCAATGCACCAAGGTTGCAGGTTCGATCCCCAGTCAGGGCACATACAGGAAACAAACAATAATGCATAAATAAGTGGAACAAGTTGATGTTTCTCTCTATTTACCCTTTCTCTTTCTCTCTCAAATCAATCAATAATTTTTTTAAAGTTAAGCCTTTTAAATTGTTTCTAATGAGATTCCAAATAGTGTCTCCTCCTAGTGCCCCACCCCACAAATGCTACAGTGTAACCTGCATACTCCCACTCACCCACCCAAGTAGTGACCTATATTATGTTCCAAAGATGTAACCTTTTATACAAAAAATAAAAAATAAAACAGTGAAAGTCTCCTACAAAATAAAGCTTTTTAGAAAAAGATTTAAAAGGCTGCTTAAAAAAAAATTCCCATTAGTAGTATACAGACATCCTCCAGAGACTGTCAAAAGATAACACTATTTTTGGTAGATTTTAAGAAATATTTTTTCTGTTGATTATAAATGTAATACAAAATTCAAATAGAAACATGTAACATGAAAACAAAAATGAGAAAAGCTTGTATATATTGAGACAGGGGTATGAGCTACCTGATAATGTTTTCTCCACAGGGAAAATGTATTGTCCTAATACCATTTGCTGGATAGACAAATACACACAACTTCAAAGAAGCCATTTGCAAAAGCTCTGTGTGACTCTGGCCCCCCTTCCCACTTGGCTGTGCAGTGCACCCTCCCAGCTGTGTGCGGCAGCGTTGGGAGAAGTCAGATCAGACTCACAAGTGAAAATTTAGCCTGTTTTGAAGGTATCTTAAACAATGGCAAAAGGACCTACTCAATAAATGGTTGATATTTTACAGAAAAGTTGTCTCTGCCCTCACAAGATTTTTTCTTTTTCAAAAATTTCTTAGCTATTCTTGCTCATTTTTTTCTCTCATAAGCTTTAGAGTTGATCTCAGTTGGCCAGTGGATTTGCAGATTAATGTTGGGAAAATTAAAATATGTATACATCATACCAAGAGAGAGGGAGACAAATGGCAGACGGTTCATCTGTACCTGCTGATTTCTGAACATGGTGCCTAAATATTCTACCATTTTGCAATTATTTTTTGTTTCTACACAAAGAACTACTGTATATAGGTTAGAGACTGTGGAAAATACAAAGAAAACACAAATCCAGCCACCTATAGATAAATATTGTTTCCATTTGGGTGCAGTTTTCTGTGTGCACGTGTGCCTGTGTATTTACATATTTTTTCTTGTGCGTGTGAGAGGTCATACTATTTCTGGTGTTGCTTTTTCATTTAATAAAACTACGTCTAATATGTAATACTTTCAACAATAAAGAATCACCAAAAATAAAGCAGTGTCCATTGAAATATGATTTTTATCACCTGAATAGTATGACATTATTTCAGTATATGTGATAAATATTTGTAAACTTGGCTGCTTAATTCTAACTCATACCTTTTTGAAAATTTACAAACGCATCTTCAAACAATCTACAGTCAAAAAGTGAAGTCCCGATTTCTTCATAGTCTGGAGGAAGAAAAACATTGTTTTCATTTAAATATTTTATGTAGACAGAAACACTTCACAAAATAACCCTCCAAAATGAAAAGTAAACAGAGCAGTTATCTACTGGGAACTTGAAAGAAATGCAAATTCTTGACACCTCTCCTGATCAGAACCTCCATGGGGAGGCCCAGCTCCCTGTGACTCCGCAAGCCCTCCAGGTCAGAGGTCGCCAACCTTTTGGACCTCACGGGCCTCCAGTGGACCACTGGATGGCGACCACTGCTCCAAGTGATTCTGAGGGGCATGCTCAAGTTTGAGAAGTGCTTGGTCTAAAGAATAAACAAATAAAAGAATGCAATGAATGAGCTTTAAGATATGTTTGCTCTTAATTTCATTTGTTGATTTGGTTCTATAGAAAATAATCCCTTTCAAATAACTATTTTGTATTATTGCTTAAAATATAGACTATCAAGCTTTTTCTTTTAAAATAGCTATATTTACACTGAGTAGCCAGATTATTATGATCTCTGAATGCATAATAATCTGGCCACTCAGTGTATATGTATATATATCTACACTAATAAAAGAGAAACATGCAAATAACCATCACTGTTACGACCAACAGCCAATCAGGAGGGAATATGCAAATTAGAAGGAGAAAGATGGCTGCTACCCAGCTGCTCCAGGCATGGAGTGGCCGGGCAGGGCAGGATGCCTGCTATGAGAGGGAGGGCAGCGGGTGAAGGGATCTACAGGAGCAGCACTCTGGCCACAGCAAAGATGAAGATTGCAGACTCTGGAGTCTGCATTGAAGACAAAGATGGCAGACTCTGGCCACAGTCTGCAGCGAAGATGGCAGACTCCAGCCAGGGTCTGCAGCAAAGACGAAGGCAGCAGATTCTGGCTGGTACCTGCAGCAAAGTGCCAGAGGAAAACCAGGGCTGGAAGCCAGGGGAAGGAAGGCCTATTGCACGAATCTCTTCATGCAGAGGGCCTCTAGTATATATTAATATATATTAGAGGCCCAGTGCATAGATTCGTGCATGGGTGGGGTCCAGCTAGCCTGGCCAGGGGGACGTGACATGGGTGGTTGGCTGGCCTGCCTGCTGGCCGAACTCCTGGTTAAGGGGGCAATTTGCATATTAGCCTTTTATTATATAGTATATACACTGAGTGGCCAGATTATTATGAGTTCAGAGATCATAATAATCTGGCGACTCAGTGTATAATTAAGTTTTTACACTCATAGGAGAGATGATAAGAAGGCTAAATACCTGCACAAAGCTTTCCAAAGAGTTCCTAATAAAAAGTCACATTTAAACTAAGAACAGTAAAATTACTTCTATACTTTAAACTTGAACATACCAAAAAAGACACGTGGTTTACTAAGGAACAGAATTTGAGTCAAATCAAAACTAACATAATGCCATTCTCATATCTTAGCAACAAGTGTGCTCATCTGTGGGGATGGATGTGTGACTGAGTTGGGTTCTGAAGTGCCCATTTTTTGCTGGTCATTCTCAGCAAGTATCGATACTTGAAAAACCTTCATGGCATCAGGATATTTTTTACAAAATTAATGAATTTGTGAATTACCCACATCCTGTAGATTTGTAAGACAGGAGATCTGGAACAATGGATTTTATTAAAGAATGAGATAAAGGAAAATAACATTTCAGATAGAAAATGTGTACAGGTTTTTGGTTTTGTTTTGTTTTATATGTATGTCTGTAAGAAGTCTCTATATAGGAATTTTGCTATTTTAGTACCTGATTCTGAAATATTCTCTTCCATGAGTCTTTCCTGAATCAAATTAAGTTTTTGTAATATTTCTTCAAATAAATCATTAATAAGTCCAGCTTCCTTACATTTCTTGAGAAAAGCAACTTTCATAATTGCATCTAAGAATAAGAAAAACATTTTAGAAGGAAACAGTGTTAGGGAAACTGTTATAAATCACTTTATAGTCTTCTTAAGACCTTGCCCTAGTGGTAGATGAGCATAATTAGTTAAGATAACACATACAGTACCTTTAGGTTTTCTACTAATTGTAATTTTATCAGACCTCATTTTTTCTAGCTGAAACAATGAAATGTTATGAAAATGTGAAAAACTTTGTTTAGAATAATTATATGAATCAAGACAATGTTCTAAAATTTAGTTTCAACTCCTTTGCGATGACAGCCTCTGTTATTTGTCTGTCTCAGCGACTGTTGTTATGGAACATCTGTCTGCTTCAGAACAGAAAGCCACAGTACGGCCCCGGGGAGCGGGCAGTCAGTGTGAGGGGGCACATCACTGTAGTCCAAGCTCACACTACCCAGCCTCCTCATCAGAGAGAATATCCTCTCAGTACTTAGGAGTGATGGACTGTCCCAACCTGTTACTTTGATCTGCTGGGATTATGATCAAAAAGATTGTTAAGACAAAGTATTTTATTATAAATTAGTTATTACAGGTTTAGAAGAATAAAGTGGAATACCAACTTTGAAACACATGACATCTTTTTTGTAAGTACTGTAGGTCATCTTTGTTACAGAAAAACGTATAGCAAACCTGTGTGTTTGCCATCCTCCTCTTCCATCTGTTTTTCGGACTTGTTTTCTGTTAATAGCTTGGGTACCTAGAAGGACAGAAAAATCAAATTTACTTTATATTGATTTTACTGTCGGCATTGAATTGAAACAGAAATTTTGGGGTTAAATAGGACAGGTTTAGGAAATTTTGGAAATTAAGGGGACCATGGAGGAAGCAATGGGCTGCAGAGCAGCAGAAGGTAAATTTCCGTAGAATGAGGGAGCTGGAAACAGCGAAAGGTCTATATTTACAAAATAAAGAGAAGGAAGCCCTTCATCCAGAGGGAGAAGAAATCCCAAAGGAAACAGGAAACCAGTAAGGATAGAACTGTATTGTTTTCAAGGCCAGTAGCGAGCTAACCACTAAGTGAACATAGTATTGGCTCTTTAATAAAAAGGGAAGTTCTGCTTGTAGCCTTGCTTAGAATTTGAATTTATTTTCTCTAAGCCACCGCAGTGAATAAAGTGTGACTCCAAAATCTCTGAGCATCGCTTGATTTATTGCAGTTCTCTATAACAGCCGAATGTTGTATAAAATGAAACCAATCTTTTTTGTATAATTCAATGATATGCTTATGATGAAAATCATGCCCCATATTCATCTGTTGATATAAATATCAAATGTATTTTTGCTTTTTATGACAAAACATCAAAAGTTGTGATGAGTACCTCTTATATAAACAGGAGAAAGGTGAAGGTTTCTGATATGACCTGGTGCATAAAAAACAGTATGAAATCCCCAAAACATTTTCATATGCTTTATACAGAGCAGCAATCCACAAAATTTTAAGTTATAAATTAAGTCAAGTATGGAGGATGCAGCTAGGAAATACTTGGATAGGTAAGGATGCTTGACTTTACCTCTAATCATTTTAAGATCATAAGCACTATATGGATTCAGATTCTTCTCACTAATTTGGTACCAGGAGTGAGGTCCTCCCTCCCCTCACTGGTGGGCGGAGTTATGACAGTGCTGGCAGCTGCCGCAGAGACATCCCCAAGACACTGAACCACCAATCAGTGCGTGTCGAATGCACAGGGGCCCATCCTTTCCTGTTCCCTTCCCTTAAAAGGATTCTCCACACACACACACACACACACACACACACACACACACACACACCCCAAAACGCACGCACGCACACACTGCATCCTTTCCTGTTCCCTTCCCTTAAAAGGATTCTACACACACACACACACACACACACACACACACACACACACACACACACACACACACCCCAAAACGCACGCACGCACACACTGCTCTGTTTCTCCCTGACCCTCCGTTTCTCTGCGGAAGCAGCCTGGTTGGGTCCCTTCTCCTCTTCCTCCTACTCTAATCCTATTTTCTCTTCCTCCGTAACGAATCTCAGTCGTTACTTCGGAATAAACCTCCCTTTTAGTGTATCTGGGTTTCTGGCTCCTGTTTCCTGTACATCAAACCAGGGATGTGTTACAGGAGCTATGGGGCTGTCACATCCTGAATTATGTGCTTATACTCAATACAATCTAACTTCTCTTTAATGTTCATTTCATTAAAGTTCTATCTTTTCACCTGAAATCCAGAATGGTTAAAATGAGAACTTTGTAAGAAGAAACTTAAAGCTATAATAAAATTAAGTCAAAGTACCTGTAAATTAATGCTTGTTGAGTGATCTTTCTTCTTTCGTTTCCTTTGTACTCCTGAAAAATGAGCTGAAAATATAAATCATGTAGAAATCAGAATCCACAAAGGAAAAGACTGATGCTTGATTACATAAAATGTGAAACTTAAATGCCAAAGTGATTACAAAGTCAAAAGTTATGGCAAACTTAGACTAAATGTTTGCAACACCTATGATAAAAGGCCAATTTAAAAATATAAAAAAATCTCCTAAGTCAATATAAAAAAACACACTGGAGTAGAAAAATGGGCAAATTGGCCTTCTGGGGAGAGTGCATTGAGTAGGAAAACAGACTGGGTGACAGTAAAATAAATATAATTGATCAAAATATAGGGGAATACACTCAATTTCACTCAGAGATGCAAAGTAAAACAGAGTGACCAAGATGAAGTGCTCAGTATTTAATGTTTGTAAGGATTTGGGTAATTATGTATTGCTGGTGCAGCCTCTTTGGAAGATAATTAGCCAATAGTTAGTTTCATTTTTTATACTCTTTGATCCAGCAATCTACTTAAAGGAAGTTTTCCTAATGGTATAGTACATAAATGCACAAAGTTGAATGGAGAAAAATGCTAACTACCATATTAACTGTGATAGAAAAACTGGAAGTAACCTGAATGGCCATCATACAGAGACTAGTTCAGTTGTGGTTCAGTTATGTGACTGAATAATATACACAATGAAACACTATGCAGCCTTTTAAAAGTGAGGCAAATCCACTTGTGCTGACATGGAAGGATCTCAAGGATATTAAGTGAAAAAGCAAAGTACAGTAGTAGGTAAGTTTGTATACAACAGACAATTTTGGGAAGAACTAAAAAAAATCTGGGGAGAAGATTCACTGTCAGTGTTATAATCTGCTTTTTAAAACTAATAGATTATTGTTACCTTTCCTGAATAAACAGTAATTGATGACAGGGTTTTTCATAGTAATTCTTAATAAGTTAAAAGAGTAATGTTTTCAACCAAAAAAAAATTAAAGGATATTGGATTGAAATGGCATTTTGTTCTGAACAGCTTATTTTATGCAAACCCAGCTGTTCCTATGAAGTGAACTTTACGTTGCGAGCCCACCCTCATTAGGCCCTAAACTGTGGCCCATGCTTACTACATATGAGGCGTACCAAGTTCCTACTAGCAACACATGTTTTAAAATATGTGAATTTAGGATTTCTTATTCTTCTTGCCCAAAACATCAATCCATTATTTTTTTTAAAAGGTACCAAAACAGGAATTTTCAGGGGTGAACAAAACAGGTTTTAGGAAATTGAGGGGACCACGGAGGAAGCACTGGGCTGCAGAGCAGCAGAAGGTATATTTCCATGGACTAGGGAAGCTGAAAAGCTGCAAGGTCCATTTCCATAGAATGAGGGAGCTGGGGACAGCAGAAGGCCTATATTTACAAAATACAGGGCAGGAAGCTCCTCATCCAGAAGTAGAAGAAAGCCCAAAGGAAACAGGAAAACAATAAGGAAGGGGAGGGGAGGGAGCACAGGAGTCACTATAGTAACCAGTCCAAGGGAATAGTGACCAATCAGAGGGGCCAGCGAGGCACCAAGCTCTGCAGCCATCATAAGCCAGAGGGAAAAGGAACTCAGTGGGACCCCTCCCCCTCCCCACGTGGGAGTCTGTACTTGTTTTTTGGGGTTTTTTTTTTTGGTTTTTGTTTTTTAACAAATTTCCACCTTTGCTATACCACTTTCTGTCCTGGATTCATTCTTCAACTCCAGCGGGCAAGGAAACCCGGGACACCCTGCCCGGGGAACCTGCGTGATCCAGCCAGAAATTCTGCTTCAGAGACGACTCAAAAATGAGGGCAACAATATTGTTTGGATAAAATGAAGTTGGCATGACACAGAATTGAGCTTTTTCCAAGTAGGTCCTGACTGCAGTCCACAAGGAGCATTCCAGATTCAGTGCTAGACAGACACTGCTTTTCCCAGCAGTACACGGGAACCATTCGTGAATGAATGTCCATCTCATCCTCCCATTCAGCCAGGGTCCAATTTTAGAATTTAACTGCTAACCATTAATTAGAACTGAAATGCTAACCATGCATTCTTAGGACAATTTCATTTGGGGGCCTTGCCGCACTTTATCAATTTTATCTACAAAAATTCTGATATTCTTTTGGAAGAAAAGCAGTCACAGACAGGCAGAGCTTTTCACCTTGTGATACAGTCTTCTGGACGCAGTGAGGATGGAAGATGGGAGAAAAAGGCTGTGCAGAGAGTAGACCTAGTTCACAAAAAACAAAGTACGTTATATTACACACTGTCCAAAGAAAACAATTTTATATGTAAAATTTTTAATTCAGAAATTTTTAATTCAGTGAGGCTAGTAAATCAGGTTACTTCATGTCTTACCTAAATTATCACTTTTCTTTAAACCCACAATACTGAATTTTAGAGACTTACCAGATTGAGTTTCTCTTGATGGAGCATGTTCTTTGCAAAACACTCTGAAAATAAGCAATTTGAAAGAATTGTTAAATATTTTTACTTACACTTTTAAAATGTTATGCCTATTTTCTTATGATTTAAAAAGGAATTAAACTATCTTTATAATGGTATTGCCCTAAATATTTGTTAAAGAAAAATGCTGTTTGAGACTTCGGGTCAAGATGGCAGTATAGGTAGATGCTGTACTGGCCTCCTCTCAAGACACATCAAATTTACAACTACATTATAGAACCACCGTGCCTGAGAATCACCTGAAAGTCTTAGCTGAACAAAACTATAAGGATAGAAAGTAAAAGCCATGTCAAGGCCGGTAGGAGAGGCAGAGATGTGTGTGGCTACTAAGAACTGGGAGGGACATCGTGGCTGTGGAGGTCCCACTGAGGAGAGAGGGACCTTAACCGCACCAGACTCCTCGCCCAGAAACCAGGGCCACCGTCTGGCTGTGGCATCAGCAGGGACCCGTCTGGGAGAGGGAGGGCTGTTGTAAGACCCAGACAACCTCCTAAAAGACCTGAGTGCAGACTCACAAACACCCTACGTTCCAGAGAAGGGAAAGAAGCTTGAAAAGTGCCAGGGACATATGTGGGGGAACTAGTCTGGCTTCAAGCAAGACCTGGAGAGGTGGCTCTCTCCGGACAGAGGTGCCATCAGGCACCATTGTTCTGCTATTGACTCCTCCCCACATACAACCTGCAGGTGCTGGTGGACACAAAATCTGAGTCAACTTGGCTAACTGAGTTCACCTTGGCCTGGTGATTCCCCGAGACCCCGCCCCACCCAATTCCCACACCACCCAAACACCTTTCAGAGGCGAATCCATACAAGCTCTGTGTAATTTCCTAAAATTTCTGAAAGATCCACAAACCCCAAATGAACACCAGCTGGCCTCAGCTTTCCATGCTCCTCTTGCTCAGCCCCAAGCCTGGAGCTAGTAGAAGCCAGCCTCCCTTCACAGCATAACCACTCTTCACTCCAGCACAGGCAGCTACCAGACACAGATCAGTTTGCAGCTCCTACCAGGTGGCCTCAGGCCTAACAGCAGCTGACCTTGGCCTTCACAGGAGCCTCTCCTGAGAGGCCCTGGAACCAACACACCTGGGGGCTGGCTTCCGACCAGAACAACACCAATTAGTGCCACAAATGACACACCCAGTAGTGGTCTCAGCAGGCATCAGAGCCCTGCTAACGTAAACCCCATGTGGGTCAGCCCCTGCACAACAGCTTTGCTGTAGTCACAGCCAGTCCTCACAATTTGTCAGCCTGAGGATCAATCCTGCCCACGGATGTGCCAACAGCAGTCAAGGTTCAACTCAATGGAAGGGCACATACAACCCACACAAGGGACAGCACTGCAGCACCCAGTTCAGGTGGACAGGGAGGCTGTGCCACTGGCTCCACATAAGGCCACTCTGCCCAGACTGGGAGACAGAGCAGCTCTACCTGCTACACAGAAACAAACACAGGGAGGCAGCCAAAGTGAGAAAACAGAGAAACATGTCCCAAATGAAAGAACAGAACAAAATTCCAGGAAAAGAATTAAACAAAATGGAGGCAAGCAATCTGCCAGATGCAGAGTTCAAAATAATGGTTATAAGAATGCTCAATGAACTCAGGGGAAGAGTAGATGGTATCAGAGAGATGTTCAACAAAGAGATAAGAAGCTTTAAAAAAAAAAAAAGGAGGTAGAAAATATAAAGAACCAGTCAGACAAAGTAAACAAGAACTGAAATGAAAACTGTATTAGATGAAATCAAATTAGATGAAGTAAAGGATTAAATCAGTGATATGAAGACAAAGTAGCAGAACAGCAAAAAGAAAAAAATAATTAAAAAAAAATGAAAATAGTGTAAGAGACTTCTTGGACAACATAAAATGTAATGATATTCACATCACAGCAGTACCAGAAAGATAAGATAGAGAATAATGGATTGAGAACTTATTTGAAGAAATAATAACTGAAAACTTCTCTAACCTGGCAAAGAAAATAGACATCCAAGTCTAGAAAGGGCAGAGAGTCCAAAAAAGATGAACCCAGAGGCCCGCACCAAGATGCATAATTAAAATGCCAAAGGCTAGAAGGGGATATCTATGACACTGTCAACAATAAAGGCAAAGAAAATAAAACCACAGGCCTGGTGCATGAAATCTGTGCATGGGGAGGGTCCCTAGGCCTGGCTGGCAATTAGGGACGATCTGGGCCTTCTGGCTCCCAGCCAGGGCCTTCCTTCGTTCCAAGCTGCTCATGGTAATCACAAACCAAAAGCCTACAAAAGATATACAAGAAATAAAGAGAAAGGAATCAAACACAACACTACTGAAAGTCATCGACATATAAGAGAGTAAGAGAATAAGAAAGGAACAGAGAATTACAAAACTAATCAGAAAACAATAATAAAATGGCAATACCTATATGCCTTGCAATAATTACTTTAAATAAACAGAATAAATACTCCATCAAAAGACAATGGATAGTTTCCTCAAAAAATTTAATATGGACCTCCCATTTGATATAGTGGTTCCACTTCCAGGAATATATCCTAAGAAACCAAAACCAATCAGAAAGAATGTATGCATTATTATGTTAATAGCAGTGCAATTCACAATAGCTAAGATCTGGAAACAGCTCAATAGATGAGTGGATAAAAAAGTTGTGGGGGAGAGAAACCAAGATGGCGGCATAGGGTAGACACCCGAATGCAGCCTACCACAACAAATTTGAATTTAGAACTGGAAAACAGGGGAAGCATCACCCTGAAGCACCAGATGGCTGGCTAAGAGGAGGATCTACCATCTGGGAAGGAGAGAGAAGGCGCGCTGAACCTCAGGAATTGTGAAGGTGCAGAGAACTGTGCATGTGAAAAGGTGGTGCCCAACTTTGCTGCTGGCTTGCTTGCGGAGTGCAGAGAGGGCAGGCCGAATTCGCTGCTGGCTCACTTCCTGCGCGCGGAGAGGGCGGACAGCTAATGCGCAGCAGCTAGCTTTCTTGTTCGGGAGGAAAACAGAACCACCCTGTTGCTCTGATAGATGGCCCCCGATAGGGAGAGGCCAGACTGTCGGGCAGTGGGCAGAGATTTCTCGGAGGTGTGTGAAGCCAGCGGCCATTACTGCGGGACTCAGAAACCAGACCCTTGTGGGGAGGGGCTGACCAAAGCTTGTCTGCACCACCCGAGACTCCGCCCCATCCAAGCGGAGCACAGAAGCCCTTCCAGTGGCTAGCTTTCTCATTTGCTGCGAAATAGGACTCTCCTAGGGAGGGACAGACAGGAATCCAAAGCTTGTCTGCGCCTATACCAAAGAGGTGTGCGCGCCTGCAACCAATCTTGTAGGATTCACCAAAGCTTGGCTGTGCCACCCCAAGACCCCGCCCCATCCAAGCGGAATACAGAAACCCTCCTAGCTGAGCCACTTCTGATCCTCATAGCCAATTGGCTTGGAGATCAACACTTCCCAGTGATACCAACAACAAACAAGGCTTAACAAAACTGCACACACAGCCCACAAAGGCTACACCAAGACTGTCCACCTCAGGTAACTGGGAGGCTGACTCACTGAACCATATAGGACACCGTAGCACACAAAGCCACCCTACCAACTCAGGGAAGCTGTGAAAATGCTGAGACAAGGAAACAGATCACAAACAAAAGAAATGGAGGACAAAAAGCGACTGGATATAGAGTTCAAAACCACGCTTATAAGGTTTTTCAAGAATTTCCTAGAAAAGGCCGATAAAATAAATGAGATCTATGATGATATGAAAAGGGATCAACTAGAAATAAAGAATACATTGTCTGAAATAAAAAAATATTATACAGAGTCCTAAAAACAGAATGGAAGATCGCAAGAATCAAGTCAAAGATTTGGAACACAAAGAGCCAGAGGACACTCCTCCAGAGAAGCAAGATAAGAGAATCCAGAAAGTTGAAGATAGTGTAAGAAACCTCTGGGACAATTTCAAACGAACCAACATCAGAATTATGGGGTCCCAGAAGAAGAGAAAGATCAAGATACCAAAAGAATACTGGAAGAAATAGTGACAGAAAACTTCCCCCACCTGGGGAAAGAAATAGACTTACAAGTCCAGGAAGCCCGTAGAACCCCAAACAAAAGGAATCCAAGGAGGACCACACCAAGACACATCATAATTAAAATTCCAAGAGCAAAAGACAGAGAGAGAATATTAAAAGCAGCAAGAGTAAAGCAGGTAGTTGCCTATAAAGGAGCACCCATACGATTTCCAGCTGATTTCTCAACAGAAACCATGCAGGCCAGACGGAAATGGCAAGAAATATTCAAGGTGATGAATAGCAAGAACCTACAGCCAAAAATACTCTACCCAGCAAAGCTATCACTCAGAATCAAAGGCCAGATAAAGAGCTTCACACACACAAAAAAAGCTAAAGGAGTTCATCACCACCAAACCAGAATTATATAAATTGCTGAAGGGGGTTCTTTAGGAAGAGGAAGAAGATATAGATAAAAATTATGATCAACAAATACATAACCATCAACAAGTGAAACTAAAAGCCAAGAGAATTAAAAAACCTGATGAACAATATTAACTAGTGAATATAATAGAATCAGAGGTATGGAAGGGGAGTGGACTGACGATTCTCGGAGAAAAGGGGAGTGGGGGTGCAGAAAGAGCCTGAACAAAAACTGTGCACCTATGGATGAGGACAATGGGGGGTGGAGAAAGATCAGAGAGTGGGGTGGGAACCTGGTGGAGGGGAGCAATGGAGAGGAAAAAAATGAGGAACATTTATAATAATATGAACAAGAAAGATTTAAAAAATAAATAAATAAAGCCCCCCCCCCAAAAAAAAATAAATAAAAAAGTTCTGGTACATTTACACCATGGAATACTATGCAGCAGTAAAAACAGAAGGATCTCTTACCCTTTGAGTCAGCATGGAGGGGTATGGAGAGTATTATGCTAAGTGAAATAAGCCAATTAAAAGAAAGACAAGTATCATATGGTCTTACTCATATGTTGAATCTAATGAACAAAATAAACCGAAGAACAAAATAGATCCAGAGACAGAAACATGGAACAACTGTCCAACCTCAGAGGGAAGATGGGGTTGGAGGGGTGGTGGGAAGAGATTAACCAAAGAACTTACATGCATATATGCATAACCCATGAACATTGGCAATAGTGTGGTGAAGGCCTGGGGCAGGGGGCGGATGTGTGCTAAAAGGAGTCAAAGGGGGGAAATGGGGACATCTATGACACTTTCAACAATAAAGATCAATTTTTAAAAGGCAATGGATAAAGAAGTTGTGGTACATACATAATGAAAAACTACTCAGCCATATAGATAATGAAATCTTACCATTTGCAACAACATGGATGAACCCAGAGGGTATTATGCTAAGTGAAATAAGTCAGACGGGAAAGACAAATACAGATTTCACTTATATGTGGACTCTAAACAACAAAATAAATGAACAAACAAAATAGGAAAAGACTCACAGATACTGAGAACAAACTGACGGTTGCCAGATGAGAGTGGAGCTGGGGGCTGGAGAAGGTGAAGTGATTAAGAAGTAGAAAACAGTAGGTACAAAACAGTCACTGGGGCATGAAGTACTGCATTGGGAAACAGTCAATAGTCAATAATATTGTAATAACTATAAAGGTGCCAGGTGGGTAAAAAACTTTCTAAAGGAATCACTTCATAAATTATATAAATGTCTAATCACTATGCTATATACCTGTAACTAATATATCGAACATCAACTATAATTGAAAAAAATTTAAAGTTAAGCAAAAAAAAAAAAAAAATTTGTTCAAACTTGTGTAAGTTACTGAACACATCAAGTACAGAAGGAGCCTCTGCCAGATGTTCGCCATGCTCTCGGGCCTCAGAAAGATCAGTATGCTAGCTGAGGGTTTAGCGCTACTAGATAATCTGAACAATACTAGTTTTAAAGAGCAATCAGTAGGTTTTTACTGAATAAAGACACCTAAGGACTCAATATCTAAGATGCACAAAATTTTATCTATGTACAAAGTTCTGATTTTCAACAATAAATAGCACAAAACTGCATGTATTAATTTGGGAAGCACAGTTTTCAAACTCTATAGGCATCTCCACTAAATTTTATATTTGAACTGCATGAATCTAGAATTGATCAGTGCCCTAGAAGAAGGCAGCAAAGCTATGAAGAATTTTAAATGAATTTTAAATGAATTTTAGGATAGGCAAGCAGCAGGCTTGCCATACCTGTTTTTTAACTTTAATTTAATTTAATTTTATATATTTTATTGATTTTGTACAGAGAGGAAGGGAGAGAGATAGAGAGCTAGAAACATCGATAAGAGAGAGTCATCGATCAGCTGCCCCTTGCACACCCCCTACTGGGGATATGCCCACAACCAAGGTACATGCCCTTGACCGGAATCGAACCCGGGACCCTTCAGTCCCCAAGCCAAACCGGTATCGGCAGAAATGATGAATTTTAACGATCTGCTCAAGCCGCATTTTCTTCCCATCCTCTGTTCCTCCTCATCCTCTACCTACATCTCCTTCCTTCCCTCATGGTGCTGACCCCTAAGATGCCTGTGGGAATGGATGAATTCTTCCTGTCTCAGACAGGTTCCCCTCTCCCCCATTGAGTTTTCCAGCCACCTCTTCTCCCAATCAAAATTAATCTATCCTCACCCTTTGGATTCTGATGAGCACTTCCATTTGCCAGGTAGTTAAAAATGTTTTTTAATATGAAAATTTTCAAACATATATAAATGTGGAGGAGATATGATGAACCCTCATGCCCCCAACCATCATTCAATTTCACTTCACATCATTAATCATCAGGGAAATGCAAATCAAAATCACAATAAGATATTGCCTTACACCTGTTAGGGTGGCTGCTGTCAAAACCACAATAAGACATTACCTTACACCTGTTAGGGTGGCTACTGTCAAAACCACAATAAGACATTACCTTACACCTGTTAGGGTGGCTGCTGTCAAAACCACAATAAGATATTACCTTACACCTGTTAGGATGGCTACTGTCAAAATCACAATAAGATATTACCTTACACCTGTTAGGGTGGCTACTGTCAAAAAGACTAGAAATAAGAAGTGTTGGTCAGGATGTGGAAAAACCTTGTGCACTACTGATGGAAATGTAAATTCATGCAGCCATTATGGAAAACAGCATGGAAACTCCTCAAAAAATTAAAAATAGAACTACATACAATCCATTTCTGGGTATTTATCTGAAGAAAACAAAAACACTAATTCAAACTATTCTATATGCATCCCTATGTTCATCACAACTTTACAACTAGAGGCCCGGTGCACAAAATGCATGCACGGGGGAGGGGCGGGGTGTTCCTCAGCCCAGCCTGCACCCTCTCCAATCTGGGACTCCTTGAGGGATGTCCCACCAGGATCAGTTGTAAACGGGCAGTCGGACATCCCTCTCACAATCCAGGACTGCAGGCTCCCAACTGCTCGCTCGCCTGCCTGCCTGCCTGCCTGATTGCCCCAAACCACTCCCCTGCCAGCCTGATCAACACACCTAACTGCTCCCCTGCTGGCCCGATTGCCCCTAACTGCCCTTCCCTGCCAGCCTGATAGCCCCTAACTATCCTCCCCTGCAGGCTTGGTTGCCCCTAAAATGCCCTCCTCTGCTGGCCTGGTCATCCCAACTGCCCTCCCCTATAAGACTGGGTTCCCCGTCCCCAATTGCCCTCCCCGGCTGGCCTGGTTGCCCCCAACTACCCTCCCCTGAATGCCTGGTTGCCCCCACTGCCCCCCCCCCCTTGCTGGCCTGACCGCCCCCTACTGCCCTCTCTTGCAGGCCTGGTACCTCCCAATTGCCCTCCTCTGCTGGCCTGATCACCCTCAGGTGCCCTCCCCCAAGTGTCCACATGGGGGCAGCCATATTTGACCACATTGGGGGGCAGCCATCTTGTGTGTCGGAGTGATGGTCAATTTTCATATTACCTCTTTATTATGTAGTATAGCCAAGATATGAAAACAACTTAAGTAGCCTGAATCAATTTATTTAACAGTTGGCTTACCCTTTTGTTTTTACTAAATTGTATAATTATTTAACTGAAGTGAAACTTTTCATCAAAAAGAAGCTCAAGTTTCTCCCTGGATAAAAAAAATATATAATTTGATTGAACTTGAACTATGCCTTATTGGGCCCTGGCCAGTGTGGCTTAGTTGATTGGAGCATTGTCTCATACACCAAAAGTCATGGGTTCGATCCCCAGTCAAGGCACATACCTGGGTTTCGGATTTGGTCCCAGGTTGGGACATGTACAAGAGGCAGCCAATCGATGTTTCTCTCTCACATTTATATTTTGCTCTCTCTCTCTCTCTCTCTCTCTCTCTCTCTCTCTCTCTAAAATTTCTCTCTAAAATTTTCTCTCTAAAATTGATGAGCATGTCCATTGGTGAGGATTAGGGTGGGGAAAAGAAATATGCCTTATTGGGTTAAAATTAACATTTAAAGAATTATTGACAACATACAGCAAGATTTAAAAGTCAAAAGCAATACAAACAAGGTAAGTTTCTTCGAGAACTGAAAGACTGATTACTGTATTTGCTGCACAGTTTATCATTTTTAGAAGTTATTTATAGGTATGATAGTGGTGACCATGGTGGGAAAAGGTATTTCCTTTCCTGTGTGTAGGAAAAAGCAAGTGTGAACTGGCTCCCAGTCCCATGGCTACCCATTATGAAGATCACTAGGTCACTCATGCCACAGTGACAACCAATGCTTTCCACCAGAGAAGAAGGGATGTAGGAAGATTACAACCAAAACCAAAACCCTACTTATTTTCTTCTCATGAAATATGGAGAAGGTGTTGTGAAGTCAGACTCCCAACAAGGGACCCCAAACTAAGTTCTTACTTGGAAGTAATTAGCATAAAATTAGTTTTAAAAATCTCTTGGCGCCCTAGCCAGTATGGCTCAGTTGGTTCGAGTGCTGTCCTGTACACTGAAAGGTTGAAGGTTTGATTACCCAATCAGGACACATACCAGATTGCGGGTTCGATCCCCAGTGTCTCACATCAATGTTTCTTTCTCTCTCTCTCCATCCCTCCCCCTTACCCCTCTCTCTAAAAAATAAAAATAAATAAACATCTCCTCGGGTGAGAATCTTAAACCATTCCTTATTTCATTCCAGTCCCCCAAATGTGGCTCTAAAACTGTTTTATCACATACTTATAAATTCCTCCAGATGCATTGTGTAGAACTGCATGGTCATTCTTGGCACAGAAAAAGTGGTAATTCTTGGAACAGGATTTTTTATCACATCCCACAGTGGCTCCTTTTTCATCACAAAATGTGCATTTCTACAGAAGAATAGATAATACTGAGTAAGCACCTGTTTTCATAATCTTTCTTAAAATTTAAAATTAAACATGCTATTAAATATTATTTTTTAAGTCAGCAACACTAATGTCTTGATGTACAATCTTACTTACATTTGGCTAATTAGCTAACTAGAACACTTGGCACAGACTGTTTTATAATGATCTGATTAAAAACAGAAAACCACTCTGGCTGGTTTGGCTCAGTGGATATAACACTGGCCAGCGGACTGAAGGTCCCGGGTTCGATTCTAATCAAGGGCACCATCCTGGGTTGCAGGCTTGATCCTCAGTGGTGGGGTGGTGTGTGTGCAGGAAGCAGCTGATCAATGATCATCTCCCATCATGAATGTTTCTGTATCTCTTTCCCTCTCCCTTCCTCTCTGAAATCAATAAATATATATAGTAACAGCAGAAAAGCTTTTTTGTTTTTAAAAAAACTAACCTCAAAAAACAAAATTGTCCAGCTCTAAGCACTGGGTCCTGTTACAGACACAGAGTCTATGGCTGGAGCAGCTAGCTCCTGGTTGTGCAACTAAGAGCTGTGTGGTCTCCAGCCAGTCACTTCCTCTCTCTTAGACCCAGATTTCTCACTGTTTATAACAAGGCCTGTTTTACAGATTGTGTGATAAGGAAAGGCCTCTAAGGAGGTGATATATAAGCTTAGATGTGAATAGTAAGAGTTCTTAGCATGCAAACAACTCAACCAGGGGGAAGGACAGTCTAAGTAGAAGGCCTTATGTTCTGACAGCAAGAATGCGTATCCCAGTTGACAAGCTTTCTGGAAGGATGGGGCAGAGCTGCGGGGGGGGGGGGGGGGATGGGGGAAGGAGGCACGGGGGTGTGTGGAGGGAGGAGGACAGGAGGGGCGCTGGTGATGTTGGAGCAGAGAGGAGGGTAAGGAAGAGTCTGGGATAAGACCCAAGGTGTAGCAGGGGCTGTGCCATATAGGGCTTATAAGCCAGAGTAAAGAGTTGGGATTTTATCCTCATGCAAGGGGAGCATAAACTGAGCAATATTTTTATGACACTATGCTGGCTGCTGTGTGGAGAATGGGCTAGGGTAAGGATGGGCAGGAGAGAAAGCAAGACTAATATCAGTAACCATCCAAAAGAGGCAGACCAGCGACTTCACTACAGCGGGTCAGTGACAGAGAGAGAAGTGGAGGACACAGGTGGTACTGATGGCTTAATGCCCTGGGGAGGGGGGAGAGGGAGGGAGAGAGAGGAGAGAGAGACAGAGACAGAGATAGGTGTGGTGAACAACTGGAGAAATGTTTGACCAAATATAGCAGCTAATTTTTTAAAAATAATTCTTTATTGCTCAGATTATTATAATTGTTTCTCCTCCCCCCCCCCCCCAAGCTCCCTTCCACCTGGTCCTCCCTCCTCCTCCCCCCATTGTCCTCATCCATAGGTGTATGATTTTAATCCACTCTCTTCCTGCACCCCCACACCCCTTTCCCCCTGATAATGATCAATCCATTCCATTTCTTTGCCCCTGATTCTATTATATTCACCAGTTTATTCTGTTGCTCAGATTTTTAATTCATTTTTTTAGAATCACTTGTTGATATATATGTATTTGTTGATCATAATTTTTATCTTTCTTTTTCTTCTTCCTCTTTTTAAGAATTACCTTTCAGCATTTCATATAATACTGATTTGGTGGTGTTGAACTACTTTAGCTTTTTCTTATCTGTGAAGCTCTTTATCTGCCCTTCAATTCTGAATGATAACTTTGTTGGATACAGTAATCTTGATTGTAGGTTCTCGCTATTCATCACTTTGAATATTTCTTGCCACTTCCTTCTGGCCTGCATAGTTTCTTTCTTTTCTTTTCTTTTCTTTCTTTCTTTCTTTCTTTCTTTCTTTCTTTCTTTCTTTCTTTCTTTTTTTCTTTTTCTTTTTTTCTTTTTCTTTCTTTCTTTTTCTTTTTTTTTTTTTTTAAAGATAAAATGTTTTTTGTTTTTTAAAATATATTTTATTGATTTTTTACAGAGAGGAAGAGAGAGGAATAGAGAGTTAGAAACATCGCTGAGAGAGAGTCATCGATCCACTGCCTCTTGCACACCCCCTACTGGGGATATGCCTGCAACCAAGGTACATGCCCTTGACCGGAATTGATCCTGGGACCCTTCAGTCTGCAGGCCGACGCTCTATCCACTGAGCCAAACCTGTCTCGGCCTGGCCTGCATGGTTTCTGTTGAGAAATCAGCTGACAGTTGTATGGATACTCCCTTATAGGTAACCAACTGCTTTTCTCTTACTGCTTGTAAGATTCTCTCTTTGTCTTTTGCCCTTGGCATTTTAATTATGATGTGTCTTGATGTGGTCCTCTTTGGATTCCTCTTGTTCGGGGTTCTGTGCGCTTCCTGGACTTGTAAGTCTATTTCTTTCACCAGGTGGAGGAAGTTTCCTGACATTATTTTTTCAAATAGGTTTTCAGGGTCTTGTTCTCTCTTTTCTTCTGGCACCCCCATAATTCTGATGTTAAAATGCTTGAAGTTGTCCTAGAGGCTCCTGACACTATCTTCAACTTTCTGGATTCTCTTTTCTTCTTGCTTCTCCAGAGGAGTGTCCTTTGCCTCTTTGTATTCCAAATCTTTGACTTGATTCATGTGTTCCTCCAGTCTGCTGTTGGATCTCTGTATAATATCATTAAATTTATTGGCCTTTTCTAGGAAATTCTTGAAAAACCTTATAACTGTTGTTTTGAACTCTATATCCACTTTTTTATTCTCCTCCATCTCTTTTGTTTGAGATCTATTTCCTTGTTTCAGCATTTTCCCTGCTTCCCAGAGTTGTTAGGATCACTTTGTGTGTTTGGTGTCCTTTATGTCCCAATAGGTCAGCCTCCCCAGTTACCTGAGGTGGACACTTTTGGTGCTCCCCTTTGTGGACTGCGTGAACAGCCTTGTTTAGTTAAGACTTGATTGTTGTTGGTATCACTGGGAGGAATTGACCTCCAGGCCCACTGAATGTATCAGCTATATCTACTCTGGGATATTTTCTATATCGGACACAGTCTTATAGGATCAGACTTGCAAAATTGCAAAAGCCTCTGTGCTCAGCTTGGATGGGGCAGAGTCTCAGTACTGAGCTGACAGTCTTGGCTTCCCATCAGCCCTGCCCTTGTGTGGGGGCCTGAGTTTCCGCCTGACCTCTGCCTTCAGCGACTCCCCTGAGTTTCTACCTGACTATCCAGATTCCCTGTGCAAGAGCGTGGTGCCCCAGGGGCTCGCCTGGAATTTTGTTAGGTCTCTGTAGTCTGGAGCTTCTGACTCCTTCTGCTATGGAGAGGCCGCAGCAACCTCCACAGTCAGACCTCTCTGCGCGCACTCACTCACACGCGACTGTAGACCCTGCCCGCTGCGGCTCTCGGCTCCCCCAGTCTCTGAGTCTCAAGGTGCCTTTCTCCGGACTCCATCCATATGAGTCTGGGTCCACAGGGTTTAGGCTGGGGTTGGGGTTCAGTGCAGTTGGAAAGAGTTCAGTGCAATTGGGGATTTCCTTTCCCCTCTCACCAGCCAGGCATTAGGCCACCCTTCTGCGCACAAGCGTCTCCCTACATCAGCACTTTGCAGCTCCCAATCTGATCCGTGAGCCTCTCTCCTTCTTTCTAGTTATAGAATTCCCACTCCGCCAGCTTTCCTGTGGATTTGGATGATGTCCGTTCTGTCTTTTAGTTGCTTTGAAATTGTTGTGTGAGGCGGCAGCTTAGGTACTTACCTAGGCCGCCATCTTGGTTTTTCCTAGCAGCTAATTTTTAAGTTGATAACTTTGTATAGTCCACAAATGATGTTACAAATGAAAGGTTCCCCACCCCTGGTGCAGAGGATGAATTTTTGGCCAGTTTAACATGAGATGCTGTTAGCTATCCATGCAGAGATGTCAGACTGGTTGTCAGGGATGGAGATACAGAGCCACTGGCATACGTGTGGCATTGAAGCCATGAGGTCATGCAGGAAGGCTGACCCTCCATGCTGAGGAAGGAGCACTGGGCACTCCAAACTGGAAGGGCAGAGCAGAGGAGGAAAAGAACCCAAGGCACCCAGGATGCAGCAGCCAGCTTCACAGTAAGAGCTGCACTGGCAGAGTATCCAGGAGGTCAGAAGAACAAAGTGCTTCCAGAGGCAGGTACAGACAATGCGTGATGAATGCTGCTGAAGGGCCAGCTAAGACAGAGAAGGAGCACTGCCACTGACAAGGGCTTTGTGTGAAAGGGAGGGTTTGTTTTTTAAGATGACGCGGTCAGTTCCTCATCTCCACATGCTGAAGGGACGTGACGGAAAGAGGGTAGAGGTAAATGCAAGGGTCTAGTCCTTAAGCAGGGAAGGGGACTGGTTGCAAAGTCCAAGAGGACGGTTAGCTTTGACCAGAGGGACGTCCAGGTGGGACGAGGTGGGTGGGTGGTGGTCTGGATAGGAGTTCCATCCAATGGTTGCCATTTTCTCAGTAAAAGTCAGGCAAAGAAATGTACAGCACCAAGAATTAAGCTTAATGTATACTATGCACTTTGAGTGTTTGTAATCTGTCGATGTAGGTTCATTATTTTGTAAGAAATGTACTTTCTGGTGGGGGTGTTGGTGGGGAGAGGATGTGTATGTGTGGGTGGTAGGGATTGTATAATAAATCTCTGTACCTTCCCCTCAAACTTTCTGTGACCCTAGAATTGCTCTAAAAAATAAAGTCTATTTAAAAAGTCATTAACTTGGGAATAGAAAGATGAGGTGGGAGAGGTTTTAAAGAGAGATGAGGTGATATGAAACAGTAAATGTGGTGGGTGGGGAAACCCTTTGAGGTCTGAGACTATTACTCTAAGACCAGTCAACACATTTGTGGGGTTTTCTCCAGTTGCTCCCAGCTGCTCAAGTGTGGGCGCTACTCAGCCTATGCAGACAACAGGTGCATTTCCCCAGGGTTGGGGCTTTGCTAGGAGAGTAAGGAAGTGGGCCGTGGGGAGAGGGGGTGCAGGGTGTTTGGAAGAGAGTGTCTGCAATGATGGACCACGGCTCTGAGCCGGGGCCACTGGTTGTGAAGAGGCCATTGAAAATCTGCTGGAGCTGGGTGAGCTGAGCGGATAGGACATGTCTAAAGAAAAATACTCTTCAATGTCTCCAGTGATCATGGAAATGCAAGATAAAACTTTCTTTCAGACTGGCAAAAATTAATAAATTTGGATATTCATTTTTGTCAAGGGCTGGGAGCAGTGCTCTTTCATCCCCTATGTACAGAAGAATAAAGTGATACAACCCTTTTGGGGGACAGTGTGTCAGCAGGTTTCAAAAATTTTAGAGAATTCTCTTTGCGACTCAGCCATGCCACTTCTAGGAATATGCTCTACAGCGACCCTCAAACAAACACACAAGGATGTACTTACAAAGATGCTTACTGCAGCTTTAGTTGTTACAGTGAGAAACCGGAATCCACCCACTACCTAACAACAACAGAATGGTTTTGTGCATTCTGGGACATCCTAAGGAATTCTATGAAGTCAATGCAGAGAATGGAGGTCATTTGCTTACAGTTTTATAAACATGCTATGTCCTTCTTGCCTTCCACATTATGCACATCCTGTTCCCTCTCTGAATTCTCCATTCCTCATCTTCGTTTTCACCTACAAGGATTCCTGAGCCCAATTGCTGTGAGGTGCCTGCCTGCTGAGTGCCTTGAGCTGACCCTCAAGCACACCGTGCTGTGCGGAAACTGCTCTAGAATGTGCTGACACCTGGCAAAGGCTAAATCAATGTTTCTCAGATCATTAACCCTCTCATGGTGGCGGCTAGGGCTTTAGGTGCCTATACTTGCCGTACTGCTTGCTTGTTAAGCTGTGAAGGGCCTTGCATAAGGAAGTCTGAAGTAATGGACCCAGTACTAAGCGCAGCTCCAAGGTAAACCCCGACTAGTTACAATCACCTCTAGCACTGGTGCAGGAAGAGGGGTGCGGCCCAGTAAACAGTCTGCAGGGCTCTCTCTCCATGCTTGGGGATGAACCTTCTCGTTCCCTAAAGAAGAAAGCCTGAGCTTCAGTTGCTGCTGCAGCCACCCCATGGCCACAAGGGAACCAGCTGATTTTGTGGACAGGAGAGCAGAGAGGACGATGGGCCCTTGATGACATCATCGAGCCATTGAAATAACCAACCTTGAAGCCAATTTCTCCTCTGGTTAAGTGAGAAAATAAGCATCTTTTTGTTAAAGCCATTTTCAGTTGGCATTCCTCCTACCATTCTAGGGCATATATACTGTGCTGGTGAAGCATTTTAGAGTTTATTTTAAATTGTTAAATGTTCAATTTGAGTTTCCAATACAGGTCCCACTTCCTTCAGCTCTGCAAGACGCATCTCTGTCCTTGGTTTATTAATCAAATAGACTTTCTTTTGAAGGCATCCCCCAAGGGTCTATTCATCTTGTAAGTAATAATATAATTTATACTTACCAGCCTCCTTCCTCTGAAGATTTCTTTCTTTACTGCTTCCACATCAAAACTTCTATAACCTTGTTTTGGCTCATCCTCCTCACATTCCACCAGTGCTGAAGAATACAGCTGCGGATTGGGAAAAGAAAACCCAGAGTGTGCACAGAGTAATGGTGAAAGGTACAAGTCAGAAAATGGCACCAAAAAGCAATCAATAGGAGAGGAAGATGATAGAACAATGATAACATTTTGGGGGGGGGGGGGTGAGCAGATCACAAGCCACCCTGCTTTTCTTAGAAGTGGTCCCAATCCCCAGGAATGTTTTCTATTCCATAACCCTGACCTCCAAGGCTAACTGAACCTGGTTGGGGCTCTCACCCCACACTGGGCCAATCAGATTTTCTATCCTAGGAAAATAGAACAAGCTCTGAGCCACATGCTCAAGCAAGCCAGTCTGTAAAAAGAAAAACAAAACATTTTGGCCAAGAGGGACCCTCTTCTCACAATCCAATTGTCCACAGCTGCGCCTGAGCTTTCTGTTCATGTTGAGGTTGAAGCCTCATGATGATTGGTACCATGAATCTGTCTCTCACCCAGTGGAGTGAGCTGGGCCCTCCTTGGAGAAGAAACCTGGATTCCCCAAGATATGTGATCAGTGCTGGGCTCCCGCCAGCAGGCATGGGAATCCTAAGGCAGGAGCTGGACGTGGAGGTCACGGGGGCATAGGGTACCAACGAGACAGAACTGAACCTCACCTCACCCTGTTTGACCCCAGAGGATGGCTGGTTAGTCAGTGACAGATAAGATTCCTCAGGGAAGGAACAACCTAAGACAGGCACAGTTGAAGAGGGGCCATCAGAGAGAACTTGGGGTCAACAGAGGTGGGGCACAGACCCTCACTCCCAAAACTTTGCAGGAGCCTGAATCCTCACCCCTGCTGAGGGAATCTTCTGCCCCAGAAGATTCTGCTTAACTTCCCATGCCCAGCTCAAATCGGGACCCGGGTAAAGGAGACTTGGCTGACAGCAGCTGCCCTCACACTACAACAAGACTTGTTTGAGTTGTCTTGTACACATGGTGTGGGGAAGTGGGTTTTTGATATCTAAATCCAGCCTACCACCAGGAATGCTCAGGGCCTACTCAAGAAGGCAAATAATCCTATCCCCTAATATTTACATGGTAAAATAAGATTGTTTTAGAGTAATAAATTTGACAGTAAAATAGTAAAGTTTTCAGGCAAAATTGGCTAGTTGAAATAAGGGAATATCCTAGGAAAACTAATTGCACTTGATAAAAAGCTGTTCCTAAAGTGTTAACTAAATTTTTTATTGGTAGTTCATCTCAGGATAAAATCTCACAACAGGAAATGAACTCAAAGCAGTCATATTATAGTGCAAAAAATTAAAATTTAAAAGCTATCAAGATTACATTATAAAATTTTCAAAAGCCTCCTAATATTTAAATCAAAAAAGGGGGAAAGTAGAAGAATATCATTTAGGAAAAATATCCTGAAAGTAAATTACATCTAGAAAATTTGTACTTTAGAAAATTAATTGTAACGCTATCAGCAAGATACCCATGAAAAACACACATGGTGTCAAAACAAGCCAGAGGAAAATCATTTGGGCAAAAAGTGAAAAAGGATCACAAATCAAGTTTATAGGAAATATTCCTTTATTAACTTTTGGTTGAGAATATGTTTGTATATTTTCAGAAAACAACTCCGAGATCATGTGGATTCTGGCAACAGAGAGGAATTGACAGGACTACTCCAACCACGAAGACAGAAGAGAATCAGTCCAGAGATGGAAGTCGCTGATGACGCCGTACCATAATAGCAGTCAGCAGTTGTGTTTCACTGCAGGTTGCCCAGGACCAAACCAGAGAGAGTTGGACCTGCATTACCACCATCCAGAACTGAACTATCATTGCTGACATGTACACATAAGGCACTATTTGACATTGAAATTGGGTCTCGAAAGAACTGGTGGCCCAGAAAGAAGCTCACTACAGGCTGATGCATATGCCTTTCAGCATAACGATTATTTCCTGTCTCATTTTTTATTCTTATATTTCCAGTAGGACATGGTCTCACGCATCTGGGGGACATGGTGAACAACAAACATAGACTGATGAACAGGAACAGACCCAGAGATAAGGAGCCATGGGTCAGACTGTTGGACCTCAAAGGGAGGGTGGGGATAAAAGGGAGGGATCAACCAAAGGACTTATGTGCACACATATGAGCCTAACCAGTGGTCAAGGACAATAGGGGGTGGGGGCATGAGTGTGTTGGGGGGGAGGAGGATTGGAATGGGGGTTTGAGGACAAATATGTGATACTAAATAAAGAAATTAATTAAAAAAATATAAATTTAAAACAAAACAAAACAAAACAAAAACGAGGGCAGAGAGGACATCCTGGGCTCCTGATGGCTTACCAGTGCCTGTTTCTCAGACCGACCTGCATGTCTGCCTTCAGCAGCCATGAAATGCCCAGCAGGCTTATCACAAAGCCCCTTTTATTTGTGTTACTTGAAACTAAAAGAATTCAACTACCTCTGAATTAAAGATCAACATAACACATATACTCAAATAACAAAGGGTATGAAAAACAAAAATTTATGATACTGGATATAAGCAAAGATTTCTTAGAAAAAGCAGAATCTATTTAGAAACTATATAGAAAAAATTAATAAGTTGGACTTTTTCAAAACAAAAACTTTTTGCTCATTGAAAGAATTGATAAAAAAAAAAAAAAAAAAAACACAAAAAAGCAAATCAGAGACTGGGAGAAAATATTCATAACACGACCCTAGCAGTTGTGGCTCAGTTGGTTGGTTATCACACGGTGTACCTGAAGGTTGCCAGTTTGATTCCAGGTCAGGGCACATGCTAGGTTGCAGCTCAGTCCTCAGCAGGGGGCATATAGGAGGCAGCCAATCGATTTTCCAAAGCTCTCACATAGATGTTTCTCTCTTTCTCTCCCTCTCCCTTCTTCTCTCTCTAAAAAAAAACAAATAAATAAATAAATAATATTTTTTAAATATTCATAATATGTATATCTGAAAAGTGTATCAGGAATATAGGAAAAACTCTTATAACTCATCAAAGAGAAAATAAAATATATAATAAAAGCCTAATATGCTAAGTGTCTGAACATTTGCTCAACTGTTTGACCAGTCACTATGATGCACACTGACCACCAGGGAGCAGACGCTCTGAACAATAGGTTAGCTTGCTGCTGGAGTCCGGCCAATTGGAACTGGGTGAGATGGGCCAGACATGCCCTGGAGCCCTCCCAAGGTCCCTCCCTGGCCCTGATGGGGCTGGGCCAGATGGGCCAGATATGCCTTGGAGCCAGGCAGTCCCTTCCTGGCCCTGATTGTGTATCAGTGGGGTCCCAATCATTGATCAGCTGCCTCCTGCACCACTTCCCCTACTAGGGATTGAGCCCAAAACCTGGGCATGTGCTCTGACTAGGAATCTAAACAGGGACCTCCTGGTTCATGTGTTGACACTCAACCATTGAGCCAAACCAGCTGGGCTAAAAAGCTTCTTCATAATTCTTTTTTTTTTTTTTTTAATATATTTTATTGATTTTTTACAGAGAGGAAGGGAGCGGGACAGAGAGTTAGAAACATCAATGAGAGAGAAACATCGATCAGCTGCCTTCTGCACACCCCCTACTAGGATGTGCCTGCAATCAAGGTACATGCTCTTGACTGGAATTGAACCTGGGACCCCTAAATCCACAGCCCGACGCTCTATCCACTGAGCCAAACTGGTTTCAGCTAGGGCAATAATTTTATTATAAATAAAATTAAAGGAATCATAAGGTGTTAAGATCTAAAAAATTAAAAAGTTAAAAAAATATCCTCCCAAAACTCCCACTTAAAAGCCCAAACCATGACCAACTCATCATTCTTTGTACTCAAAGTACCATTTTTCTATTTTGGTATATTCTTCCCTAAAAAAATTCATGTATTTATTTTATTTTTGTTAATCCTCACAAACAGGTATTTTTCCATTGGTTTTCAGGTAGGGAAGAGAAAAACATCAATGTGAAAGAGACACATTGATTGGTTGCCTCCTCCATGGGCATACTTGACTGGAATCAAATCCAGGACCCTTCAAGCAATCCAAGGGCTGATGCAATGTGCCCTGAGCCAAACAAGCTAAGGAAACAACTCCTGTTTTTCAAGTGACTTACCAAACAGTTTTCATGAGCAGCTATGTCATCTGATTGTGCACAGTACAGGACACCACACTCAAGGCCTTTGGGACAAAGTGCACATACCCTTCTTTCCATCTTCTTTGAAACCTGCAAGACACCTGTAAGTAATAACCCTCATAAGAAATGAAAAAGTAAGACCACCAACTTACACCACACACAGAAATAAACTCACAAGGGAAAGAGGACTTAAACATATGACGGGAAACCATAAAAATCTTAGAAGAACCCATAGGCAGCAAAATATCAGACATATATTATAGCAATATCTTTATTGATATGGCTCCTAGGACAATGGAAACTAAGAAGAAAATAAACAAATAGGACTACATCAAAATAAAAACAAAACAAAAACTTCTGCACAACAAAAGAAACCATCAATAAAACAACAAAAAAGCCCATTGCATGGGAGAAAATATTTGCCAATGATATTTCCAAAAAGAGTTTAATCTCTAAAAATTATAGGGAACTCATACAAATTAACAGAAGGAAGATAAACAATCCAATCAAAAAGTGGGCAAAGGACCTAAATTGAATCTTTTCAAAAAAGGACATACACAAGGCCAAGAGGTGTATGAAAATATTCTCAAAATCACTAATTATCCAAGAGATGCAAATCAAAATGACAATGAGGTATCATCGCACACTTGTCAGAATGGTTATCATCAACACATCAACAAACAAGTGCTGGCGGGGGAGCGGAGAAAAGGAGCCCTCCTACACTGCTGGAGGGAATGCAGACTGGTGCAGCCACTGTGGAGAACAGTGTGGAGTTTCCTCAAAAAGTTAAAAATGGAACTCCCATCTGACCCAGTGATCCCACTTCTAGGAATATATCCCAAGAAAACAGAAACACCAATCAGACAAGACATATGTACCCCTATGTTTATTGCAGCACAATTTATAGCTAAGATTTGGAAACAGCTTAAGTACTCATCAGCAGATGAGTGGATTAAAAAACTGGTACAGCCCTAGCCGGTTTGGCTCAGTGTATAGAGCATTTGCCTGCTGACTGAAGGTTCCTGGGTTCAATTCTGGTTGAGAGCACATGCCTGGTTTACAGGCTCAGTAACCAGTGGGGGGGTGAGGAGGGTGTGTGTGTGCAGGACGCAGCTGATCAATGATTCTCTTTCATTATTGATGTTTCTATCTCTCTCTCCCTCTCCCTTTATCTCTGAGTGGCCGGGCCCGGAGCAGCCGGGCCCAGAGCAGCCGGGTCGGGTGCGGACAGGCCTGGAGCAGCAGCTGCCAGGCTGGGAGCGGCCAGGCCCGGAGTGGCCGGGCCCAGAGCAGCAGCAGCCACGCCTGGAGCAGCCAGGTCAGGAGCGGCAGTGGCCAGACCCGGAGCAGCTGGTTGTGGAATGGACCAGAGCAACAGAGGCCAGGCCCGGAGCAGCCAGACCCAGAACAGCTCGCTCCTCGCCTGCCCCCGCCCCAAGGCTGCCTCTCAGAGATGGCTGGAAACTTTTGGGGGAACTTGAGGGTCTGCTGAATCAAATTAGGAAGGCTTAGATCTGGATGTGTTAAATCAGTATAGCGCTGGGGTGTTGATCTGTGAGTGCCTTGTGTGGGGCCTGGATGAGGTTGGTTGATCTATTTGGAAATGTCTTTTGTGTGAAGTGTATCCTTGGGCATGTGGAGGTATTATTGATATGAGAAAATGCTAAGTAACTGATTTACTATCTGAAAAATTTAAAGTTCTGAAAGTTTAAGGTCTCTGGCCAAAAAGAGGTTTTAAAGCTAACACCTTAATTTTAATGGAGAAAGGGAATGACAAGCCCTTCCCACCCAGAACAGGTAATCAATTCCAACCAGCAGCTATGTTTAAACAATGTGTCCATTTATGGGAGGGGAGGGGACTGACTGTTCTCGTGGAAAGGGAGGGAGGAAGAGACTGAACATAAACTGTGCACCTATGGATAAGGACAATGTGGGGTGGGGAGGGGGCGCAGGGTGGGGTGGGAACCTGGTGGAGGGGGGAAGAAATGAGGAACCTTTGTAATAATATGAACAATAAAGATTGATTAAAAAAAAAAACTTAAAAATGTTGTGCTTCAGAGGACACTGTCAAGAAAATGAAAAGAACCAATGGACGAAAAATTCTGGGGGGGAGGGCATATATGGGCATTGGGGGAGGGCAATGGAAAGATATGTACACATATAATACCTTAATAAAAAAATAAAAATTAAATTAAATTAAATGATAAAAAAAGAAAGGGGGGCAATGTCAAAATATGTACACAGATAATAATTTAATTTAAAAAATATTTAAAAATAAAAAAGAAAGAAAGAAAATGATAAGAGCCCTGACTAGTTTGGCTCAGTAGATAGAGCAACAGCCTGCGGACTGAAAGGTCCCAGGTTCAATTCCAGTCAAGGGCATGTACCTTGGTTGCAGGCACATCCCCAGTAGGGGTTGTGCAGGAGGCAGCTGATCGATGTTTTTAACCCTCTATCCCTCTCCCTTCCTCTCTGTAAAAAAATCAATAAAATATTAAAAAAATAAAAAAATAAAAATAAAAAATAAAAAAATAAAAAGTACAAGCTCGTCTTCCCCTCTCCCCCATGTGCGCGAGATTCTTGGGATGATAGCAAGAGACATGCTCCCTTGCACCCACATGTCTTCTGGCCATGTGGGGCTCTCCACATGGACTAATAGACTAACACCCGACTGTAACATGGAGAGGAGGCTCTGGACACCGGCCTGCTCCTGCAACCACAGCTGCACCTTCCCTAGGACTGGCTTCTCTCAGTAAACTTTGCCTCCGTTAACTGATTTTGCCCGTGACTTCATTCTTTCATTTCCCGAGATAATGAACTCGGACTCAAAAACCCACATTTTGATTTCACTCTCAACATTTAATCAATATACAAATTAATTTATTCTTTTGTACTGAATCTTAAAACCGAGTGTACTCAATGATGTCATACTTTAAGTGCTCGATAGCCATATGAGATGAGTGGGTACTGTACCGAATGGCTCAGCCAACGATATAAAGACGCATGAGACAGAATTGCTCTCTGCAAGAAACTTAAAAAATAAACAGGGGACTAAAGCAATCAGAAAAATAAAATAACAAGAAATGTTACTGAGATCCAAGACCTAAACTGCTGCTTTGCACAACAATTTTAAAACTATAACTAAAAGACAAAACGTCTATCACCCAGAACTACAAAAAAAGCTGGCCGAGTGGAAGCTCTACAACTGGAAGGAAAGAGGAAAGAGCATTCAGGGCACAAGTGCTGAAAAGATGAGGTGACAGAGGCACGTGCGTGATCCGGGCGTGGTGGGTCCCGGCTGGCGGCGGGTGTTGCTTTCTTCAACCCGAAGGGAGACAAGCTCTTAATTTCTCTGAAATCCACTTTCTGGGGAGATGCTGGGGAAGCAAACTCCTACGGGGAGAAGCTGGACTGTTTGCCATCGGGTCAGAAAGTGAGGGTGGCTTGCTTGCAGAGCTGCGCACAGGAATAATTACTTGCTGCACTGGGGTGCGGGACATGGGGACGAGGTTGGAAGTGTGGGGACGGCGGGCTGGCAGCCATTGCTGTTTGCCATGCCCTAGCCTGGTGATGCCCTGAGACCCTGCCCCGCACAACCTACAAGCCCACCCAAGCTCCAAAGCAGCAGCTTTTGCATATGAATGGCCTTCTCTATTGCAGTTTAACCTAGCAAATTTGCAACCTAGTTCAGACAGCTCCAAAGCCTCCAAGCCCCAAGCAGGAAGGAGAGGACTGTGGTTCTCGATGTAGCTCCTGCAGGGTGGCCTCAGACAGTAGCTGACCTGCACCCCATTGGAGATCCAGAAGCCAGTGTACTTAGTGGTCATTATGAGACATCAGATTTCAACTCCTCACATCCATAAGTGACACATTCAGGAGGCGGACTCAGTGAGCACCAAAGCCCCACTGAAACAGGCCTGCACCATAAGCATGTCTCCAGTGACCTGGAGGTCAATTCCTCCCAGTGCACCAACAGCAATCAAGGCTTAACTACACCAAGACTTTGCACTCAGCCCACAAAGGGGTGTACTTAGAGAGACCATCTCAGGTGATTGGGAAAGCTGAGCTTCTGGCCCCTATAGGTCACCTACCACACAAAGCCACTCCATCAACACAGGGAAGCAGCCAAAATGCAGAGACACAGAAACATGTCTCAAATGAAAGAAATGGAGGAAAGCAAACTACTGGACAACACAGAGTACAAAACCACATTTATAAGGTTACTCAAGAATCTTCTAAACCGCTGGGAAACTTTAAGAGACCTTCAATGACCTTAATGAGAATGCCAAAAAAATGGAAAAGGACCAGTCACAAATTAAGCATACACTTTCTGAAATGAAGAATATACAGAAACTCAATTGTAGATCAATGTACCCCAAGAACCAAACCAAAGTTCTTAAATATAAGGAAACAAAAAACACCCAACCAGAAAAACAAAAAGAAAAAAGTATAAAAAAATATGAAGATAGTATAAGGAGCCCCTGGGACAACTTTAAGCGTACGAGCATCCAAATTTTTGGGTGCCAGAAGAGAGAGAGCAAAATATTGAAAACCTATTAGAAGAAATAATGACAGAAAACTGTCATTTAGCCCTTTTTTTTTTTTTTTGTATTGGGTTATTCACTATTTTCTTATTTATAAAAGCTCATCATGTATTCAGAACACTAACACTTTGTTAGTCAAATATGTGGTGTTCTGTGGGGAAGCATGGGACTTGGCTGAAGTGTCTGCAGGGAGGATTCCCCAAAAGGTCGTAGGCCTCTGGGGGGACCTTGCCAAAGGCAGCAGCCCCCACCTTGTCTTTTCCAAAAAAGTCTGACCCCCTGGGTGTTTACTAGAATCTCTCTGTTTAGACTTCAAAACATCTTTGTTAAAAAGACACTACAGCCGAAACCGGTTTGGCTCAATGGTAGAGCGTCGGTCTTTGGGACTGAAGGGTCCCAGGTTCGATTCCGGTCAAGGGCATGTACATTGGTTGCGGGCACATCCCCGGTAGGGGGTGTGCAGGAGGCAGCTGGTCGATGTTTCTCTCTCATCGGAGTTTCTAACTCTCTCTCCCTCTCCGTAAAAAAATCAATTAATTATATTATATATATATAAAAAAAGACACTACAGATGCAGGTACTTTCTCAGGGATGCTCATCCTGCTATTGTATCTAAAGCTTAATATTAGTTTAAGCGGTTGTGACAATGAAAGCCTAAGGAGGCAGGCAGACAGGGCTGTCTGCTTCCTCGGAGCCCTCTCTTTCACAGACCCTGGGCAGAGTAATCATTCATCCCTCAGCTCCAGCAGTCTTTTAACTTTTTTATAATGTTCTTTGACATACAGAATGTTTAAATGTTTTATTTGATAAATTATATCAATATTTTACAGTTTCTACTCCTGAGTGAGGGGACATAGTTTAGAAATACTTCTATTATATTCTAGAATTTTAATTTATTTTTTTACATTAAAATATTAAAATGAAATTAATATTATTGTAAAGAATGACATGGAACTGTAACTTATTTTCATAATGATTAGCCACTGATTAAAAAATCTCCTTTTCATATATTTAATTATTACATTTATTTGAGCTTGTTCCTATACTTCTTTTGTTCCACTGACCTGTCACTTTCTGCAACAATACCACACTTTACAATTTTTAACACTTTAGAATATATTTTAATATTTGACAACACAAAGCACACATCTTAGGATAAAGATAGGAAAAATTCTAGTATTTTATTCACCTTATTCTACTTTGATAGAATACTGTGTTCTTATTTTAAAAAAACACTCATATTAGAGTTTGTAAAGCACAGGTTAAAAAAACGTGTCAAACAGCCTGCTGGTGTAGCTCAGTGGTTGAATGTGGATGCATGTACCAAGAGGTCCCAGGTTCAATTCCCAGTCAGGGCACATGCCTGGGTTTCAGGCTCCTTCCCCAGTATGGGACTGCAGAAAGCAGCAGATCAATATTTCTCTTTCATTTCTCTCTCTCTCTCCCCCTTTCTCTTTAAAATCAATAAAAAACCTTTTTTTTTTAAAGTTTCAGTTAAATTATTAGTGCTAAAATTCTCTAATAAAATCATGTGATAATGTTTGACAGGATATGCAATGCCCCTTGTTGTATAAGAGCTACACATTTCCCCTTTCCTGTGGAAAAGCTGGACCTTCAAACTAATACACTGCATTAGGCTGAGCTGTCAGGCTGCAGATACCTGAGCATGTCCTTCTGTGCCTGCCCTGGGGACTCTGTGCCATCTGAATTGCACTCCCAAGTCCACAGGCTCCCTCAGAGTCTTGGTACCTGGGCATACAGCAGTGCTAGGCAGCACAGTGCTGCGCTGTCACCTGGAGTTTGTTCCCGGTGCTGATGGACAGAAACCCAAAGTGGGACACACAGGCTCCCCCTAAAGGCCTTTTCCTGCTAAAGCATCCCTTCATCGTAGTCTCCCAAAAGATCTAGGCTCCTCTCACTTGTTTCTTCTTCTAGACTGGAGGATGTGCATAACTCTCTGTAGTTAGCGGAGTTACGGTACATTAGAAGCTTTTACACAGACAGGCATTCCTCCCTGTCTGAATGCTTGCTACGTGTCACCTGAAACTCATGGACCAAATACACTTGGATAACTGATATCCTTCCCCATCTGAACTCGGGAACTACAGGCTCAGACAGTAAGGGAGTGATACATGCATCATGGGGGCTAGGATTTTAGGGGAAGAGCCCACTGGTCTCCCTCAGGAGCTGAGGTGGAGAACAATGAGCATAAGCAGGGCTTCCCGGGGTCCTTCTCCTGGGTCTAGCAGCCCGAGGACTCAGAGACTGTCCTGACAAGACCCATAAGGCATAATATTAATCAAAACGGGAAGGGGCTAAATCAGATCAGGACATGGGTGCACTGTAAGCCAAAAAGATTATTCGGGGGTGGGGGGGAATGAGACTACTGGAGGACTTTGAGTAGGAGAATCACATTTGTTTTCTGTGTTTTAAAGGTCATTTGGGGCTGCTGTGTAGACGAGGCTAGAATAGAAACCAGGAGACAAACAGTCCAGGCAGGAGATGATGGTGGCTTGGGGCTGGATGGTAGTCATGGAGGAGGTGACAAGAAGTGAGGCTCACGATATATTCTGAAGACACACTGACTGGTCTGACTAATGTGTTAGGTGGGGAGTGAAGAGGAACGTGAGGCACTGAGGGTGCCTTTATGGTTTCTGGCCTGAGGAACTGGGTGAATGAAATGGGGCGGGCTGGTGGTTGAGCAGGTCTGGAGTGTGTGGGAGCGGGTGTATGTGGGGAAACAAGAGTTCTCTTTGGGACATCCTCAGTGTGAATCACCCCAGGCATTGACACAGTGGGTTAGGAGAGTCGGAGTTTGGACAAAAGGTCAGAATGGAACCTCACCTCCAGTGACTCCCCCTCTTGCACTCCAGCTATACACATACCAGCTATTCAACTGCCTGACTTGCGGTTGCCACCTGTGCTTTGTGAGGCTGATGCTTTTAGTCATGTCACCACCTGCCTGGAACACCTTTTGAACCTCTCTCTCTCTCTGACCGACTTGCCCTTTGAAACAGAGAACCATGCACTCGCCTCCAAAAAGCTTTCTGGGAACGCCATGCTGAGCTGGGAGCCCCTCATCCTGTGCCGGTGTGGTGCTCACCAGGTCAGAAGCCAGCTGCCTACCAGATTCTCGGCACCCCCAGCACTTAGTCCTGAGCCCGCACACAGTAGGAACTGCGCTCCGGGGTGAGGGAAGCAGCGCGCTCAGATTGGCTTGGCTGGGGCGGGAGGGGGTGGGGGGAGGCCTTGGCTCCCAGTGCAGAGGAGGGGGTGGCTCCCAAACGGCACGTTCTTTGGGGGAACAACTTCCCAAACCGCTTCCCCAGAGCCAGCGACCACCCCCCCCTGAAGGGGGGTGGGGTGCCCTCCTCCCGCACCGCTCGGACCCGGCGGCTTTACAGAGAGGAGCCCCGAGCTCGCTCCGCCGGCCCGGGCCCCGGCCCCCACCCTTGGCCCCGGCCCCGGAGGGGACCCGGTGGAGCGAGCTCCGCGGGGCCACACGCTGACGGGCCAGGACCGTCCACGCGGCCCGGCGGCCCGGCAGACGGGTCGGCCCCGGAGGGAGGGACGCGCCCGGGAGGGCCCGGCGGGACCGGGGCCGCCGCCCGCTCCGCCCGCTCCGCCCGCACTCACCGCTGGGGCCGGGCGTCGGGGCCGGCGCCTCGGGGCCCCCGGGCTTGGCGGCGTCGCCGGCGGCGGCGGCCCGGGCCGGCGCGGGCTCCATGCCGGGCTCGCTCTGCGGCTCCGCTCGCGCCCGGAAGTCCGCCGCGGGTTCGGTTCCCGGAGGCCCGGAAGGGCTGAGCCGCTCAGGGGGGTCCCCGGAGGAAACGAAACCTGCCTCGCCCCCGGTCCCGGCAGAAGAAATGAAACTTAGCCTCGGGTGCGCAGATCGACGTCCCTGCCAAACCTTCCCCAGATTCCAGTTTGAATTTAACTTTTTTTGGAGGCCAAAGCCCCTGTGTTGTTGGAGAAATGACCGCTTTTCTGAGAGGTTCACAGTTCTTTTAAAAATTTTATTAAATGGAAATACTTGTGGGCGAAAGGAGCCACTTGCTGACATGACAAGCTGGGGGGAGGGGAGGGGGAAGGCTGCATGGCGGTATTGCAAACTCGGAGCCCTGAAGAAACCACAGAGGATGGTCTGAAATTAAACTTTAACTGAGAGCAGTGATGGGCAGTTAGGGCCTAGGCAGGTGCCGGGCCTGATGGCGGAGAGGGAACCGGAGTGGGGGCGGCTGAAAGGCTTAGCGGACAGACACGCTGCTTCCTGAGACAGCGGTGCACCCCACAAGCTGGGTGTGATCAAGATGTTCACAACATTTTTGTGGGTTTCAATCGTACTCAACTACACGCACCTGAACTCTATCACTCAGGCGCGGGGGCCCACGTGTTTGGGCCACAGGTTCCAGCTTACAGCAGCTGTTGGCCATGACTGTGCTGGGAGGCTCTGCCCGCCACCCTGGGACTTGCACGTGGCCACGAGAGGACGGCGCCCTCTTATTAGTCGAGGCTTTAACCTGTCCAAAACACTGGCACAGGCCAGTATCTTCACGGACAAGATCAACCTTCACCTTAGCTGAGCCCATCTGACTTTTTGCATCTATGATAACATACCCTTGAAATGTCTGGGTAACTTGTAGCTTCCCTTTTTCTGGTGTCAGAGTGAGAATTTGTGAGCATGCTTCCAGAGAGGCCATGAACTATGCCCCAGACAGTCATCAGTGCTGACACCAGGCCAGGCCTTGAGATATGGCCTCATGGCCCCTCCCAGAACGGAGGCCTTCTTTCTGAGAACACTGTTTGTGTGTCAGTTACCCACCCCACCCTTAAATCAGCCAACAGAAATGCAGAGGGAAGTAATCCTGTGTAAGGACCCTGGCCCTCACCCCACTAATCGAAACCAGCCAACTCAGTGGTCCGAGATTCACCCCACCACCCAACCCTAAGCCCTATAAAAAGGCTGTATGTTCAGAGCTCCAGGCTCTCTGTATCTTGCTGCTGAGTCCTTAGGGGCAGAGAGACCAGCCTGGAGCTTGAATAAAAGGCTTTGTTCTTATATCTGACTCTGACTCCGTGTTCTTTGGGGATCTTGCAATCTGGGCATAACACTGGGGCATAACCAAATGTGGTGGGCGCCAGGATACCACAAATTCCTTATCATGCTAATTGTTCCTGCACCCATCTAAGTATGTGTCCATCATTTTACTTTTTATCCAAACCCAGCCCCCCCCCCCCATTTGTTTTATCCCACCTGCTTAACCTATCACCAGTGAATTTCATGTAACCCACCTACGTCCCGCCTTTGATTGCAATGTATAAATACAAATGTAACCTGCCATTCTCTGGAGCATTATCTCAATTCCTTGAGGTTCTGCTTCCTGTCATATGTCAACAGTTTGGCTCAAATAAACTCACAAAAATTCTTTACAGATTTCAATGTTGTTGTTTTTTTGTGTTTTTTTTTTTTACGTTAATACATTACATAAGTGTATCTATCATAAACAGACACAGAAGTAACTAACTGTAATTGCAGTTAGCAGTTGCAAGCCTTTATTTAGCACCTATGGATACACAGCACCATATAAGAGGAGGTTTCCAGTGCAATGTTAACAAATATACATGTAGGGGACATACAGTTGAAAGTTGTTCTGGAAAAGAAGCACATAATGGTGAATTGCTGAGAAATTAAAACTTCTGGAGATCTTGCAATTTGAGCAAACTTTAAGAGGAAAGGAGGCAAGGTGGGGACAGCAGAAAATAGAATATTAAAAACAATAAGCTGGATGGTCTTGACAAATACATAATTGGATTACGGAAGCAAGAGCACAGGGCTGCAAAACAGGAGAAAAAAAGGGATGCCTACAGTCAAGTTTTATTGCATCTCAAGCAGGTGGACAGAATTACAAGCACACCCCACTTTATTGCACTTAGCTTTATTGCACTTTATAGGTGTTGAGTTTTGTGTGTTTTTTGTTGTTGTTGTTGTTTACAAAATGAAGGCAAGACCTTCCATCAGCAAGATTACCACTTGCTTTACCATGACACTCACTTCATTACGGTAATATTACCAAACTATAATATCTCAGAATTAGGCCTGTATTCCTTGCCATGCAAACAAGAAGTCCTAAAGGTCTTTGCGAAGCAGTTGAACATCTTCCACCACTCTCCATTTATCATTTCTAGCATTTTAGTGTTCTACTCTTAAGCAGTAGACCTTAACATCACTGAGAAAGCCTGTAACACACGCTTGTACACACACACACACACACACACACACACACACACACACACACACACACACACACAAAACAAAAACCAAAGGAAGCATGCAGGGAAAACAAACAAATGAACCTTAGAGGTCACAAAAATATGCACAAAGGAAATAAAAATGTAGGTTTTTATGTACACTCACACACACTGTATTCAAAGATATACTACAACCAAGAACCAAAAAAAGATACTATTAAAGAACATTCAGGGAAGAAAAGAGCCCTAGATATAAAAAATCTGAGACCAGAAAAAAACACATTAGACTAATTGGAAAATTAAGTTGATGAAGTCTTCTAGAAAGTAGAGCTAGAAGATAGAGCTGGAAATTAAGAGAAAACAAGAGAACCAATCCTGGAGGTCTACCATCTGGATAACAAGAATTCTAGAATGAGAGAACAGATGAGCAGTCATTCAAGAAAATATTTCCCTGAAGGACAATGTTTGCAAGATCGCACCAAGCACCCAGTATAAGGGATGAAAATGAACCCTTACCAGGAACAGAACGTTGGAACAAAGTAATGCTGTAAGCTCCTAGAAAGAGAAAAACTGGTTGTATATACAAAGAATGGCATCTGACATCCAACCCTGGATACCAAAGCAAGAATGTTTTCAAACTTCCCAGCAGCAACACTGAAAGCTTAGCAGATGCCTTCAAAATTAGAAATGGAGGCTACTCAAGAATTCTATACTTTGTCAAAATAGCAAACAAGTGTAATGGTACAATATTTTCAAATATGCAAGGTCTCAAAATATTTACCTCATTTTTCCTTTTCAAAAGGTATTGAAGGATGTGCTTTACCAATATGTGGAAGTAAACCAAGGAAACAGGAAATAATGGATATAACTGGAAACAGATTTGACACGAGAAAAAGGGGATCTCTAGGACACCAATGGAAGATGATAGCTGTAAACCAGGTTAAGATACCAGGATTTCTGCACAAAATTATTTCCCATGCTGATCAAGTGTCTTCACTTCATTTTAGTGCACTAATTCCTGCATCTTTACTGTGAATATATGGACTGCTCAACTTTCCTCATCAGTCTACAGGCTGTTGGGTTATAATATTTTGCTCTTTTTCTAATTCTTTGGTTTCCCACGAATGGTTTTCCATTTCCCAAAAATGGTTTCTAAAACAATTTCAAGTTAAATTTTCACCTAGTTCAATATTTTTAAGAAATTAGATTGGGTCTCAACTTAGAATGAACTTTGAAAGGTAACTGAATTAAACCCCTCAAGTTCAGAAGAAAAAAAAGAAACCCCCCCCCAAACAAAAACAAAAACAAAAAACATGATCTTTTAAAAATGAAACCTTGTAATTACTCTTTTTTGAGCTAGTATTCCCATCCTGATTCCCAGGGGGTAGGTCTTGCCAGCCGAATATATAGCACATCTTTCTTTGTTAAGGATAAATTAGTTTTGACTCTTGGAGATTCCCAGCCCCCTTTCCGCTAGGTCAGGGCGAGGTAACCTTCCCTTTTCCTCCAGAAAACCAATTTGCACAGCATGCTCAGGAGAATGCAAGAGGATGTTTCAGACTTGAAGCTCAGGTCTGTTTTGTTTTTAAAATTAAACTCTTGCCCAGCACAATCCCTGGTAGCCTAAATAAGCCAAGTCTGACTAATCTCCTGATTTCTTTTTCTTATGGCTCAATCTAGAACAAATATCTTCCAATTCCTCTAGTTTCTATTCCCTCTTTTCCTGTCTGTTTGTATTAAAGGAAAGCAGTTTCATGTCAAAGAGCTTGCCACACTCTTCCCTATTGAAGGGCTTCTCACCCCTTTCCACTCCAATGGTTTAATGCGACAGTGCTCATGAGCTGTCGCCAGGAATTAAACAATAATAAATTTTGTAGGTAAAGTCATGAAATGTAGCCATTTGGATCCATGAATTCAAAGACAATAATAAAAACAAGAACAAATGAATTCTATTGTAACATTTGTTTCTCTTTATAGTTTACAAATAAATTACAAGTTATATAGCAGTATTTCATAGAAAATACACACTTCCATCTTACTCATGTAAAGTTGAATGGCGGTAAGATCCAAGAGATAACCTATGTGTATGAAACTGTCCTTATTTTGTTGCTAGCATTTCTAAGTCACAAAAATGAACCCCTTGACAAGAGGAGACTTAGGAATTCTCTCAATGAATAAAAAACTAAATTCCACTGATGACTGAGCATTCTTTTGTATGGCTCTAATTTCAGTTTGATAAACTAATATCATGAACAGGGCATTAGCTACAAATTTATATTATTTTTTTCCTGCACTTATTAAACCCACATTCACAGAGGATTTCTTTATCTGGCACAGTTCCAGGTTCATAACCATAATCCCATGTTAATTCTGTTCTTGCTTTCACATACCTAGAAAGTAGAAATTAAAAAAAATAAATTAACAGGAATAAACCAAACTTGACTACATAAATTTTCATGTTAACATCATTAACCATCCTCAAAAATATTTTTATTCTCTCTGACACCCACCAATTACGACTGCTCTTTCATTAAAAGAATAATCATTTGAGTTTTATTTCAAATGTGCTAAAATTCTAAGAAAGAACAAATCTGTCAATATCTATGAAGGAACCTGGTGATGTGATGAGGCCTGCAGTGTGGTGTTTGGCAAGTTGCAACATTTATCCCCTGAATTGAACTGGGTGAGAACTGCCATTCTTAGCCCTTTCAGGCATTAGTTCTAAAAAGAAACAATATCTGAAATTTCAGCTGTTTCAAATTTTGCTGAGTAGGAAGAGTTTGGGATAATTCTAAATTTAGGGGTACTAGATATTAGAGGCCATAACACATAACTTTTCTTTTCTTTCTTTTCTTTTGCTTCCATCCCTGTCCCTCTGTCTAGTTTCTTTTTCCTTCTATTGTTGTTTTTAAAGTCACAATTTCATAATTATATCATAAAAAATTTCAAACCTGTTGGTGAAGAATGCCACCAATGGAAAATTCCTGTCATGTGTTTCCACAAAAACATTCTGTACCAAAAGATTTGGGCAACAACTATGCTGTTAAAAAAAAAAAAAAAATTAAAGCAGAGGTTACATACAGCACACAGTTTGATGTCTTGTACTCTGAAGCATTAGAATACCATTGTTTCCAACAAAGCTCGCTTATTTTTGTTTCCTTTTCTTTTCTTGTTGACTAATATGTAAAATATAGCTCACTACAATCCAGTTAATAGTAGGAATCCATTCAGAAAAGTCTGTCACATTCTTATATCCTACTGGTAGAAATGCAAAATGGTATAAATACCTAAAGATAATTTGTCAAGATTAATCAATATTATAAATGCATGTATCTTTTAATTCAATAATCCCATATTTGATGTATTCTACAGACATATCTATACATATACCTATGTGTAATATTCAAACATTGTTTTAACAGTAAAAGTTTGAAAACAACCCCCCTACCCCCCCAGCAAAAATATATAAAAAACCCTAATATGCAAATAGCCCAAACAGCAGGACAACCAAACAATTGGTTACTATGATGTGTGCTGACCACCAGGGCCATGTGCAGAACATGGTGGGTGTTGGCAACAGGCGGCAGAGTGGGGAACATGGCAGGCGTTGGTCATGGTGGGATGGTGGAACAGGAGAGCAGGGGCACCAGACCAAGGTGGGCGCCAGCCCCCATCATTGGGGTGAGCCTCTGGCAGTTACTAAAATTTCTTTGCTCCTGCATGCTGTGGTCCTGCCCGGCGCTCACACCCACTGCCAGTGCTGGCTCTGCTTTCACCCGCAGCCAGCACTGAAGCCAGTCCCAATCGCACGAGGGCTTCTCCCCCTACCCGAGGGGCAATTGGGGCAGCAGCCACTGCTTGCACCCACTCGCACCTGCTGCTGGCGCCGCCCCCATTGCTCTGCACCACCAGCATAGTAGCAGCAGCATGCCCTCAGGAGAGGGGCTGCCAACAGAAAGGGGACCAGGGCTGTGGTGGGAGGGGCCAGGTGGGAGTGTGGAGGATGGGCTGAGACCTGCCCGTGCCCACTGCAGCCTTGCAGTCCACAGTTCTTTTCAAGGTGCATGAATTTGTGCACTGGGCCCTAGTCTAAAGAGAACTGGTTAAACAAGCTTCGGTATATCAAAATAGAATTCTATGCAGCTATGAGCAGAAACAAAAAAAGGAGGAGCTCCCTCTGTGATATGAAAAGATCTCCAAGGTAAATTGTTAATTTAAAAACCTGGTATAGGACAGTGACAAGAATATGCTATCTTTTATGTAAGGACACATACTTATATTTGCATAAAGAAAAACTATAAGAATGAAAGAGAAAGTAATAAATATTATTCTATAGGTGGTATGGTAAATGTGGGTATAGTATTTCTCAAGGTATGTTTCTTTTTCTAACAAAACATAAAAGTTTAATATGAAAGACTGTATATAACCAGAGTTTTCCATCATAGTGAGAAAAGGCTCTTTGGAAAGGGGACACGTGCAAGCACTGCTGAACATAACCATAATCTATACTTGTTCCAAAAGTATCTACACGTAACGATATTATTTCCTCCTATTACCACCCCAGTCTAATACTGTTCTATGCCATCTCTACACATTAATCCATCACCAGATTCATAAAAGAATCAAATCCCCCTAATATTCCTTAAACATGTGGGCAAGCTTTTCATTTCAATGATGCTAACTTCCTGTCCACACGTTTTTAATTTGGGCCAATGGGCTTCCCTCCTGGTGCTTACTCGGCAGGCTTAGAGCTACCTTGAAACAGAATTCTGTTTAGCTATATATATGTAGTCTGCATGACTTATTATTTTATTTCAATTTTTAAATCATATAAATGTATTATCTAGGTAGAAAAATTAAATTTTAAAAAAGAGCAAGATAAAGAAAAAAAGAACCTTTTTTCCCCTCCTACAAACAAAGGAGGGGCCTGGTTGATGTGCTGACTGGAAGAGGTGAAGCCAACTCAATTGTGTAGGTACAGCCACCATTCAACATAACTGATGGGAAATAAAGCCACGAGAGTCCTTTGCTGGGGACCCTTACTTAATGGATTTCCTGAAATGTTTGGCAGCAGTGTCGAAGTAGTCAAAATGGAATAGAGAACAGCAGTTGGGGGACAAAGAAAGGAAGAGATAATGCTATTTCTTGTTAATCAAGTATTCTAACTAGGAAAACAAAACAAAACAAGCCATATTAGCTGATTCACCTAGCAAGAAAAAAGCTTTTTGGTTTTACTTATTTTTTTTATTATTATTTTTTAAATATATTTTATTGATTTTGTACAGAGAGGAAGGGAGAGAGATAGAGTTAGAAACACCGATGAGAGAGAGTCATCGATCAGCTGCCTCTTGCACACCCCCTACTGGGGATATGCCCGCAACCAAGGTACATGCCCTTGACCGGAATCGAACCCGGGACCTTTCAGTCTCTAAGCCGACGCTTTATCCATTGAGCCAAACCGGTCCCGGCTGGTTTTACTTATTTTTTAAAATATATCTTTATGATTTCAGAGAGGAAGAGAGAGGGAGAGATAGAAACATCAATGATAAGAGAGAATCATTGATCGGCTGCCTCCTGCATGCCTGACACTGGGGATCTAGCTTGCAACCCCGGCAGGCACATGCCCTGACCAGGAGATGAACCGTGACCTGGTTCATAGGTTGACACTCAACCACTGAGTGATACTCACCAGGCAAGCTCTTTGGTTTTAAAGATTTCCTAACTTAAGAATATTTTTTCTTCTGATGGCAGCTGAATTACATGTAAAATTGTCAGTGCACATAAATCTCAAGCCATTCAAATGTCACTTTTAAAGAGGCATTGAGTTTACCTTAAAGATGTCAAGGGATGCTTGTGAGAACCATGGAGCATTCATGGTTCCCTTCCTTCACCTTTATTTTAGGGGAAAAGTCAAGGCTGCCTATCCACTAATCCCTCCCCGCTGGGGGAATAAGAGCTCTGATACAGACAATAGAGAACAATTAAGGCCACATCCAGGGGACAGTGTGCTATCGTGGACCTTTCCAAAGGATGTGTGGAAGGGATCAAAGTCCTTGTCCTCTTTCCATGACTCTTCACTCTGGGATATGATAAGCAGACAAAGTGGGGTCCAGAGATCAGGAGGCATGCAGAAGGGCCTGGCTTAGCTCTCAAACAGATTGTTCCCCATGGTCCAGTCACTAAAGACTGGAGAGACTATATAGACAAGGGTGCTAAAAGCTGAAAAGGATTTCTTTCCCTTATAGGATTCCTGGGACCATATATTCTTTGATAACGCCTGATACCCTGTTTCCCCGAAAATAAGACAGTGTCTTATAATAATTTTTGCTGCCAAAGATGCGCTAGGCCTTATCTTCAGGGGATGTCTTATTTTTCCATGAAGAAGAATACAGTACACATTTATTATTAAATGAAAATAAAGAAAATTTATTACCTGTATAAGGTATGGTAGTACGGTAGTTGTCAACACAAACCAGGCAAACTATGAATCCTACAGTATCAAAAATTTACTCATTTATTCAATGACAATCATGTTATCATCTTCTGGAACATCATCATAACAATCCAATTCCTGAATTTCCTGGTGAATTTCTTGTGACTCCATTTCTTTCAGAATTAGTGGACCAAATCTCTCATGTTTAGCCTAGGGGGGGCTTATTTTAGGGGATGCCTTATATTTCACTCAGAAGGAAACCTGTAAGTAGGTCTTATTTTCGGAGGATGTCTTATTTTCGGGGAAACATGGTAGTAGGAGGCAGGATAGAATAGAAGTCACAAGGTAATGTCAATTTCACCTTACACAAGAGATATGACCAATACAAATTACTCCTCTTCTCATGAAGATAACAGGAGTCTTAAGTGTTAACCTTAAAATCAAAGGAATCATAAATATATCTCTATATAAATGAAATAAATCTTATATATCTCAAACATACATATAAATAGAAAATTACTAAGGTTTCGGAATTTACTAAAAGAGGATAGTTAAATGCAATATTCTGATAAATGAACTGGTTTTCTACACTAAGCCATAAAATCACTCAAAACTTACTAAAAGTAAAATAAATACCTAAAACTGATTTTTTTTTTTTTAACTATTAGAGGCATCTCTGAAGAAGAGTTACTGTATTATATAAGACTCAAAAGAGAAACTTATTCTATGTCCCACTGTGATTATTTTTGGAAGTAACAAGTATTTCAATAAATGTAAATAATTTTCTTACATACCATTTATATAATTTTCTTAAGCAAATGTGTAACAAAGTGCCAGGTACTGTTTAAGCACTTTATATAATTAGCCCCATTTTACAAAAGTCAGAAAAGAAATAAGGTATGAGGTCAAGTAACATGCCCAAGGTCATACAAGTGGAAAACTGGCATCCTAATCCAAGTAATCTGGCATTAGAATTTGCTAATCACATTTTTCTTATAATTTTATTAAAAAGCACACACAAAAAAACTTCTTTAGAAATATAAATCTCAGCACATATACTCACATTAAGAAAGCGGCCCACATTTCCTTCCTTTGTGGCATCCAATAAAAATACACTTCCTTTACTGAACTTTAAAGATTCACATGAAGTGTTATTCTTTGTTTCACCTGGCAACTCTTTATTACAAAAAACATACTGGTTTTGAGATGCTGGAGAGTTTTCCTCTTGGGCCTTTAGTATTTGATCCTCAAACTTCTTCATAATATTCTGATAATCCAATGTGGCTGCCTGGTTATATATGCCCCCTGGTGAAGTTTCTTCTCTACCTTTAGTTATATCTATCACGTCTGATTCAATCAGCAAATTGTCTTCAGAATCTTCAACTTGATTTGAGCTTGAGTCTGCTAATAAACATTTTAGAAAGAATCGTCAGGAAACATACTTGGCTAAGCAATAGTGCTAATTAAGTGCTAGTTGCTTTAATTACCAGCGGACAGCACCCCAATTTTATATATGAAAACTTTGAGCCTCTGAGGGATTAAGGGATTCACCTGAACCATAATAATAAAGAAATAGGGTAATACACTCAGAAATGTCTGGTTCCAAAGACTGCCTTCTTTCTACTACGTAACAATGCCTTTTAATGAACTTACATGTTGCTTCTCGACTTATTTCTCTTCAACTTTGGAATGTGAATTTAAGTATATTCTAAGTTTTTTAAAATTGAATTTAGAGAGAGTGTAAGGGAGAAAGCAGGAGGGAGGGAAGGGGCAGAAGAAAGTGGACAGAGAGGAGAGAAAAGAGGGGGAGGGGAAAGGGGGGAAGAGGGGGAGATGGGGAGAGAGATGAGGGGGTGGGGGGAGAGAGGGAGAGATACATTTGTTGTCCCACTTATTTATACATTCATTGGTTGCTTCTTCTATGCGCCCTTACAAGGGATCAAACCTGCAACCATGGTGTATCAGAATGCTCTAACCAACTGAACAACCTAGCCAAGGCTAAGTACATTCTAAACAGCTGTAACAGGGAACACTCCAGGCCTTTAAGACACCAAGAAAGGCCTGAAAAGACCCTAAGTCATCTTCTTCAGCAGTGGTTAGCAAACTCATTAGTCAACAAAGCCAAATATCAACAATACAATGATTGAAATTTCTTTTGAGAGCCAAATTTTTTAATCTTAAACTTCTTCTAATGACACCTCTTCAAAATAGACTCTATTTTGTGGAAGAGCCACACTCAAAGGGCCAAAGAGCCGCATGTGGCTCACAAGCCACAGTTTGCCGACCATGGCTATATAGCCAGTGTATTGCTATAGGCTTTGTACACATTAGTGCTTGGTATGTATTTTAGATGACCATTCAATAATCATACTTTTACAAACGATAATATTTTGGAAGAAGATGAACTGCTTAATCATTTTTAGAAATAATTTTTAGAATATTCAAAAGTATGAATGCATGTCAATGAAATAAATAGAATCATTTATTTTTAATAAAAGTTGTACCACATCAGTGGTATAAAGAAATAATATTTCTGTTGTTGATTTAATCATTACTATTGCTGGCTGTTGTTCCTATATGTACTCATACTTTAATCATAGATTACTTGTGAGCACTAACAGTAAATAACTATTTTTTTCCTTAGTGCCTCCTATATACATTGTAGTGGTCAATGAAAATGACAAAACAACCAAAACCAATAGTACTCATTGGATTCACGTGCTGAAGGAAATCGGAATATGTCATCCCAAAATATGCTTCTTTGACATAAGAATTACTTAAATAGCACATGATTCAATCAGCAAATTGTCTTCAGAATCTTCAGTGGATAAGGGGACTACTGTAGTCCCATGTGATACATGTACAATACACACGATGACGGTAATAAACTTCTGTTGTTTTGTCAGCCTAATTTACAGGACCCCAGCCAGACAACGTAAGATAGGAAGAGGAAGAGATATTTACCTCCCTTACAATGGTGAAAAATTACAATACATAAATGACTTCTCTTGATAGACTTTTTCTGTCAAGGAATTTCCTTGCCTCCTCCAATCTCCATTCTTTGAGACAGGCAGAGAAATGGAGTGCAGTTATAAGGAAGCTCAAAAGTGTTTAGTCATCTCAGCAATGTCTCCCCACTCAGGGATACAGTGACAAACCCAGGTTTGTTAGGCTGTAATATTCATTATGGCAGGGATGGAAACACTGAAATACAAGTACTCAAGATAGCAATATTTTCACTTTTTGCTGAGCATCTCCAGAAGCAGTGTTGGCTAGAAAACTGCAGCAGAATACTGTGGGTCTTTTTTCTTTTTAATGCTGCATATTTTTAAAGGAGCCCCAAACAAATTAGGAAACGGCTGCTTTGGACAATGCCTCCAAAGCTACAGATAACATGTGGATATTGTAAACTAAGAGTTGTCCACCCCATTCTTTCCTGCCATGTCAGGTCACTGGTGGCATCTAGATGAGGGACCAGCACACTTCTGTAAGGTTCCAAATAGTAAATATTTCAGGCTTTTTTTTGCCATATGGCCTTTGTCATGATTATTTAGCTCTGCTGCTATAGTGTGAAAGTAGAGACAATATGTAAATGAACGAATGTGGCTATGTTTCAATAACAACTTATTTATGAACACAACTGATAATTTCCTATAATTTTCAAGTGTCATAAAATATTATTCATCTCATTTTTATCAGTTATTCAAAAAGGTAAAAAGAAATCTTCTTAGCTCATGGGCCATACATAAATAGATGGTAGTCTAGATTTGGCCCACAAACATCATTTGCCGACCTTTCAATTTTAGACAAGCAGTAACATTTGTGATGAATGTGGCATGTTTGTTTTGGAGTCTAAGAAAATGAGCCACAGATATTGAGCAAGAGACAAAAAGGCAGAAGAGGTAGGTCTAGAGTTAACAAAGCCTACTTTTCATTTCCTCGGCTTTAGAGTTCAGATGTACTTGGTTTGGTTTAAATCCATCATTATCTTCAAAGGTGATAGATTCTGAGGAAGCAAACCCCTTAAAAGAAAACAAGGAAGATGTTAACTCCTAGGTCGGAAAAAGGAATTAATTTATCAAGTGTCAATCTTCATAGGCTGTAGCTACTATGTTGGTTTTGAGGAAACTGAGGAGTGATGGAGCCCTTCTGGCTGTTCTACGTATAGACATGTCAGTTAGCTACAGCTATGAAGACCAAAAAACAGCCAAAGCATTAAAATACAAAATAAAAGTCAAATACATTTGTTGTATCCCTCAATTCTGACACCAGGCTATGAATTTGGATAAAAACACTCTGGCTAGTTTCTATTTCCAAAAATGATTAAATAAGTTGCCTATCTTTATGTATTGTAGACACTGCAGTGACTTAAAATGGTGATGACTTTTAAAAAGTGTTATCTGCTTAGCGCAACACATGACATAACTGCTCAGTAAAAGTTGACCATTAATGTTATTCAAATACAGGCAGCCTTTGAGTTATGTTGGACTCAACATATATCGTTTCGTGGTTATGTTGACCTCTCCCATTTAGTTACAAAAAAAGAAAAAAAGGTTTCGTCATTTCAACATATGTACATGTATATATCTATATATGTATATATATATTTTAAAAAATATATATTTTATTGATTTTTTACAGAGAGGAAGGGAGAGGGAGAGAATTAGAAACCTCAATGAGAGAAAAACACTGATCAGCTGCCCCCTGCACACCTCCTACTGAGGATTGTGTCTGCAACCAAGGTACATGCCCTTGACCAGAATTGAACCTGGGACCCTTAGGATCGCAGGCCGACACTCTATCCACTGAGTCAAACCAATGAGGGCTGTACATATATGTTTTGTTTTTTATTATTTACCACAGTAAAGGTCAGGAATTGTTATCTTTTAAATTTTTTTCACTTCATTACTGCTGTGTATGTGCTCCATGTGAGTGACGTATGTGCTTACGTAGGTGGGTTCCGACTTACGGCAAAAATCGCATTACGTCACGCCATAGAAACGGTTCTCCACCGTAATCTGAGGACATACTGTATTTAAAGTTTTTTTTTTTTAAAATAGATTTTATTGATTTTTACAGAGAGGAAAGGAGAGAGAGAGCGAGCTAGAAATGTCGATGAGAGAGAAACTGCCTCGACCATCTGCCTCTTGCACACCCCCTACCAGGGATGTGCCCGCAACCAACGTACATGCCCCTGACCGGAATGGAACCCGGGACCTTTCAGTCCGCAGACCAACGCTCTACCACTGAGCCAAACCGGTTTCAGCGGACCTACTGTATTTAAATGGTCAACATTTATTGAGCACTAACCTGAGTGTCAAACATGTTTCTGATGTTTAGCTCGCTTAATCCTCCTGACTTTAGATACTATTATCCTCATCTAACAGATAAAGAAATGTATAAAAAGAGATGTCACCCAGCTAGAAAGCAGCAGAGCTGGAGTTCAAGTCCAGCTCAGTGTGATCCCCTGGCTCAACTTCTTCATAATTATGTATGTGACACTGAGGATATTCCTACTGTAGGTTAGTAGGCAGAGGGCAAAATTTGCACACTACCCAAAGCAGAGTTATTGTTTTCATCAAAGCCCCATGTGAACTACCGTTATGTCCGCCTCCCTTCTTTTTCCTGCATCTTTCTCTGCTTCTAAGATACAGTCTCTGACTAGTTATTCTAGATTGAAAAGTGTACCTTCAGCGGCCATCATGTAAAATGTTGCTTTGTGGGTGACCTTTCATTAGATTGCGACTCTTCTATTTCATGCATTTCAAAACCTTATCTCCTTAACCTAAATTATTCCATCCTTTTTCTTAATATTATTATTATTATTATTATTAACTCAAATACTTTAGCTTCTATAAATTCACAGAAAAGGATGGCCCTCAGTCTCAGTGGATCACACTGCCAGATCATGACCAATACTTTCCTTAAAAATCTAAGTTTGGGAACATACTAAGCATCATTGCGGATAATAAGTAAATAAAATGTGGTCATTAACATTTCAACAGTACATCCATTTTAAAACAGTAAAAGAATTCCTACACATTATTAAGTAGCACAAACAATGTGAACTAAGTAAAAGATAGTAAGGTGAGATAATTTAATATTCTCAGAAGGGCCTCATCTACATTTTGCAGTTTTTACCATCTTTTTCCCATCAGGTTGAATAATGGCTCTCTTGGCTTCTGGAGTTCTAATGACTGAATGATACTGAATTCTTGAAATATTGTTACATTTCATTTCTCTGAAAAGAAAAAAAAAGTTATTCTAGATAATATCAATGTTAGATAAATGTCCACTAAGAATTAATGTAATAGCATCTACTCCTCACCCTTACCGAAAGAGAATATAACAGCACTAGAGGCCCAGCGCACGGACCCATGCACGGTGGGGGCCTGGCCTGTGGGGGCTGGCCCGCTGTGGAAGCCCCGCTCTCCTGGTCAGCTGCGGGGCTGCGGAACCGCCCTCTGAGCAGCTGCTCCTGTTGCGGGTGCACCGCTTATCCCAGTCAGCCAAGTGGCACACTGACCACCAGGGGGCAGCTCCTGCATTCAGTGTCTGCTCCCTGGTGGTCAGTGAGCATCACAGTGATTGGTGGACCAGTTGTTCTGATTATTCTACCATTTGTTTGCTGGACTTTCATATATTTTAAAGACAATGATATTTTCAAATATGTAAAAAAAAAAGAAGAAAATAATGAAAAGTACTGGAAATAGGATGGAAATAGAAAACAAACATAACTGCAAAGCATGACATCCATAAAAAACCTAATAGTTTTTAAATGCAACAGAAATGCAACACTGAAGAAATAGTGTTGACTAGGTTTTTAAATTTCAGTGTCCTTGATTTCTCACTGTTAAACTTATAACTGTGAAGCAAGTTTATATACAGGAGGAATATAAGAGTAGGGAGAGCAAGGGAGAGAGGGAGGGAGGGAGGGAGGGAGGAAGGAAGGAAGGAAGGAAGGAAGGGCAACCGAACAACCACTCTTGAACAATACAGATCAATTTTTGATTGGGTTCCTAAGATCTTACTTACGTAACAGACTCTTTTGGATTATTAGGTGGACATTCTTCAGTCTTAGCACTTCTAGGATGTGTTTCCAATTTTAAAGGGATAACTTCAACTTCACAATCTGCAACTTCTATTTTCCTCTTTTTTGAAAACACGTTTTTAATAATATTGTCTTCTTTTCTATTTTCACCAATAGTATCATGTTTCTCAGTGTTAGATCTACTTAGTAATCTTCCTAGCAGAAAGTAAGGGAGTTTAGCAAGATAGAAGATAATATAATAATTGCTAAGCAACAAAAGGGCGTCTCTATTATGCTCCATTACTAAAGAACCCTGTGAGGTGTATTTTATTTTTAGAATGAAGATACACACATTCATGTCCCAGAAAAATCTTTGTAAGAAATAATAAAAGACCAGTAAGAAATTTTATATCTTCCAGTATATGAAAAAATATAATACATTTTAAAAAACAACACTTATCTGTTTTGGTATAACATGAAAGAGAAAAGATTCAGTTATAATAATATAAAATAAAAATATAGATCAGAAAACATTCTAGAAAATTAGAGCAGTGAACTCTACAACTTTGATGTCCAGTTAAAAATGCTTTATCATTTAACATCAATACTTTCTATAAAGTTACCTATTTAAATCTGTAGTGATATGTGCCTATTGTTCTCATATTAAGTCCCAGTGTAACATTAAAATCTTAGTCTCAAGTTTATGTTTCCCGCCCCCCTCCCAGGGACTCAAAATTACAATTACCAATCAAAGTTAGTAGTGGGATCAGAGATTCCTTAGTTGCATTTTCTAAGCAGATAAAGACAATTCTTCCTGCATCATATTTGGCATTTTATATATAGGCGGCAGACTTTCATCAAAGTTATTTTGAGAAATATGAGAAACCACCATCTAGCTATATTTTATGTCTATAGAGTGGTATGTGGCAAGGATCCAAGTGTGACTTCTTTGAATTCTGCTAATTCCTGCCCTCAGTGAAGTGAACCTAGAAATTCAAATGAAAGGCTGCTATGGTCCCTGTTGCCTAGTTGTAAATACTCAGTCCAGCACATTTCCTTTAAACTGGCTCATTTCCTGGTAAATAGAGAGAGTAAGGATCTTTGCTGACATTCTGGAGTAATCAAGAATACTAGAGACTGCCGAAACCGGATTGGCTTAGTGGATAGAGCGTTGGCCTGTGGACTGAAGGCTCCCAGGTTCGATTCCGGTCAAGGGCATGTGTGTTGGTTATGGGCGCATCCCCAGGGGGGCTGTGCAAGAGGCGGCTGGTGGATGTTTCTCTCTCATAGATGTTTCTAGCTCTCTATCCCTCTCCCTTCCTCTCTGTAAAAAAGTCCTTACCCAAGGATATTAAAAAAAAAAAAAAAAAAAAAAGAATACTGGAGACTGACATGTCCGGCCTGGGGTTTGTGGAGCTAAAGAATCAGTAACTGCATAACTAACACCCTGGTTTGGGAAGTTTTGCGCAGAATGTGAGAAACACTAGGGTTTCTGAAATGGAGTATGCTGTCTAAAGTCACTGCCTAAATCGCCACATGTAGGTATTTATTACAAAATTACCTTATTAAATTCTAATAGCTCAAAACATTGAATAAGGTAGTTTTTCATTGATAACTCAGTAATTTAGTTTTCCTATTTAAAAAGTTTTCTATCTTACTCCAAAACATTTGTAGCCATGAAAATAAAATGAAAAAATAAAAAATGAGCCTCACACAATAACTCAAATTTTATCTCTGAGCCTTTCTGAAACATCTGGTACCTGCTAAAGCATCTCTTCCTTTAGAATTCAATTTTCCAGTCACTTTCCTTCCTCTGATGTTCCTCCTCTATATTATTAATCTTATCCTTGCTATAAGAACTCAATGGCCCTGTATAGTAAAATGGAAATTCAGAAGTGTAGATTTTACTCTACAGTAATTTGAAAATAAACCCTTGCTTTACCTGAGTAAGTGCAAACAAATGTCCCTCTGTCAATGTCATCTAGGCAGCGTACTCCCCATCCCTTCTTCTCAGTTTTGAACACCTGTAGCCTCACTTGAAGTCCATGCTGAACAACTCGGTTTTGACACATCTGTCGATTACACTTGCACAACAGGCTGCATTCATAAATGCTGTCAATAAAATATCCAAGAGAAAATCAATCAGGCATCCTAAATTAAAACAAAAAGCACTTTATAGCACTACCTCACTAATAATCACAGACTAAGTGTGAAGGAAGTTTCCTAAAGCTAGATTGCCTGGGTTTCCAGCATTTACTAGCTGTGTGATCCTGGATGAGTTATTTAACATGTCTGTGCTTTCATTTTCCATATTTAAAATGGGGATTATAAGATAGTATATATTATATATATCTATATCTATATATTATACACACACACACAAGTATATATATGATATATAAAATATCATAGGGTTGTTTCGTGAAGATTATATGAGTCAAGTTTATTGGGACAATACCTGGCACATAGTAAATATCAGCTCTTTAAAAATATCTAGGAATGTCTAAGAAGTAAATGTATGGGAAAGCAATGTCTAGGAAGAAACATGTTTTATTTTTTAATAACAATCTTGAAATGGTGAAAATTCCCAATATCTCTAGGATATTTCTTAATGAGGAAAAGGCTGAAATGGTGAAAATTCCCAATATCTCTATGATATTTCTTAATGAGGAAAAGGCTGCCCCAAGTAGGCTAACTCTAGAGGGACAAGAGCTAGACTCAAAGCAGATGCATATTCAGTTTGATTATACCCTTTATGATACATGTGTGGTCTCTGACTTTCATTTCCAAAAACAATATGCAGGTTTGTTATTTTTAATTCCTTAATTTAAATTTTTGGTACAAAAATATTAAGATTTAACATCTATAAGACTATAGACCACAATAACAAAGTATCCACCTTCAAAGATATAAACACCCTGCAACAAATCCTTAAGGTATATTACCCAGTAGGTATATGTCTCTGTAGTCTTTTATATTTATATCCAACGGCAATTTTATCTCTTGTCAAGGAGTAAATCTCAGCATTCCTTGCTGTCATTTGAAGACATGCACATTTTGTTCTAAAAAGGAAGGCAATCAATGGGTAAGTCAGAATTTAAAAAGCACCAAGTAAAGTAAAGAGACTGTCTTGATTAAAGTGTAAAAGTTATAGTAAAGGATGTAATTGTATTTAGGACAATTGTTTGCCTCAAGGACAGCTGAAATTCTTCCTTAAATAGAACTTTTTGAAAGAGAATATCTACCAAGAGTTTATAAGTAATTATAAACTGCCCTATCTGCTCATGAAATAAATACTTATCTATTTAAGTGCTCTTTAACTTTTCAAAATGAATTCCTTTCATTTTCTGTTCAGCAGAAGCTTTTTTGAGAATATTCTCCCAGGTACACTCCCTTAGAATGGATAAATTTATGTGTGTCAAACCCAAAAGAATGTACATAGTTTTGCAGATTCTTTAAGTTACCTTCCTTTCCAATGACATGAAAAGAGATTAGGGAAATTGATACTGGGTATCTGGTTACTAGTTTGTTCTTTACAATGTTGCTAAATAAGAAAATTACAACCATAAAAAATTTCTATTTAAATGATTATCGAACATGACAAGAGACTTATAACTTGATAGGGAGTAAGGAACCTGGATATCTCAGGTGTAAACTGAGTATGTGACTACTGGTGAGCTGGTTAAACTCTCTGGATCTATCCCTTTTTTCTTTTTTCAACAAGTGACTTTGAGGTCTTTTCCTTGATGATTCTCTTCTGTGTTTTTCTGTATATACATACACGCATAAGAGTGGTGGCTACTGTTTACAACAGAAAAAAAAATTTAAAAATATATTAATTTGGATTCTCTTTACAAATATAGAAATCAAAAGATGCTTTTTTGATATGATTTTGTTTGCAAAGTTTAAAAGTACAAAAAAATACAAATAGTAATATAACTAACACTCACATTTCTACCACATAGAATTAGCTGTCATCATTTTGTTTAGTCCTTCTTTTTCCTATGAATATAATTTAAAACATATACACTGTTTATATGATCTTTAAAAAAATAAAAAATTTAAATATTACAGATAAAATTAAACTTTCAAGCGGTTTGGTGTGATATCCTTTATACTTTTAAACATATAGATCTATTCACAATATATGGTACTGTTATTAAATATTTACTATAGTTATTATCCTTCAATTTGCTTTCTCTTTCAATATTATTTTTTGAGATCCCATGTTTTACACAAATCTAGTTAAATCCTTTAAACTTTTCCATAGCATTTAGATATACAATTATGTTGCTTCATTAAGTTGCTTGAAGTTTTCAATATAACAGATATTGCAATAAACATCCTATTCTTATACACAGGTATAATCTCTAGAGTATTAACTTTCAAATATTTTTTACTATGACCCATGGTAGCGAATACATTTTCATCATGATCCTATATAATTATACATATTTATATAAGTGTGCAGGTGTATAAACTGCAACAACAGTGGCATGAAACTTTACCCTTATCATATGGAATGCACTTGGGTATCTTTTTGTACTATTTAATTTTAAAAAAGCTAGTTATAACCCCTTAAATGATTTTACATGCCACTAACTCTATAGCTTGGAAAACAATGCTCCTGATAAAACAATAGTCTGGATATACTTAAAATGAAAAGTACTATTACTTCTTCAACTGCTATGTCATGGTTTAAACACCCTACTCCCCCTGAAAAATGACTTGGTATGGAATTCTAATTTTATATTTATTCTCCTTCAGTAATTTAAGCTAATCTCTTTTCTTTTTTTTTGTTCTATTATTTTCTGATGAAAAGTATGCTGTCAATCTGTCCTTTTTTCTGAGTTTTTAAAATTTAGTCTTTAACCTAGATACTTTTTAAGTTGCATCAATATTTTTAGGTTTATCTTATTTTCGGAGGCTTTTTGATTTCAAGGATTCCTGTCTTTTTTCAATTTGGGAAATTCTCAACTATTATTTGAGTGTTGTCCTTTTCTTCACTACATAGGTATATTGCAGTTTTTCATTTTACCCTTCATATTTTTTAATATATAACTTATTTTCCCCATATCTTTATCTCTTTACATTCTGAGAGATCTTAGTTTTTGCCATGCAATTCACTAATTATTTCTCCAACTATACCAATGCAAACATATAGTACATCTATTTCATTTTTTATTTCAGTGACCATGTTTTATTTCCCATATTGCCAATGGTTCTTCTTCATATAAACCATTAAAAATAAAATCCCTTTTTCTTGTCTCATAGATGCTAATATTTTAGCTTTTTAGACACATTAAGCATAGCTATTGTAAAGTCTTTTCAATCAAATTCTACATTTATCTCCGATTCTTCAGATGTGATTTTGTCATTTGTTGTGACTCAAACTGCCTTCATTGTCCTAAATGCCTATGTGTGCTGTGACTGTCTGGATTCGGTCCAGCTTAATGCTGTAGCTTCTGAAATTACATATAGTCAAGTTATTCTTTTTTAAAAAGTCCCTTAAACTGACTATAGAGTAAACACCGTCGAACAGGCAGTTTTTTCCCCCTAGCACTGAAAGAGATTGAGTTTAGACAGATATAGTTGGGTTATACCTAGATGCAAAGTTTAAAACAAATGAACTTATTTTTAAACAGAAGTGAAACTTGGGCCCACCTCAAAGATACACTGAGAGTGAAGGGATGGGAAAATATATTCCATGCAAATGAAAAGGAAAAAAACAACAAACTGGAGTTGCAAAATGCATATCAGACAAAATAAAGGCCATAGTAAGAGACAAAGTAGGCTACTTCATAATACTGAAGGGAATGATTCAACAAGAAAATATAACCCTTATAAACATATATGCACCCAATATAGGAGCCCAAGTATATTAAAAAAACTCTTGATGGACTTTAAGGGAGAGATCAACAGCAAAACAGTCATAGTGGGGGAACTTAACACCCCACTGGTAGATCTTCACTGGATAAATCTAGATAAAAAATTAACAAGAAAACAGAGGCCTTAAGTGAGACACTAGATCAGATGGGTCTAACCAATATTTACAGAACACTTCACCCCAAAGCAACAGATATATATTCTCAAATGCACATGGAACATCCTCAAAGATATACTACATGTTAGGGCACAAACAAGTCTAAACAAATTCAAAGAAGACTGATATAATACAAAACACTTAAATACAGGAGGCTAAATAAGATGTTATTAAGCAATGAATGGGTTACTAATGAGATCAAGCAAGAAATTTAAAACTTTCTGAAAACAAATGAAAATTAACATATAACCACCCAAAACTTATGCGACAGGGCAAAAATAGTCCTGGAGGAAAGTTCATAGCATTACAGGCCTACCTCCTGGCCTGATCCCCCTAACTGCCTATCTATCTGTTCTCCCTTCCTCTCCACCCTTCGGTCCTCCGCTGCAGGCATTCCGTCGCAGCCTCGCCCCCATCCTGATTGGTTGTTATGTGGCGTCATCCCAGACAATTTGCATAGATAATCACAAAATCATATATATTACATACCCATAAAACAAAATGATTTCAAAGTCCTAAGATATTAGAACATGTTTTCATTGTTTTAATGGAATGTCAATGTTATGATAGAGTACTAATTATAAGCATCATTAACTTCCTAGAAAATTGCAAAGAAATGATTTGTAAAAATAAAACATAACATATGGTGGTTAAAAGCATGGATTAATATTGTAGCTCTTTAATTTGTTTGCCCTATGATCTTACAATTGGTTTCTCAATTTCCTCATTTCTGACATGAAAATAACATTACTACTTCATCGAGTTTTGTGAGAATTAAATAAGAAAATGTAAAACAATTGTCACAGTGTCTGGCACTGTTACAAGGCATTAACTGTAATTGTGATTTTGATACTAGCTTAAAGAAAATACTCACCTTGAGAAAATAATTTTCAAATTACTATAACTGATAAAGAATTTTCTTTCCCATTCCTAGTGAGAGAGTGCATTTTAGATTCTTAGCCAACAGTTTTAGATAAACAAATTGATAACGTAGCAGGACTTAATAAGTACCCCTAATATTGAGAAGATTTTTAAAAAATGTCAGATTATTCTACTCACATGTCTATGCAGCCCTCAGAACAGTCACATGAATCAGTAAACATGTTGGAAAAGCTGTTTAGATAATATGCTCGTGGCCACATAGTCTTTCTGTACTTAAAGTATGGAAGCTTTCTACTGTCAATTTCATTACAGAAAGAAATGGGCACCAATTCCACTCCATTGCTAATATCAGGAACAGAAACAATGTCTTCTTGCTTTGGGTAATTCCGAGTCAACTGAACATAGGTATTAAAAGAGAAGTTATCTGTAAATAAAAAGTTACACTCTGTCTCAAGCAGGTAACGAAAAACTTCCTCCATGTTTCGTAGACTCCTTCCACAAGGGGTTTTATAACTCACGTGGAGTGCTGAAGAATGAGAATTTGTCTTTGCGTGTCGCCTTTGGAAGTGGCACGTAATTGGTAGATGCAGAGGGTTTTCTGCCTTGGAGGGTAGTAGCATTTTCATCAGACAGGTACCAGAGCATTCATGACTTTTATAAGATACATTCGAAGATGATTCTTTTTCTCTAAAGTCTGCAGCTTTATTTTCCAGAGGGGTAATTTCCTCATTTTTTATAGATCTGTTTAAAATTAATCACTTATTAGTATCTCAAATTTATAGTACAAATCCCCTTAGAATTCGTAATGGTTAAGGAAAAAAATCCTAAATCTAATCCCTTCACTGAAAAGATCTCTGTCAAGTTACTTTGAAATAAGACAATCTGTTGGGGAATGATCATATAAAATTAACTGATAATAGAGAGAAGGGGAGGCTCAAAAACAATTTGCCTTTGTTTTGTTTTTTTGCCTTTGTCTTTCCTACCTATAACTATTGCTGCTGCCCTCAAGTTGGAAAGACCAGACAAAAATGAAAAGAAACTGTCTGTGACAGTTTAAAAGGGGTCCTAAAATGCTACTTTATTTAAACATATTTAAGATTCTAGACTCAAATAAATTAAATCTCAAGACCCTAATAAATTAAATACCAAAAATTTAAATATAAAAAAAAAAAATAGAAAAATACTGCCCTGGTTTTTTTTTTTTTTTTTTTTTAATAAGGGAACCTTCCAGCCCTGGCCGGTTTGGGTCAGCTGTTAAGAGCTTCGGCCTGCAGACAGAGGAGTTGCCAGTTTGTCCCAGCCCCTGCCAGGGCTCGTGGAGAAGGCAACCAATTGATGTGTCTCACGTTGATGTTTCTCTCTCTTCCCCTTCACTCTCTACCTTCCCCTCTTTCTTAAAAAAAAAAAAAAAAAAAAAAATCAATGGAAAAAATAACCTCAGATGAGAATTTTAAAAAATAATGAAAAAGAAAACAGTCCAGAAAGTACAGAATGGTTAGCTTAATATTGATCCCTACACAATTCTAAAAGAGAGAATCAGGACATGTGACATTGAAATACTTATGATTTAAAAGCCAACATGGACTGGTTTACAAAAAAAAAAAAAAAAAAAAAAAAAAAAAAGTGCAAATAAACCTAATCATACTTTTTTTAAGGGTTGACAAAGTTTGATAATAACATAGAATGCTACAGCAGTGAATCCTGATTTCTCAGTCTTATGAGTAAGAGAAACATAGGCAGGACAATGATAGAGGTAAATAAATTCACAACTGGTTGAATAGTTCCTTATGAAGAGTAATAAAAAGAGGTCTCTAGCAGTGAGCTTCAATAAAGACTAGAAAGCTTACTTAAATATTTGTGCTAGATGAAAAGCTTCCCTGTTTTCCCAAAAATAAGACAGTGTCTTATATTAATTTTGCTCCCAAAGATGCTCTAGGTCTTATTTTTCCATGAAGAAGAATACAGTACACATTTATTGTTACATGAAAATAAAGGAAATTTATTACCTGTATACGGTAAAGTAGCACAGTAGTTGTCAACACAAACCAGACAAACTGTGAACCTTACAGTATTAAGAATTTACTCATTTATTCAATGATAATCATATCATCATCTTCTGGAACATCATCATAACAATCCAATTCCTGAATTTCCTGGTGAATTTCTTGTGACTCCATTTCTTTCAGAATCAGTGGACCAAATCTCTCATGGTTAGCCTAGGGGGGGCCCTTATTTTTAGGGGGTGCCTTATATTTCACTAAGAAGGAAACTTGTAAGTAGGTCTTATTTTCAGAGGATGTCTTATTTTTGGGGAAACACGGTAGAAAGAGAATATAATAGATAAGTTTCAAAATTTAAAAGGATTATGATAAGCTAGGATAGGACACTTAAGAATGAAACCCACTCCTGCATTTAAGCTTAAAATATAATTATCTAAATTATCTAGATGGGTTACAGTTTGTCTGGAGGCAATTTATATAATAAGAATCTATTTTAGTGATTTTGGGTGACTTAACTTTTTTAAAAGGTAATAAAACTTGATGCTGTATATAAGTCAGAATTCAGCTATTGAAATGGCCAGTTAAAGTGTTTTAAAACTATGGACTTAGCTTTCTCTGAGAATTTTTGATGAGCCTTTTAGACTCAAACTGCAATGACATCCTACCTAACAAAAGAGTAATATGTAAATTAACCATCACTCCACTACACTCACCAGCCAATCAGAGTGAGTATGCAAATTAACCTCAACCAAGATGGCTACACCCATAGAGAGCAGTTGAGAGGCTTGGATTTCCCAGCAATAGAGGAAGCCAAGCTTTCCACACACCCTGGCCAGCCTAGGCCTTCACTCAAGGATACAAAATTTCAATTATAAAAGATAAATCCCAAGAAAAATGGTGGCAGCTACAGAGCTGGAGAGAGCAGGCTTGGGTTGCCCCTAGCAACAGAGGAAGCCAAGTTTTCCACTTGCCCTGGCCTGCTTAGGCCTCCACTCTAGGATACAAAGTTTCAATTATAGAAGGTAAATAAATTCCAGAATCCAGGGCCTCTGCTTGGGTCGCTAGGAGGCATAACTGGCCTGCAAATCACCTCAGGCTCCTAGTCCAGGCTACCCCACACCCTAAGGGAACCCCCACCGTGATCCGGAACATCCTTCAGGGCAAACCAGCTGGCCCCCTCCCATACTCCAGGCCTCTATCCTATCTAATAAAAGAGTAATATGCGGATTGACCATCACTCCGACACACAAGATGGCTATCCCCATGTGGTCAAAGATCCTGCCCCCATGTGGACACAAGATGACCAGCAGGGGAGGGCAGTTGGGAGGCATCAGGCCTTCAAGGGAGGGCAGTTGAGAGGGACCAGGCCTGCTGGGGTGATCAACCCTGCAGGGGAGGGCAGTTAGGGGTGACCAGGCTGACAGAGAAAGGAAGTTGGGGGCAAACAGGCTGGCAGGGGAGCAGTTAGGCATCAATCAGGCTGGCATGGGAGTGGTTAGGGGGTGATCAGGCTGGCAGGCAGAGCGGTTAGGGGCAATCAGGGAAGCAGGCAAGCGAGGAGTTGGGAAGCAGCAGTCCTGGATTGTGAAAGGGATGTCCTGCTGCCCGTTTAGGCCTGATTCCACTGGGGGTCCCAGATTGGAGAAGGTGCAGGCTGGACTGAGGGACACCTTCCCATCCTATGCACAAATTTCATGCACTGGGCCTCTAGTGTCTAATATTTGTAAATGCAAATCATATGCAACAGTGTTAATATACACCTTTCATAAACACTGGAAAAAAAAGAATTCTGTATGGATAACTTTTTTGTTACTTTACTATGTGGCTGAAGGGCAATCAACTTAATAACTTACTTTCTAAAGACACTTCTTCGTTTTTTGAAATTCTGTTTCCTACCAAATATTTTCAGAAACTTTCCTTTAACTAGTACTTGAAAGTTTTAACACAGGCATTACCTACTAAAAATAAAGACTAAATGTCAGAGTGTCAGATTTCTACTAAGAAATTCTGCTGAGGAATCTATGCTGAAATTAGTGGTTAAAGAAGAAAAGATCAGCCCAGCTAGTGTGGTTCAGTGGTGGTGCATCAACCCATGCAATAAGAAATTGCCAGTTTGATTCCTGGTTGAGAGCTTGATCCCCAGTGGAGGCCATGCAGGAGGCAGCTGGTCAGTGTTTCTCATCAATGTTTTTTTTTTTTTTTTTTTTTTTTTTTTTTTTTTTTCTCTCTCTGCCTCTTTCTTCTTCTAAAAGTCAATAAAACATTTTAAATAAAGAAAAGGTCGGAAAAATTTAGCTTATTTTTATAAAATTTCCGATATTAATTTAGCGCTATTATGCATTTTAAAACCTGAACTGATACTGAAAGAAATACTTTTGACCCTTTTCAATACTCCACTTTAACAGAAATAACCGAGGAAAAACAAATTTCCGGTTAAAAAAAAAAATAAAAACCTATTTGGTAGATTTCAATATAATAATATATAAAGACATCCTAAGCTAAATTTTATTAAAAGACTTGATTATCTAAAGATATTAAAAGTAAATAACCTATTAAGGGACTCATGAAATTTTATCCTACCTAAAATGCTAAAATTTACAACTTTTAATGCTTTTAGTAGGAATCTTTTAAAATATATTCTATCTACTCTTCTGTAAAATGAGTAGTAGCAAGAGTAAATCTCTTTCTGGGAGCAACACTATTAACAACAAAATTAAATTAAACAGATATACATACAGAACTGTACAGTCTTTTGGAACAAAATCTTCACATGAGGTAGATGGCAATGAAGCTGATTTGTTTTCCTGTTCATTCTGTGTCAAAGATTTATCTACATAAAAATAAAAATAAAACATGAATAACAAGTACACTAATTTAAAAATCATCCACAATAATATCTAAGTAATATTTTTATTAACTAGAGATATACGGAGCCTTCAAATCTGCAGACATATTAAGGTATCAAGATTGAGTCAAAAAGTTAAGTGTCAATATTTTTAAAAATAAAAAAATAAAATAGGATGAAATAAAAGATAGGATAAAAGAGATTTCTAATGCAGAAAACTCTAGTTTGAACTTTATCTGAATTTTAATCAACCTTAAGTCAACCTACTTTTGCTTGTATTGTATAGAAAAATAACATGAGGCTTTATAAAAATGTTACAAATAAAGAAAGCCTATAGGTATCTTTTCTTTTCTCATTGTTTTACTATTACCTATTTTATAGGGGGAATTGAATAAGATATTGGGGTACCTATTTTTGTCTTTCCATTCATCTTTTTCTCTTCATCTCTCCTATATCTTTCTGCACTTAATTTTAAAAAAAATATATTTTATTGAGTTTTTACAGAGAGGAAGAGAGAGGGATAGAAAGCTAGAAACATCAATCAGCTGCCTCTTGCACACCCCCTACTGGGGATGTGCCCGCAACCAAGGTACATGCCCTTGACCAGAATCGAACCTGGGACCTTTCAGTCTGCAGGCTGACGCTCTATCCACTAAGCCAAACCGATTTTGGCTTAATTTTGCTTTTTGTCTCTTTCCTTATCTCATCTATTCTTTCTCTCTAACATGATTGTAATATAGACATAACTGTGTATTTAATGAAATAAATTATTTTCCAGTTATTATTGTGAAAAATGGTATGTGGAATATTCTATTAGTTTGGTTTAAAGAGGTTGTTTTTTGGTTTTTTTTTAATGCACTTTTCCTACACAATGATAAACCTTAAGGAAAAAAATGAGCCGAAACCGGTTTGGCTCAGTGGTATAGCGTCGGTCTGCGGACTGAAAAGTCTCAGGTTAGATTCCAGTCAGAGGCATATACATTGGTTGTGGGCACATCCTTGGTGGGAGGTGTGCAAGAGGCAGCTGGTCGATGTTTCTCTTTCATCGACGCGTCTATCTCTCTCTCTCTCTCTCCCTTCCTCTCTGTAAAAAAATCAATAAAATATATTAAAAAGAAAAAAAAGAAAAAAAAAAGATTTCTCATCCTGCCTTGGATTATCAGCTTACTCTGTCCTTTAGTGCAAACCAGTCTTATAAAACAGGAAAAAAAAATTTAAGTCCATAAAAGATTAGGTTATAATCCAAGGCCACTCCTTGGCCCATTGAAAAACAAATCTCCCTCTTTAATTCTCTAGGTAAATAAAGTAAGTTTAAAATCTGATAGTTGAGTTTACTCAGTGGGTAGAGCGTCAGCCTGTGGACTGAAGGGTCCCAGGTTCGATACTAATCAAGGGCATGTACCTTGGTTGCGGGCACATCTCCAGTAGGGGATGTGCAGGTGGCAGCTGATCAATGTTTCTCTCTCATCTATATTTCTAACTCTGTATTTCTCTCTCTTCCTCTCTGTAAAAAAAAAAAAAAAGAAAAATCAATAAAATATTTTTTAAAAATGTGATAATTGGAGCTATAATAACTGATCAAAAATAAATAAGTTTTACAAATTAAGAATTTCTAATTTTAACAGAAAACTTCTTTGCATGAGTTAATGTAAACACACATTAACAAATTTGAACAGACAAATGCATATAAGCATAATTAGAAATAAGGTTTACTAAAAAACATGGAGGTTTAAAATTAATCATTAGTTAAGTGGTAAATGAGAATAATTTATTTCAAAAAAATATCTAATCCTTTGTATAAGGACATAGCAAATATTTACAGCTTATTATACACAAGCAAGGAAAATAAAGGTAATTGGAGTACAGGCTGGATCTTGGGTGGCTTATTTTGATCTAAATACAAAATCATTTTGTTTCTCCCCAGTCTCAGTTTGTTTATTTTATTTACTATTTATATTTAAAAAAATATATTTTATTGATTTTCAGAGAGAAAGGGAGAGGAAGAGAGAGATAGAAATATCAATAATGAGAGAGAATCACTGATCGGATGCCTCCTGCATGCTCCTGACTGGGGATCCATTTTGCCCAGAATTGAACCTGGGACCCGACCCTTCAGTCCATAGGCAAACACACTATCCACTGAGCCAAACGAGCCATGGCCCAGTCTCAGTACTTTTTAAAATACTAACATGAAATTTTATTGCTAGAAAGTTGTTAATCCTTGTATTTACTATATATATCAAATCTATAGCCAACATCATACTCAATGGGCAAAAATTACTTTCCCTAAAAACAGGAACACACAAGGTTGTCTGCTTTCACAGTTTTTATTCAACACTAGAGACCCTGTGCATAAAATTCATGCACTGGGGGAAGTGGGTGTGTGTGTGTGTGTTCCTCAACCTAGCCTGAACCCTCTCCAATCTGGGACATCCCCTTCACAATCTGGGACTGCTGGCTCCCAACCGCTCACCTGCCTGCCTGCCTGATTGCCCCCTAACCACTCCTGTGCCAACCTGATCAATTCCTAACTGCTCCCCTGCCAGCTCGATCACCCCAACTACCCTCCTCTGCTGGCCCAGTAACCCCCTACTGCCTTCCCCTGCCAGCCTGGTCACCCCTAACTACCCTCCCCTGCTGGCCTGGTTACCCCCAACTGCCCTCCCCTGCCAGCCTAGTCGCCCCTAACTGCCCTCCCCTCCATCTTTGACCACATGGGGGCAGCAAGGGCATGAGGGTTAATTTGCATATTACCTCTTTATTATATAGGATAGTACTGTAAGTCCTAGCCACAGCACTCAGACAAGAAGAAGAAGAAAAAAAGGCATCCAAATTGGAAAGGACGTAAAACAGTCATTATTCGCAGATTACATAATATTATACATAGAAAACCCTAAAGACTTCACCAAAAAGTACTTTTTTGGCAATGTAGCAGGATACATGCCGAGACCGGTTTGGCTCAATGGATAGAGCATCGGCTTGGGGACTGACGGGTTCCGGGTTTGATTCCGGACAAGGGCATGTACCTTAATTGTGGGCATATGGAGGGTGTGCAAGAGGCAGCTGATCAATGATTCTTTCTCATTGATGTTTCTAACTCCCTCTCTCCCTTCCTCTCTGTAAAAAATCAATAAAATATATTTTTAAAAAATCTAAAATAAAATAAAAAAAGTAGCAGGATACAAAATTAATACTCAGAATTTGTTGGCATTTTTATACACCAATAATGAACTCTCAGAAAGAGAAATTAAAAAAAAAGTCTTATTTATCAGTGTAATAAAAAAATTGAGATACTTAGGAATAAACTCAATCAAGGAGATAAAAGACTTATACTCAGACAATTATAGAATGTTGAAAAAGAAGATATAAATGAGTGGAAGAATATACCATGTTCATGGGCTGGTAGAATTAGTGTCATTAAAATTTACATGCTACCCAAACCATCTACACTGAGTGGCCAGATTATTATGATCTCTGAACACATGAATTCATGCATGGGTGGGGTCCAGCCAGCCTGGCCAGGGGGAGGGGTCATGGGCCGTTGGCTGGCCTGCCTGCTGGTTGAGGGGACAGTTTGCATATTAGCCTTTTATTATATAGGATATACACTGAGTGGCTAGATTATTATGCATTCAGAAATAATCTGGCCACTCAGTGTATAGATTCAATGCAATCCTTATTAAAATATCAACAGCATGTTTCATAGATCTAGATCAAACACTCCAATTTATATGGAAACAAAGATCCTTAATAGCTAAAGCAATTTCTTGAGAAAAAAACACACACAAAGTTGGAAGGATCACACTATAATCAAAACAATCTGATACTGGCACAAGAACAGGCCTATAGAACAGAACAAAAAATCAACCCAAGCCATTAAGCTCAACTAATACTTAGTAAATGAAGGAGGCTTGAAAATATACTGGAGTGAAGACAGTCTCTTCAATAGTGTTAGGATAAATGAACAGATACATATAAAAAAAAAAAATGAAACTATGCTACCAACTTACACCATATAAAAGAATAAACTCAAAACAGAAAAAAGATGTAAACAGGAGTTGTGAAACTATAAAAATCCTTGTAGAAAACATAGGAAGCAAAATATAAGACATCGCAAGTAGCAAAATTTTCACTGAATCAAAGCCTAGGCAAGAGAAACAAAGGGAAAAGTAAACAAATGAGATTGTATCAAAATAAAAAGCTTCTGCACAGCAAAAGAAATCAGCATCAAAATGAAAAGGGAACCCATTGTATGAAAGAACATATTTGCCACTGATACATTTATATATATATATATATATATATATATATATATATATATAATATATATATTTCTTGAGTTTTTACAGAGAGGAAAAGAAAGGGATAGAGTTAGAAACATCGATGAGAGAGAAACATTGATCAGCTGCCTCCTGCACACCCTCTACCGGGGATGTACCCGCAATCCAGGTACATGTACTTGACCGGAATCGAACCTGGGGCCTTTCAGTCCGCAGGCCGACACTCTACCCACTGAGCCAAACAGGCTTTAGTGCCACTGATACATTTGATAAGGGGTTAATATCCAAAATGTCCAGCTGATGTGGGTCAGTGGTTGAACGACGACCGAACTATGAACCAGAAGTCCTGGTCAGGGTACATGTCCGGGTTGCAGGCTCGATCCCCAGTAAGGGGTGTATAGGAGGCAGCTGATCAATGATTCTCTCTCATCATTGATATTTCTATTTCTCTCTTCTTCTTTTTCCTCTCTGAAATCAATTAAAAAATATATTAAAAACAAACTAACAAACAAACAAACAATATATATAAAGTACTCATACAACTCAACGAGAAGAAGACAAACAACCCAAACAAAAATGGGCAGAAGACCTCAACTGGCACTTATTTCTCTAAGGACATACAAATGGCCAAGAGATACATGAAAAAACGCTCAATGTCACTAATCATGAGATGTAAATTAAAACAACAACGAGGGACCACCTCACATCTGCCAGAATGACTACCATTAACAAATCAACAAACAAGTATTGGTGAGGATGTGGAGAAAAGGAACCCTTAGTACACTGCTGGTGGAAATGTAGACTGGTACAGCCACTATAGAAAATAGTGTCTGAGTTTCTTCAAAAAATTAAATATGGAACTGCTGTTTGACCCAGTGATCCCACTTCTAGGAATATAACCTAAGCAGCTGGAAACAACAATTAGAAAAGAATATATGCACCCCTATGTTCATAAAATCTAAGTTATGGAAATTGCTCAAGTGCCCATTAGTAGATGAATGGATAAAAATATAGTGGTACATTTACACAATGGAATACTAAGCACAATGGGTACATTTACACTAATGGAAAAAAAGAGGGATCGCTTATCCTTTGAGACAGCATAGAGGGACCTAGAGAGCATTATGCTAAGTGAAATAAGTCAGTCAGTCAAAAACAAGTTTCACATGATCTCACTTACATGTGAAATCTAATGAACAAAGTAAATTGACAAATAAAATAGATCCAAAGACATGGAAGCATGAAACAGACTGAGGAGCCTTAGAGGGAAGGGAGAAATCAACCAAAGACATTATATGCATATATGCATAACCCATGGACACAGACAATAGTGGGGTGAAGGCCTGGGGAGGGGTCAGGAGTGGGGAGGAGGGTAGTCAATAGGGAAAAGGAATGGGGACACCTGTAACAATAAAGATAAATTAAAAAAAATTTTTAAATGTCAATTATATAACTTCCCACTTACTTAAAAACAGTGCTCTACCACTGGCAAACACATACTTTTATATTAGTAAGTTTATTTTTATTAAGTTCATTATAACTCAGATAAACTACTAAAAATATTAAATGACAATATTCAGCATCACTATTGACAAAATTACTACTTTTACAAAACCAAAACAAAAACCCAACTTACTTTCTTTTTTAATTAATCCCCACCCAAGAATATGCTATTTTTTAAAACTGATTTTAGAGAGTGAGAAAGAGACACAGAGTGGGAGGAAGGAAAGGAGACAGGGAGAGAGGGGAAGAGAGAGATACACACAGAGAGAGAAAGAGAGAGAGAGAGAGAGAGAGAGAGAGAGAGAGAGAGAGAGAGAGAGAGAGAGAGAGAAAACATCTATCGGTTGCCTCCATACACAACCTGACCAGGGACTGAACCCACAATCTAGATATGCACCCTGACCAGGAATGGAACCCACAACTTTTGGTGTATGAAACGACACCAACTGAGCCACCAGGGCCACTTACTTTCTTTTAATGGGAGATAAATTGTCTCCAAAATAAAAAAAATAATGTTTAAATTTAGTTATCTAAACATCTCCTGTATTTAGAAGCTTTTCTTCAAAATTATTATAATCGTTTAAGGGTGTGCTGATTCCAAGTGCACCTGAAGGATACTGCAAAAGGCTGTTTTCATATAGAATCTACTAGTTGCCCAATGCACAAAGTTCGTGCATTGGGAGGGGGTGTCCCTCAGCCCGGCCTGCATCCTCTAATCTGGGACCCCTTGAAGGATGTCCTACTGCCGGTTTACAGGGATCGGGCCTAAATGGGCAATCAAAATCCGGGACTGCTGGCTCCTAAGTACTCACCTGCCTGCCTGCCTGCCTGCCCCTAACCACTCTGCCTGCCGACCTGCTCACCCCCAACTGCCCCCCCTCTGCCAGTTCTGCTTGCCCCCAAATGCCTGCCAGCCTGATCACCCCCAACTGCCTCCTGTGCCAGTGTGCTTGCCCCCAACTGCCTCCCCTGCTGACCTGCTCACTTCAAACCACCCCCCCCACTGCCTGATTATCTCCAACTGACCGGCACTGATGTCTGCTTGCCCTCAACTGGCTCCCCTGCTGGTCTTACCCCCCAATGGCCCCACCCCCCACCAGCCTGATCACTCACAACTGCCATCCCCTCTTGGTCTCTAGCTGCCTCTACCTCGGCCCTGCCACCATGGCTTTGTCCAAAAGAATGCCCAGGTCTCCTGGAAGGTCTCTCAGTCTAATTAGCATATTACCCTATTATTAGCATTGATTATTAGTATAGATAGAGGCCTGGTGCATGGGTGGGGGCCGACTGGTTTGCCCTAAAGGGTGTTCCAGATCAGGGTGGGGGTTCCCTTGGGATGTGGGGGAGCCTGGGCAAGGGGCCTGTAGTGGTTTGCAGGCTGGCCACACCCCCATGAGGTGAGGGTACCGCTGGGGATGCGTGGCCAGCCTGGGTGAGGGGCTGAGTGAAGCTGGCCACACCCCATTCAGGGTGGAGGTTCCCACTGGGGGTGCGTGGTCAGCCTGGGTAAGGGGCTGATGGCTGTTTGCAGGCTGGCCAAGCCCCCCCATTGGGGACTCTTATTCCATTGGGGGGGGGGGGGGCCTAGCCTGGGTAAGGGGCTGAGGGCCGTTGTCAGGCTGGCCACACCAGGGTGGGGGATCCCTGCGGGGGTATGTGGCCAGCCTGGGTGAGAGGCTGATGAGACCCAACCCCTCCCTTTCTCCCTCCTCCTTCCCCCTTCCCCTCCCTTCCTTTCCTTCCTTTCTTCCTTCCTTCCTTTTTAGCACCTCCTTGAATGGAGGCAAGGGCCGGCTGTAAGCAGGTATCGGATTTATAGCCTTCCCTATAAGGGCGTTTCCTCCATCGCTGGGGGAAACCAAAGTCTCCTGCTGACTCCAGCTCCGTGGTTGCCGCCATCTTTGTTGGGTTAATTTCTATACTCACCCTGATTGGCTGGTGGGCACAGCGGAGGTACGGTCAATTTGCATGTTTCTCTTTTGTGTAGATTATTATAAAAATATGTTAGCTACTAAAATTAAGAATACTTTTGAGCAAGAAAAGATTTCTTTAAAATATACTGATGATGCTGGGTTATATTTTCAGAGATTTAAAACCTTAAGGCTCCAAATTACAGTAGTTAAAATTATAATTTACTGATAACATTTAATAGTAATTCACATCTAATAAATGTGCTTCCCCAACACTTTAGCAAATCAGGAACAGGCTAAGATTTATAGTATATAAATAGGATATATTTTTATATATTTATAAGATAGTGATTCTAATAAAGTGACTTTTAATATTTCTTTCTCTAATCCTGGTATATTATTTTTGATTAGCTATAACATAAATTTGTTTATAGTCTTCAAGACTGACAGTCTAATAATAATCTAGGAATTAAAAACTTTCCCACCTATTTATCTATACCAGAATATTCCTTCCTAGTAGTGTTCTTCACACAAAACTGGTTTTTGGTGGTTTGGAGTCTTAAAATTTTATATGCCTTTGTTATATCTTCTTTTATGAAAAAGAGATACATTTGTTCATGCCTTCCCTAGTAGGCTTTGTAGAGTGCATTTTCTTTATCTGGGTGGGTAGGAATTTTCATTTAATAGAAAAACAAGACTGATTTATATAGTTCAGTTAGCCTGACATAATTAGGTGGGCCTGCTTCAGATCAAGAAAACAAACAAACAGAGAATACTCTAGATTGGGATTAAAAATGTACATACCTTTTATCAATGTTAAATTGTTATTTATAGTTGCTTCATTCACTAAAATCATTGCTTGAATGTACTCTGTTAAGGAAAGGAAAACAGAATGAAAGCTATCAGCAGCAGCATCACCTTTATTCAAGGTCCCAGCTACTGTGCTAAACAATTTACATATTTTATCTCATTTAATCTTCACAACTCCTTTGAGGTTCTTATGAGTATCTGTACTAGAGAGAAAGAAACTGAAGTTTAGAGGTTAAGCTATTTATTTTAGGTTATTTAGCTAGGAAGTGGTATTGGATTCAAATCTAGGTATATCAGTCATAAAGGAATGGGGTTGGAATATGAACCAGTAGTTTTATTGCCAGCTTTACCAAGTGGCCAGATAAGTTTCTATTGAATGAGTACAAAAAAAAGTTTTACATAAATGTTAAAGACATGCTTTACAATTAAATACCCATTGCATTTTGTAGTTATTTACTACATTCTTACAAGCTAATATCTTTTTAAAGTATGATACTTTGTAAAACACTGTGTAATATGAAGCAAGAATTCTCGTGAACTGTCTGCAATGTGTTAAAATTTTTCATTTTAACAGTACTATTTTTTTGACAAGCACATAGTAAATTAATGTTATAAGAACACCCAAAAGTATTAAGAATAGTCCGAGGAAAAATAGTCTGGGGAAAATTTGCTTGAAAATCGTATGTCCTGACGGAATGTGGAGGTTTCCACATAAAAGTCTTATGTACTACAACTAACAAGCTATGAAGAAAAATAAATAAAAAACAAAAACCTTGGATGAGTGAATGAGTGCCTATGTAGAGTGCATGTTTTGTTTTCAGAAGACTAGTAAGGCAAGTCATATATATAAAAAAACACTAGCCGAAACCGGTTTGGCTCAGTGGATAGAGCATCGGCCTGCAAACTGATAGGTCTCAGGTTCGATTCCGGTCAAGAGCATGTACCTTAGTTGCAGGCACATCCCCAGTAGGGGGTGTGCAAGATGCAGCTGATAGATGAAACTCTCTCATCGATGTTTCTAACTCTCTATCCCTCTCTCTTCCTCTCTGTAAAAAATCAATAAAAATATATTTTTTAAAAAAAACCACACACACAAAAAAACACTAGTTGTCATTGTATGATGGAATAATGGGTAATTTTTGTTTTTTCCCACATATACCAAATATACAGTAAGCAGATATTATTTCTGCAATATGCACGTCCCAAAGAAAAGGTAAAAAGAGAAAATGAAAATGGGAAGTAGGGAATAATAACAGGTAGCCTGAGATAATGACATAAATGCAGTAGCTATTATCTATAATAAAAACATAATATGCTAATTAGACTGGACAGCCAAACGACCTTCTGGACATCATTCCAGACATACTTCCAGATGAAGCCACTGCAGCGGAGGCTGAGGCAGAGGTGGTTAGGGGCAATCAGGCAGGCAAGCGAGTGGTTAGGGGCAATCAGCCAGGCAGGCAGACTGGTTAGGGGTGATCAGGCAGGCAGGTGAGCAGTTGGAAGCCAGCAGTCCGAGAACTGGCAGTCAGAGATCCCCTAAGGGGTCCCGGATTGTGTGAGGGTGCAGGTTAGGCTGAGGAACCCCTTCCCCACCCCAGGCACGAATTTAGTGCACGGGGTCTCTAGTTTAAAATAAGCATCTTCCCCAGTTTTACAATAGCCATGGTATGGTAAAAAGCAAGTTTTTATAGAAGCAGACATACTAAAAAGCAGATAGAACTGATGTTATATTCTTAAAAACAGAAATAATTTGACTTTTAAAACAAACTACTGGAAATAGAATCATACTGTATGCCAACAGGTAACATTAAGTATTAAATGTACTAAGTTTTTATTGCTTCATACCTTTATTTGTGGCAGACCCATTTTTGATCTTCTGCTTCAGTGACTGCAGCACATTTTGCACTTGCTCAAATATGATATCCACTTTTCCATCATCCTCCAGTTCCATCCAGAAGGTTTTTGCATCCCCTAAGTATAAATCAGTGAGTAGTGTAAATCCTCAATAGAAATAAATTGTAGCCCTGATTAGATAGCTCAGTTCATTAGAGTATTGTCCCCATATGTCAAGATTGTGAGTTCAAACCCCAGTCAGGGTACATACAAGTTATCAACTAACGAATGCATAAGTGGAACAACAAATTGATGTTTCTCTCTCTCCCTCAAATTTATAAATTAAAAAAAAAAAAAAATAGACTATAATGCCCTGGCTGGTTTGGCTTGGTGGACAGACCATCAGCCTGCGTACTGAAGGGTCCCGGGATCGATTCCAGTCAATGGCACATGCCCAGGTTGCAGACTTGAACCCCAGGAGGTGGCCAATCAATGATTATCTCTCATCATTCATGTTTCTGTCTCTCTCTCCCTCTCCCTACCTCTCTGAAATCAATAAAAATATATTAATAGACTGTAATTTTCCCATGGCACATGTTACAAACAGTCTGTTTTGTTTATAAATAAAATCAAGTTTAAATTATCTTTCACATTGTTTGAGGAAGATGATTTTGGTAATTGTTTCTTAACAAAAAACTAGATACAAAGAATATGATCTAGTATGTCATTTGTTTCTACTAACTTAAATATGCTGATAACATTAGTGACACTATTTCTTGACTGGAAGACAAAAGGAATAACTTCATTCAAGGGTGGTAGTGGACATTCACAGACACATTAATTTAAAAACCTTAGGGAATATAACATCCACTGAGTATGGAGATGATGGTTTCAGAATAAAACATCTCAACAACTGTTAAAATAATTAAATGTCCCAACAATAATTCTTTTTAAAATGACTTTTATAATCGAGCTGGTATTGCTCAGTGTTTGAACACTGAACTATGAACCAGGAGGTTATGGTTCAATTCCTGTTCAGGGCATGTCAGGTTTTGGACGTGATCCCCAGCAGGGGGTGAGCAGGAGACAGCTGATTAATGATTCTCATCATTGATCTCTCTCTCCCTCTCCCTTCTCTGAAAATAAAAATTTTTAAAAAAGATTTGAAAATAAAATACCTTTTATACTACTCTAAAATAATGAAACAAAATGTTTAAAAGTTTTTATAAAGTTATATAGACAATCCAAAATTTCATATGCCCAGCAAACTAACCCCTTAAAAACCTGCTAGAGAAATAATCCTTTCAAAATTAAAAACAAGAATATGAGAAAGGCAATTAAAATAAATTGGCAAAAGCAAAATCTCACTTAAAACAGATTTATAAGTAACGAAAATATCTTAAAGTGTATTTATAAAATGTTAAAATTAATTAATGGGGACTTAAGCAAAAGAGGAATAACTGCACTTTAGAAAAGTCACTTGAGAAGCCATGAGGAAAGGATAACTTACAAAAAGCCACATTTTCTTAATAAAAATTAAATCTAGAACCTGTAAGTTTGGCCATGAAGTGAGACTCTTCATTAGCTTAAGTCTCAGAGTTCTAACTAACTCTTACTGGCAAAGTCACCTTGCCAATAAAAGATGTCTGGCTAATTAGGGCTGCTGTTTCTGTTACCATTTTGCACTGAAGTGTACTACCTAAGACTGCCTACCTTTAATCCCCATTGGTACAACTCAGACAATGCTTCAAAATAGAAAACAACGTGAAGACAAAAGGGATGAGAAGTGGTGTAGAGGCATGCAGGAGCCATCACATGGAGGGCCTTGTGTACAATGCCACGCAACTTCATTTTTATACAGAAGGCTGCAGAGAGCCACTCAAGAGGTTTAAGCATCTTATAATGTGACTAAATTTGTTTATGTCACTTATGTGGGAGAAAAGAGGGAAGAGTCAAGAATGATTTCTAAGTTTCTGACTCAGGCAACCATATGTATACTAATGGTATTCATTTAGATAGGGAATTAAGGTAGAGGCATATATCAAAAATTCAAATAGGGTGAGTAAAATGGATACACAGGCTTCAGAATAAGATCTGGTCCATATGTACAACTTTGGAGTCAATAACACACAACTGCTTGCTGAAGCCAGAGCAGATGATTAAGGAGAACGTGTAGGGAATGAGAAGAGGGTTGAGACTGGTTTGGTTCAGTGGATAGAGTGTCAGCCTGCAGACTGAAAGGGAATGAGAAGAGGGTCTTCTGTAGAACATTAACATGTACGGGATGAGAACAAGAAAAGGAATCATGGAGACTGAGGAGCAAGGAGGTGGAAGAACAGGAATGATTAACAGTCTGTGCTTTGGAATTCAGATGTATATGGGTTTGAATCCAGCACTGCCACTTAATTAGATGTGTGACTACATCTGTAAAATGGGAATAATAGAGTTGATGTACACAGATAAGCACATGACAGCAAGAAATTACTGTATATAATTTAACAGGGAGTATAGTCTTAGACAAAAGCAATTAATCTTAAAATGTGGAATTTTAGAGACCATTCACTAAGTAGAGAAAATATTTTCTGAAGCAGGGTTTCTCAGAATCCTTAAAATCATTAAGTTTTTCACTGATAGACAACTAACAAAAATCATTGCTTTTAGGCAAAACTATTTGTAAAAGCACTTAACAAACTATTGTTACCATGTTTCTTTTCATGGATAGGACTCAAACTTCATATTAGGGATTGATCTTTATTGAGGTGGACATATAAAGGAAGGATTTTGAAAGGTATTTAGAAAGAGCTTTCTGTAGCATAATAATCCTCTGGCTTGAGAAAATAAGCAGTGATACTGAAAGACAGCAATCAGGACTTACATGAATTTTTTTCAGTGACTATCATTTAAAGCTGTTGGACATGGCAATACATAATACCAAATTATTCTGACAGGAAGCAGGTACAACAAATTATTTAAAAAGTAAACAGGATAGCACTAGCTGGTTTTGCTCACTGGCAGTGGTCGGCAAACTCATTAGTCAACAGAGCCAAATATCATCAGTACAACGATTGAAATTTCTTTTGAGAGCCAAATTTTTTAAACTTAAACTTCTTCTAACGCCACTTCAAAATAGACTCGGCCAGGCCATCCTATTTTGTGGAAGAGCCACACTCAAGGAGCCAAAGAGACGCATGTGGCTCTCGAGCCGCAGTTTGGTGACCATGGGCGTTAGAGCATCAGCCTGAAGACTGAAGGGTCTTGGGGTTGATTCCGGTCAAGGGCACATACCTCAGCTGCAGGCTCAATCCCCAGCCCTGGTTGAGGCGCATGCAGAAGGCAACCAATTGACCTCTGTTTCTCTCCCCACCAACCCCCTTCCACTATCTCTATAAATCAATAGAAAAATATCTTTGGGTGAGGATTAACAAACAAACAAAGTGAACAGGGTAAATGCTTAGTCTTGGAATAGATTAATAAAAGAGGACACTGACAATATAAGAAAATAAAGCCAATCAGAAAATACAGAAACTATTTGCTTGCAAAATAAATAAATGTAACTAAGCAATTCGTATTTATTTGTTCTAGGTTTTTAATACATTGTTCCTTACGATATCTTTATTATCTCATACTGCTAGGTTTATTTCTCATATTTCAGTGGCCATTTTTAAAAATATATATATTTTATTGATTTTTCACAGAGAGGAAGGGAGAGATATAGAGAGATAGAAACGTCAATGAGAGAGAAACATTGACCAGCTGCCTCTTGCACACCCCCTACTGGGGATGTGCCCGCAACCCAGGTACATGCCCTTGACCGGAATCGAACCTGGGACCTTTCAGTCTACAGACCGATGCTCTACCACTGAGCCAAACAGGTTTTGGCATTTCAGTGGCTCTTGTTCCTCACTCTTCTTGATCATTTTTCTTGGTCTTCTAACTACGAAAAATTTAACCACAGTAATATTAAGAAAAGAGGTAACCAACCTCTCTGATGAGATTAAGAGATTCAGTTAATAATATTCAGATAACTTTTTGAATAGACTAAATGAGTATGATACAAAGAAACATCTGACTTTCATTTCAACAGCAGACTGTATAGATGATTACTACAATGTAAACAATTTTAGTTTCTTGCTCCTTTATTTGTGCATTGTATGCATGCTGAGGATTATCATCTAAAACAAATATTTCAGTATATGTCGCTAGAAGACAGTAACAAGAAATACAGGAGCAGGTACTTGAATTGAAAATCAAATTAGTATACTAACATTGCTGCTATGCTGGTCCATGGTCAAGGCATATGCACAAGTTTTGATCAGTGACATGTGGAGGTAAAAGATCAATGTTCTCTCTCTCTCTCTCTCTCTCTCTCTCTCTCTCTCTCTCTCTCTCTCTCTCTTTCTCTCTCTCTACCTCTCTCCCTCTTTTCCTCTAAAATCAATAAAAACATACTTTTTAAAAAAATCCACAATTATTCAAAGGCTATTAAAATATTGTTCCTTTTTGCCGAAACCAGTTTGGCTCAGTGGTAGAGCGTCGGTCTGCGGACTGAAAGGTCCCGGGTTCGATTCCAGTCAGAGGCATGTACATTGGTTGCGAGCACATCCCTACTGGGGGGGGGGGGGGTGCAGGAGGCGGCTGGTCGATGTTTCTCTCTCATCGAGGTTTCTGGCTCTCTGTATCTTTTCCTTCCTCTCTGTAAAAAATCAATAAAATATATTAAAAAAAATATTCTTCCTTTTTTAAAAACTTCTTGTCTGTGTGAAGCTTCATTTTCTTTACACAGTTTAGCCAAAGCAATATATTTGAACAGACTGAATGCAATAGATGTGAGAATCTCTCTTCTAGTAAGCCAACTATTAAAAATTTATAAGTGAAAAACAATTGTCTAATTTTTGTTTTTAAAATGCTTATTTTTCACAAAAATATAATTCATGTTAACATATTTGATTTATTATTTTTTAAATGTGCCAATTAACTTTTTTCTTTTAACCGTCACCCAAAGATATGTTTTTTTAAATTGATTTTAGAAAGAGGAAGGGAGAAAGAGAAACATTGATGTGAGAAACATAGATCGCTTGTCATCTATATGTGCCCTGACCTGGGATCTAACTTGGGTATGTGCCCTGACTTAGAATTGAACCCACAACCTTTTTGGTGTATGGGACAATGTTCCAGCCAACTGAGCCACCTGGGAAGAATCTGATTAACATTTTGAAACGTCTCGGTTTAAATTTCTAATACAGTAAATATGAACACATAAACAAAAGCTGTTTATTCACATAAACAAAAGCTGTTTGGGGTTTTAAATACTTTTAAAAGCATAAAGTAGTCCTGAGAACAAAAGAAAGTTTAAGAACTACTGTCCTAGATAATGGTCCAGTGAAATCAGTACTATATGTTCCACATAAAAATTCATATGTAAAAGGCATAAAAATAATTCTATATAATACTGTAATGGTACTATGCATTTGTCAAAACCCAAAGAAGTTTAAAGCACAAAGAGTAAATTTTAATGTATAATATGCAAGTTTTAGAATATCATTTAAGAGGTTAGGGATCCCTGGAAGGAAGGAATGTAGACTGTGACAAGAGAATCTAATTGTATTAAAAATGTATAGACAATCTCCCTGAAGAACTGGGTGGAAAAGGTATTGATCTAAATAACTGGAAATAAGTGAAGTCTGTAAACTAAAAGTAACATTACTTGTGCACAAGCACTGCAGTTTCCCACCTGGAATAAATTTATGTTTCTGATACTACTATACATACTAGTATACTGGCATACCTTGTTTCATTGTGCTATGTTTTTGTTTTTTGTTTTTTTAAAATATATTTTATTGATTTTTTTACAGAGAGGGAGAGGGATAGAAAGCCAGAAACATCAATGAGAGAGTAACATCGATCAGCTGCCTCCTGCACACCCCTTACTGAGGACATGCCTGCAACCAAGGTACATGCCCTTGACCGGAATCGAACCCAGGACCCTTGAGTCCGCAGGCTGACGCTCTATCCATTGAGTCAAACCAGTATCGGCTATTGTGCTATGCTTTATTGTAGTTCACAAACGTTGCATTTTATACAAATCAAAGGCAAAATTCTCCACCAGCAAAAATATTACAATTTGCTTTGATATTTTTTTTTTTGTGGTAGTCTGGAACTCAATGCCCATTATCTACAAAGTATGCCTGTCTATTGAAATTGAGCAATTACAGAAATGGATCAGATGGTCAGAGCCACATTTCTCAATGTTGGAATGGAAGTCTACAGATAAGCAAGGAGTAGGCTGGAATGATTTATGTGGTAATGGATTAGAGTTGGACACATCAATATAGTCACATTTAGCTTAATATAGACTAACATGGTTACATATAGAAATACATATAGATATGTATATATAGGTTAGTATACACATATATTTCCATGCTCTATCACTGAGAGGGCCTAAAGCAACGGAACCCCAGTAACAAAGAGCATACCTATTACCCATATCTTGGTTTCTAATACAATTTTCCAATGAAAGGAAACAGGGCATATTTAAGAAATGGCTAATTCTAGGACTGGGAAAGGAAATATACATAAGCCTGAGCATCATAAAGCAAGGAGTACTAAAAAACAAACAAAGTAAAACAAAACCCACCTACATTAATGGGAGTATGCTAAGGGAACACAGAGCCAACTGAAAGAGCTCCCAATGGCCAATCCTGGGACAATTTAAGTAACAAAATAAAGCAGTACTAGGTTATAACCCAAAGTATAAAATAAGTATCCATTAATATATAAATGATTGAATAAATACAAAGGTGGGGGAAAGGAGACAGATCTCCCTTATTTTAGAACAATTCCAAATAATTAATGTAAATATTGTTCTGAAAGAGGAGCAGCATAAAATCCCCGTGGATTAACTGTGGGCTGCACATAGTGATTTCCTGTCGAAGAGTACAGTAAGGAAAGGGAGACTTTTAAAAAAAGTAATTTTCAATAGAGAAATCATATATACTGTCAGCTAGGTGATCAAATTCAGAATCACTAAATGAGAATGTATGTTGATAAATATACCCTTGATATGATGTGGTAAAATGGCACTTTGCATACCACAACCTTATAACCCTACTCATGAGGGGGGGAAAACAATCAACAATTCCAATAGAGGTGCATCCTAAAAAATACCTGGATACAAAATCCTACAAAATCAAAACCAAAGAAAGTCTGAGGAATGTCACATCTAAGAGGACCCTAAGAAGACATGACAAGTTAATGTAATGGGCTATCCTGGATGGAATCCTGGAACAGAAAAAGATGTCATGTAAAAACTAAGGAAATAGGAATAAACCATGGACTTCAGTTCATAATAATGTGTCACTTCTGATTCATTAATTATAACAAATTTACCAGCCAAATGTCAGACATTATTCATAGGTAAAACTGGGTGCAGGAAGATGGGAATTCTCTATACTATCCTCTCAACTTTTTTGTAAATCCAAATGTTTTCTAAAAAAATAAATATTTTTTAAGTAACAAAGTACTGACTTAGCATTATAGATACATACGTAATTATAAAGAGTTAAAAATGTTGGCTAAATTAGAATAAACCCTTAATTCCTTTGAATTTAGAAAAGGCAATTACAATTAAACACCTTAAAAATGCCACAATTCGGCTTCATTAAGTAATCTACATACTTTCAAACAAAATTTAACAATGGTTTTTCAACCTACCATTTTTTTCTCCCATCTTTTGGCGTCGTTTATAAACATAAAACTCTTCAAAATTAACTTTATCAAAGGATTGAATTACTTTGATTGGAGAATGTAACTGGAATCCAACTGTGGTCTCTATGAAATTTGCAGTCCTCAGAGAAAATTCATCATTATTCCATTCTAAACCCAGTATTCTTTGATACTTGAATGTTCAAATAGAAATTTTGGTTGAAGAAACTTCTGGAAATGACTAGTCCAACATAATGACATGTCCATGAGTCTTCAATTAAATATTTCTAGTTGTATCAGATCACTGACAATACCTTTAGAAAAATATAAACCAACTCCATCATTTGGTTCATAAATGCATAAAACATTCTGTAAAGGAAACAATAAAAAAGTTGCATATTTATAAAGAATAAACTAAGTAAGAAAGTAGAGAATGTCATATAATAATAGTTTTATCTTTAGAAACACCATGAACTATTATGAAAAGACTTATCTATTAAACAGAAAAATGTATAAAATATCAAAATTAGGAAAATTGCAGAGAAATTCAGACTTGTCAGTATTTAATATATTTTTAATTGACATAAACTATCCCCACTTTATAAATTTTATACTTAATAAAAACTTTTAAAATGGGTATAGTGCTAACTACCCTCCTAGGGCTGCAATGAGAATAAGACTTAATTATTTGGAATAGCCCTGAAACATACAAAGGACAAAATAAATGCTAGCAATAATGATTACTCTTTAAGTAAACATGCTTTAAAAATAAAATTTGGATTTTAGTATAATTTTTTATAATCTTTCATTAAAATATATTATACACTTTCCCCTAGTCATTAATATTTTTCTATAACATGACTTTTAAGTGTCTATATATAAAAAATGTACTTTGATCAGAAATATATTAAAATACACTAAAATTTTTAATAACTAAAATTTATTAAATTATTTAGTACTATAAAAAAAAACCTCTATATTGAACATTTAGGTTGTTTCTATTTTTTCAGTAATAATTAATGCTGGAATCTGCTTTATGCATATCTATGTTTATTTCCTTCCTTAAATATGCAGCTACAGGTGGACTAACAGGTCAAAAATGTATCAGTAATTTTCAGCCTTAAGATATTAATCAGCATATCATAATTTCTTCTTCTAATCCCAAACACATAGAAATGTTAAAATATTTCTAAATATTTAAAAAGATGTAATCATGCTGAGAACAAAAAGGGAATTCTCCATGGACCAAGTCTGTGAGACCTCTCTGGGGAAAGAAAACAGAAGAAAAGCTGTAGAGATAATGCCAACTACTATCATAACAGGAAAACAAAGAGCAAAATCTCTCAGGGGAGAACAGGGCAAAGCAAACATCTGAGGAAAGCTACACCATGAAAGCCCACAAACAAGCCCACACTTAACAAGCCCACAAACAGATGGACTTAAATTCAAGAGACTAGAGCATCCTGAAAGTAACTTAAAAACAAATGTTATTGTTTTTAATATCCTCGAAGAACATAAGAAGGAAACCTCAAGAAATGAGGATATTGCCCTAGCTAGGTTTGGCTCAATAGATAGAGTGTCAGCCTGCGTACTGAAGGGTTCCAGGTTCAATTCTGGTCAGGGGCACATATCCTGGCCGTGGACTCCATCCTCAGTAGGGGGCATGCAGGAGGCAGCCAATCAATGATTCTCTCTCATCATTGATGTTTCTCTCTCTCTCCCTCTCCCTTTCTCTCTGGGGGGGAGGGGGGGGAAAAGAGGATATTTTTCCCATTGATGTTGTCTCTGTCACATCAATTGGTTGCCTTCCAAACACGACTTAACTGGGGGCAGAGATCGGACCTGCAATCCAGGTAAGTGCCCCTGACTGGGAATAGAACCCATGACCCTTCTTGGTACCCAGGCCAACACTCTAATCACTGAACCATGCTGGCTAGGGCGAAATACATACAACCCAATTAGATAAGTTGAATATAAAAAGTTATTGAAAAACTCAACAGATGATTGAATAATAGACCAGACTCAAATGAAGAGCCATTTAGTAAACTGGAAGATTGAAGAGTGAAACACCCAAAACACAGAGCAAATAATAAGATGAGATAAAATAGGGAAAATGCCGAGGCAATAAAGACCAAGAATTTCTCAGAACTGTAAAAACACATAAACTCACTAAGGGCTCCTTGAGAACCAATCAGGATAAAATTCTGAATATACACTGCTAAACAAACTGTGGGTAAACTTTAGAATAGCAAGAATAAAAACATGCCCCACCGGCGTGCTCAGTGGTTGATCCCCAGGCAAAGGCACATGCCTGGGTTGTAGGCTCAATCTCCAGTAAGGGGCATTGCAAGAGGTAGCCGATCAATGATTCTCTCTCATCATTTAAAAAATAAATAGCTGGAACCGGTTTGGCTCAGTGGATAGAGTTGGCCTGCAGACTGAAAGGTCCCAGGTTCGATTCTGGTCCAGGGCATATACCTTGGTTGTGGGCACATCCCTGGTGGGAGGTGTGAAGGAGGCAGCTGATCGATGTTTCTCTCTCATCGATGTTTCTAACTCTATTCCTGTCCCTTTTTCCCCTCTCTCTTCCTCTCTGTAAAAAATCAATAAAATATATTTTTTTAAATTAAAAATAAATTAAATAAATAGGTACAACTAAGCAAACTTAGAGCTACCCTTAATTTAAAAAGAGAAATAGAAAAATAAGAAAGCTATAAAGAGAAGCATGGTAAATAAGATGACAATAAAAGTCCAAATATGTTAATAATCAAGTGACTGTGTTAATTTTATTATTAAAAAGATAGACTCTCAGATTGGATTCCAAGCATGACTTAGCTATGGCATTTTTATTTTTATTATTTAAGAAAATATATTTTTACTGATCTCAGAGTGGGAGAGATAGAAATGATGAGAATCATTGACCGGCTACCTCCTGCACACCCCCTACTGGAGATCGAGCCTGCAACCTAGGCATGTGCCCTCACCAGGTATCAGACCTGACCTCCCCATTCATAGATGGACAATGGTTGATGCTGCATGACTGAGCCACACTACCTGGGCAAGCTGTAGTATTTTCAAACAGAGAGACCCACTTAAATCATACAGAATGTCACTGAAAGGTTGAATAGAGGGAATGTGAAAAAAAGACATCCCAGCAAATACAAAAAAACATAATTATCAAACAAAATAGAACTTAATATGAAACAAATAAAAGAGACAAGGAAATATTTTACACTGACAGAACAATTCACCATGACTATTTAATTGAAATTGATTTAATACAAAGTAAGCTCAAGAAGTAAAAATCCCAATTAAGGATAAAAAAGAAATTTTAAAAACAGTTGAAGATCTTAACAGAGCTGCATGCCACATATCCCCCTTCTTATTCCCAGCATACTATGTCCATAAAGTTTTACAGATGAATTACATAAAACTTTCAAGGAACATATACTTTCTATAGTATACAAAAATTCCAGAGCAGAAAAAAATACGGGAAGCCAGCAAATTCTTTTTTAGATTAATACTAATTATAACCTTGACACGTAAAAAAAGAACTCAAGGCCAAAATCACTTATGGACATAGAAGCAAAAACAGTAAGCATGCATTAGTAGACTAAAGTGTATCATTCATGTAGGGTTTATCCCAGGAATACCCAGAAAATTCAACATTAGAAAGTTCCTAAATGTAAATTTTTATATTAACAGATAAATGGAGAAAAACTCTCATCTCAGATGCAGAAAAACAAAATTTAAAAATTCAATGAAAATTGACAACTATTGAAGGGAAGAAGGCAAATTCTTAGCACACTAGTAATAAAAGAGAACTCTTTAATCTGATAAAGACTATTCTACTAAAATCTTGCATCCTCAATAATGAAACTTCAGAGGCATTTTCATTAAAGTCAGGCACAGTATGAGGATGCTTGCCACCAATGCTCTTCTTATTCAGTATTGTACTGAAAGTCTTAGAAAAAGGCAGTAAAATAAAAAGAAACCTAAAGCTTGTAAAGAAGGGGAAAAAAATCTGTCAATAAATAAAAACAAAATAAAATTTAAAAAGCCAAGCAAAGGGTTGGGAGAAAATGTAATATATTTTCACAATAGCAACAAAAAAAGGATAAAGCCATTGGACGAAGAAATTTTTTAAAATTATACAGGATACACAGTATGCAGACACATAAAGAACTCCTTCAATCATTAAGAAAAAGATGACTAAATAGAAAATGGGTATAAATTTACATAAATTGTAAGTTAATAAACATGGATACTGCAACATTATTAATAATCTGAAAATGAGATCTTTAAAAAATGAGTATCATTTTATCTATCAGATGGGCAAAAAGTAAGCTAATATCTCATGTTGGTCTAGATGTGATTTTCAACCTTTTACATCTCTTGGCACACAAACTACTAAAATTCTGCTATACACCAAAAAATATATTTTTGCCAATCTGACCAAAAAAACCAACAACCCAGGTATAATTTTGATTCATTCACAAAAGATGGCTATTGTTGTGTTGGCTGTTGTCATTTTTTTATTTGTCAATCTAAGGGAAAAGATCTCAATGCCTCTAAAAGTTATTTCATGTTTTAAAAATTCTTATAGCACACAGATTGAAAATCACTGGTCTAGATTATAGGGAAACTGAATTCTAAAAAACTACTTGTGAGATATGTAAATTAGTAGAAATATTTTTAAGACAAATTTGGCAAAACCTATTAATATTAAAAATGTTCATAAGTTAGCCAAAACCGGTTTGGCTCAGTGGACAGAGCACCGGCCTACAGACTAAAAGGTCCCAGGTTCGATTCCGGTCAAGGGCATGTACCTTGGATGCGGGCACATCCCCTGTTGGGGATGTGCAAGAGGCAACTATCCATGTTTCTCTCTCATCGATGTTTCTAACTCTCTATCCCTCTCTCTTCCTCTCAGTGAAAAATCAATAAAATATATTTAAATAGAAAGGTCCTACCAATTTATACGTCCACCTATAGCATATAGGTTCTTTTTTCTAAAAAAAAAAA